GGAAGAATAGGTATCCCCTACCTCTTATTAATAAGGTATTTACTCAGTTAGAATAAGCTAAGATCTTCACTAAGATTAATATCTAGAGTATATTCTACTAGATTCGAATAGACCTTATATCTAAGGAATATACTACTTTCTACACTTAATATAGGAGCTATAAGTATAAGGTGATACTATTTAATCTAATAAACAGCCTAGCTACGTTCTAGTGGTATATGAATAATATACTCTTTAACTACTTAGATGATTTCTATACTACGTACTTAGATAATATTATTATCTATTTAAACGACCCCTTAGAATATGAGGTACACGTTAAGAAGGTCCTATAACGCTTATAATAGTATAGGCTTCCTACTAATATTCGGAAGAGCGAATTCTATATTAAGAAGATTAAGTTCCTCGGCTTTTATATTATTACTAAAGGAATTAAGATCAACTCTAAGGCGATAGTATACGTGAATAATTAAGAACCCCTTATAATAGTCCGGGGTATCTAGTTATTCCTAGGGTTCTATAACTTCTACTAGAAATTTATCCTTAACTATAGTAAAGTCGCTAAACCGCTAGTAGAACTTACTAAGGCCTTAGTCCTATTTAAGATAACACTTACTTAGCTAACTATATTCTAAGCTTTAAAAGAGGCTATTCTATCTCCTACTTATCTTAAGTATTATAATACGTTATATAAAACACGGATCGAGACTAATACCTTAGATAAAGTAATCTTAAGAGTACTATCGTAGAAGTATAGTAATAGTTAGTACTTAGTCGTATTTTTATCGAAGATAATAAACCCTACTGAACTTAACTACGATATCTATAATAAGGAAATACTTACTATCGTGTGTTCTCTTACTTACTAGAGAGTAGAGCTAATATCGTAAACAGGATACTAACGTTTCTAGGTATTCTTAGATTATAAAGCGTTAGAATACTTTATAACTACTAAGAAGCTTATAAGATAATAAGCCTATTAGTTAGAGATCCTAGTAGACTTCTACTTTACTATTATATACTACTTAAGAAACTAGAACGCTATAGCAGATATACTATCGCGAAGGGAGTAAGATATTAATAAGTAAATTAAGATAAAAGACGAATTATATACTCGGACTCTAATCTACTTAAGCTAGCTAGACTTATATATTCTAAAGGAACTAAAGAAGCTCTTAGACGTGTACTACTTAGCTCTAGTTAAGTTTAAGCTAGATAATGAAACTAATCTAATTATAGAGCTTATTTATATTAATTAAATATACGAAGCTCTAATAGTTCAATAGGAAGAATTAAAAGAGCTTAATTTATAGTATACTTTCCGGGAAGATAGCCTACTCCTATTTAAAGGTTAACTATAGATCCTAGATATAGATAATTTATATATATAACTTATCTAATATATTTATAACTAAATCTCTATAGCTTATCTTAAGAAGACTAAGATATTCAGCTTACTCCGCACTAAGTACTACTAGCCTAGTATACTTAAGGATATAGCTAGGTTCATATTAAACTACTTAGCTTATAATTATATGAACTATTATTAAGATAAGATACTAGGGTACCTCTACTCTTTACTAATCCCTAACTGCCTATAGTAACACTTAACTATAGACTTTAAGAGTATACTAAAAAATAAGTTTAAGTATAATTCTATACTTATTATAATAGACTATTTCTCTAAAGAAGTAACGTTAATCTCTTATTTCTCTACCTATATAGCTCGCGACTTAATATAACTATTTATCTCTAACTACTAGAAGTTTAATAGGCCCCCGGAAATAATAGTATTAGATAAAAGCTTATAGTTTATCTCCTTCTTCTAGAATAAGTTCTACTATATCTTTAGTATTAAGGTTAAGCTCTCTACTACCTACTATACTTAGATAGATAATTAGATAGAGATTATAAATTAATACTTAGACTAATATCTCTAGCTTTTTATTAACTACTACTAGGATAACTAGTCTAAACTCCTATTAATAATAGACTACACTTAGCTAACTCTCTTACACGAGTCTCTAGGAATATCCCTATACTAGTTAAAGTACAGGTATAAGCTAAGGACTAGTTAGGATTAGGATAAGCCTTAGCTAGAGGTCGAATAAACAGTTACTAAGAAGCTGAATATCGCTAATATATAGGCGTTTACTTGTTATTACGAATAGGTCTAAAGGAAAGCCTAAGAGTTCCTTCGCGACTAATAGAAAAAGAAGTAATATAACATGAATAAGTCACGCTAGGAAGTTAACTAAGAGGTAAGCGATTCTATATAAGTAATAATAAGAAACTAGAAGATATACCGCCTAAAGAAGAAGCTAGACAATTAATAGGTAGGCTTATTTAAGGTCCTTAGAAAAGAAAGCTACTTATTCCGCTTAGACCTCTTAGCTTTAGTTAAGGTCTACCTTATATTCTTTACAGATAAGCTTTAGTAGTATAATAATAACCTATTACTTAGATAAGTATTATAGGAATAAGAACTTATCTAAGTTAATATCGAATAAGAATAGAAAGTCTAAGATATCTTAAGAGTATACTTTAAATAAGATAGGACTCTATAGTACTAAGCTAAATAGAAGGGACTTAATCTTAACTCTAAATTCTACTCTACCGGAGACTTTATAACTTATTTATATAAACTTTAGGATTTTTATCAGGCTTACCTTATAGAACTAGGACCGCTTAAGCTACTCCCTAAATAGTTAACCGCTTAGGAAGTAGAGGATAATAATATATATAACAGACTAGTAGATAATACTATTATATCTAAGGTAAATCATAGGAAATTTTTTCACGGCTTAAAGATAAGCTTTCCTTAGAGGGGGAGGTAATATAATAGACTAATCACGATAGGCGAGTCACGTGAATAAGGCTAATATCATAAGGCTACAAGGCTAGAGTTATATAGTGAACCTAGGACTAGCCTAGTTTACTAGTAGCTATATCCTCCCTACTTATTCTTAAGGCTCTTTAGGAACCTCTTCCTCTCGCTATCTTTTCTACTTTATATTATAGCTACTAATGAACCTTCGTTGTGCTGTTACACTAGAACGATGAATGTATCTTGATATAAAGGCAGAAAGGGCTAGCGAAGTCGGAATCTCTTGCCTCTACATGGCGCTGGCTATTAACTGGTCTATTAGTTATAGATCAGGCTAAAAGAGTACGTAAACAGCGAAATTAACGCGTTCAAGCACCTCTCTCTTCTTTTTTCAAGTTATTATAAAGAAAAGGCTTAAGACGCGATTTTCTCGCCTACTAGCTCACTAGAGCTCTCTTAACGACTTAGATCTGAACATAGATATATTAAGATAAGACTAAGGTCTTATAATTAACTTTAAGTTGCTAAAAAATATATAATCTAGAGACTAAAAGACCTTCTTTTCAGATATAACATAAATCCAGTCTTCTTTTAACACGCTGAGTTATATGTTAATAAAGCTAAAGGCTATAACCTGCGATCAGTTTAACTAAAAACATATAAATGCTTAAAATAAGAGAATTACTAGATAGAGGCTTTAGAACCTCTAGTGATAGAGGCGAAGTGATAAGAAAGGGCCTATAGAGGTATAAAACAGAGGTAAGAACAGATAAATCAAGGTTTATAACCACTAGAATAATATACTCTTTGTAATAGCACGGTTTAGCGTTAGCTAGCACGTGAGCGAAATAACCACGGATCAGGTGATAACCTCTCTATTAGCGCGAATATCAAGCTGAGGAGCCTTCGATTCTGTGGAGGGCGCTCGAGCCTATATAGACAAATTCACCGGGCTATTCCCGATTAGGCCTAATTACATTTGACGTAAAGCTTGACGTAAACTCCTATAGTAGCGTAGAGCTATTTCCTCTTGCGTATAACTAAGTGGGTAACTGTCGGTAAACCCCTTCCAAGTTGACCGAGCTCTACCGAGTCTTACCGAGCTCTAGACTCTTCCTAATCGGGTATAGTAAAGAAGTGGTTACCACTACCTTTACACTCTTGAACTAGAATCGGAGATCCTAGTCATATAAAGTACAAGAGTTCGACTCTAGTCCTTAGGGAGACAGTTTTATAAGGTTTAAGGGAATAAAAGGGGGGAGGAACTAGGACTTAATATCAGAGGCTTATTTAGAGGATAGTACTTGCAGGTAAGTACATAGATAGTATTAGAATATGGAGGGATTCAGGCCAGATATCACGTGCACCGCTAGGCCAAAGACAGCTTAGTCAGGGGCACTTGACTCTTTATATACTACAGCTCCTTCTGTAGATAGTTCTGCGAGGCTTACAACTTGTGGCAACTGAACCCGTAGTAGAGCAGAGGAGTTAACTACAGTCAACTCTACCGTCCAATACAAACAGTCTCACCCACTGTTGTCTAGCCTTCCTCACCCAGCCCCGTGAATATGCTATGCAGTAGGCCACACCTTTCAAAAGATAGGGCAATTATATACTTAGTCTTATATAGGGGAGAGCTATTTGAGTTACTATTAAAAACTAGCTGTAATATAGAGTTTATAGTGCCTTTTAAAGGTATTAAAGAGACTAAACAGAGAAGAGTATAGTTAGTTACTATATGTAGACTCTAAGGAGTTATAGCTGTACAAATTTCTGTATATAGTACGTCTACATAGCGCTTTTAGCAGCTAGAAAGACTATGGAATTCCAAAAAAAAAAAAAAAAAAAAAAAAACAAAGGCAGAAAGTCTCGGGTGCATTGCCGTCGCTGAACGTCGACAGTATCCCCTGCATCTGTAGTAAAATAGTTCCATGGTAACCGCACATCCGAGTGAGCTGTGCGAGTCGAGTCGAGAAAATCATTCTGCTGGGCGCAGCCAATCAAGAAGATTCAACCTAGTTAAGGATGCAGGCACTTCCGTTCCGACAGGTCACTCAAGCACGTCTTGAGGTATTTACGGTTCCCCTTCCATGGCGTCGTAACCTTCGGACGGCAGAATGATGGGTAAACCTTAAAGAGTGGTGCTCGTCGGCTCCCACGTTACGCGCCACCGATCAGAGCAGGAAAGTCAAATGATAGACGAACCCATCTATGCTCATCCTGCAATTAAGCTTAGTGTCCCTGCAGACGTGTCATGAGATTTACAATTACCCCCGGCAACCACGTTAAAGGGTGGAAACAGCAATTTTGAGCTGCTTCTTCAACGGCAAATGAACATTCTCGTGGTCCTCTGTCAACATACCTAAATTAAAATGCGTTAATCCTTGCCCCATTTAAAATAGCTCAAATCCCTTCCTTTCAGGCTTTCAGGTATAAAATCAAGGCAGGGAGTCTCCACCGATTTACTTTGGTGCGGGGTTGTACGAGAGGGGGATCTCCTCCGCAAGGTGGGGAGTGACAACTTGCTAAGAAAAGTTAATTTCGCTTGCTCTTCTCAATTTCTTGTGCTGCCTACCTATATGCCAGTGTGGTTCGGCCGTCGGTGTTGAAAGTGTTCCGAGAAGAATACGGCTCGATGAGAGCGGATTTGGGTGGAATCTCTGGAAGTGTACGAAGGTACCATACATTTCGTTTAAGTTTATAAATGACAAGCTTCCTGCACTTTGTTTGAAGGTATCACACTCAATCGAGCCGCAGACGCCAAAGTCACTCGGACACAACAGCTTCTTCAAGCACAAATATGTTGAACACTTTTCTTACTTTGTTTCTGTTCCTGGGAGGCACGGTGGGACTGAAGACGGTCAAGAAGGATGTTGTGATCATTGGCGCTGGGTCTTCCGGCGTTTACACTGGAATTCGACTCATAGATGAAGGGAAAGACGTCGCAATCATCGAAAGTTCAAACTCCATTGGGAGCCATGCCAATACATACTACGATCCAGTTACGGGAAACCCGATCAATGTTGGAGTTCAATCTTTCCATAATACTACCGTTGTCCGGGACTATTTTGCAAGACTCAACGTCACCGCCACCTCATACACTTACCCTCAGTGGCCAACCGTGAACGTGGATTTTAGCACGGGAAAACCTGCGATAAACTATACATCCCCAAGCTTTCCAGACATCGTCGCAGGTTTCCAGGCCTTTAGGGATGTTGTTGCAGCAAACTACGCCTACTTAGATCACGGATTCCACTTACCAGATCCAATTCCGGAGGAGCTTTTCCTGCCATTTTCCGAATTTGCCAAAAAACATGGATTCGAGGTTATTCTCCCAAGCATAGCGGTTTTCATTCAGCCAATCGAGTTATGGAACGAACCTACCCTCTACGTTATCAAGAACTACGGTCTTCAATCTATTGAAACATACCTCGGAAGTCTCGCCGGGGCCGGAGTCTTCAAACCGGATGATGTGAATGAGATCTACACCAGTGCGGCGGAGATCCTCGGAAGCAGAGTGATCTTAAACTCCTCCGTTCAAAAGCTGAAGCGTTCATCCACTGGTGTGACTCTCCAGGTGAAAACGCCTCAGGGTGTCATCTGTATTGAGGCCAGCAAGGTCGTTATGGCTGCGCCCCCTTTCCTCCGCAATTTCGCAGGCTGGGATCTATCATCGCACGATAGAAACCTTTTCAGCAAGTTCATTGCCAAGAATAGCCACATCGCCATCACCCACAACCCAACATGGAATAACACTTCTTACAATGGGGTCGGACCTCAATCCACTTTCGGTACTCCTAGACTCCCCGGGACCGTCTCAATGATCCCAACTGGCTTCACTGATTCTTCCTACTACTCCTATGTTGTGTTTCTGGAGAACACTCCTGTCGAGACTGCACAGGCATTGTTCAAGAAGCAGGTGAAGACCTTGATAGCAAATGGAGTGGCACCAGCGAGCGACAACACAATCGTGGAGTGGTTCAATCACAACTACTACATGAACCATGTACCAACGGCTGATATCAGGGCTGGGTTTTATACCAAGTTGAACAATTTGCAAGGGAAGTCCAACACTTTCTATGTCGGTGCTGCCTGGGCTGGGCAAGATTCTTCTATGATCTGGGGAGTTGTTGACGAGTTACTACCGAAACTCTTGGAGTAAGTCTTGTCGGTGAGCAACCTCGTAGCATGATCTGTTGGGTCACTACAGGCATCTGCCAATCCAGCTCAAGGATTTTGTAACATAACATTCTTTGTACATATTTATATTAGATAGCCAAGGTCAACAAGTACCTTGTGAATGGAAATTTGCCAGTGCTTTAAGCAGCATAGATATCTCTGCCATTGCCACATAGGCTTAACCTTAATCCCCAATGGACGTTCTCACAGATAGTATAAACGGTACTAATCGTGATTCAACAGCTCAAATTCTTCACAAAGTAGCATTATCCACTGCATCTAAATCTGTATGCTACCTTGGAAGTATTGACGGTTTCATCAACCCCGTCCATTTCGAAAAGGGTGGCCGGTCGGCAACACATGGGGTCATTTGGCTAGAGTATTTCCACCATGAGGTTTTGATGATGGAATGGAGAATATTAATGCTTACTGTCTCGCCACCTCAAACATTTCCATACTTTAGAATGCCCTTGCTTAAATTAATGCGCTCGTAGAAAAAGAAATGTAGGGAATTTTACTTTTTGTAAATGACCAAGTGTTAATGATACTTATTCAAAGAATTCCATAATCCCCATCCCTTTAGCTATCCTAGCGAATCACAGCATTGCCGGGCTACTACAATCATGATCGAAGTCTCGCAAGTACGATACTCACGTGATGTTTACATAGAAGTCCGCTGCTACCTATTGGTACCTACAGGGCCCTGTTCTGCCCTCTTATTTCCAGCTTCCTTTCTTTTCCCTCCCATCTATACTCCGTCTTCTCGGGTTTCGCGAACCTTCGCGGTTGACATCGTCGTCTCCGAAGTCTCTGCACTGTGTGGGCCTACCCTTTGCCTCTCTGGGGTCCCTTTCATGACTTAATCCCAACACTAGTAATCCGAGAGAGAAAAATGCGTATCGGAAGGACGACTTCTAGAATGATTTTTGAGTTGATTTTCATATACTTTTTGGTTGACTTACTTGCCTGTATAAGTCTCCAGCCTTGACATGCGAGCCTCTGAGGTGGAACGGTGGGCATCACCTTGAATGGAGTGGCCACAGCAGGAGAAGCCTATCCGCCTTGCTGTACCCGAAGGATTGGGTATGAAAGGGCATGTGAGGCGACGAGAGAGATGTAGAAAAATGAAACATGATATAGGAAGCAAATCTCATGATTGTATCGAGCTTCGCTGACTTGGGGCTTCGAACATTCTAGTAAGAGATGTTTACTTTCCCCTATCACCTGACGTATCAAACACACTTACACACTTTTCACAGGGAGAGTAAAACCTGTAGCAGCACCCTAAAATTAAGCGAAGAACGCTGAAATCTGTATGCTGCGATGTCGTCCAGGCGGCCCCAGCGCCTCGCTTCAGCGCCCGGAAATGTGTGTTTTCGGCAGTTGAGGGGTCATGGACGCCTTGGAATTTTGCTTTGTATCGAAGAACTTGGCCAACGGCGACTCACTCTAAAAAAAATTACCAAGTAGTCTTTTCACAGCCAGTATCAAGTCACGATTCGCTCAACCATAATTATTCACAGATGAAGCTTGACGAAGACAATACCAATCAATACCTATTGGAAGTTAGTGCTGGCCAGGCGTGAAATGGGTAACGAACTAGGGGACAGAAGTCTGTGCGTTAGGCATTTTCCTAGGTGACAACCATGCCCTAGATAAGAAAATTTGAACTTATTTAGCTATTATTAAATATAAATCTTATAATAAATGTGTCTCCTCTTTATGATTTCATATTCAAATCCTAAGTTATTATAGTATTAAATTAGTAGGTATTTAGTTTAATTAACAGAGTAAATGATGACTTTGAATGGTTCGCTAAATGTGTAGTGAGGAAAATGCCCCGTGTAGACGGACTTCTGTCCCGTAGTTCGTAAGGTTTGAAAAAGGAAACTTCAGAAACTCTTTTCGGACCCAGACAGCATTACATCAAAGGCAGTAATTTTAGTTCGCCGTTAATTTCGGGACTGTACTTGCGCACATGGTTTCATGTAAAATGGATTGCATTCATGTGACTCCATGCTCTTGACCCCCAGAGCTCCGCGATGATAATGCTCACATCTTTTCTCCCGAGACCCTATCACAAATGAGATCCCTAATCTCTCTTTGAAAAGCAAATCCACAGCAAGCACCCTAAAACCGTAGCCCCCATCACACAACCAAAGCAAATAGCGAATATCTGCGGAATCGAGAATTTCTGAGGACCCGAAGTTGGAGGTGGTGTTGTAGTGTCTTGCCGACTTTCGAGAGTCTTTGTCGAAGCGGCTCGGTCTTTCAGGAGCGCTGAGGGTGAGTGTATTGTGTATGGTGGTGGCGATGATGCTTTGTTTTGTGGGGATCTGAGAGATAGCAGGTTGGTAGGGTCTTCTCCTGGAATGACGTAGCTGAGGGTAATGGCTGCCCAGAGCATGAATATGAGGATGGAGAGCTTCATTGCCCTTACTTGGTATGTGAGTCGCTGTTGGTGTATGGTAGTTTGGTCGTATGTGTCGTCCAAGAGAAAAAGGCCTCAGGATAAATAGATTCTTGAAGGTTCTGGACACGAGGCTTGTCTTTGTCGTGGAACAGCTGAAAAGGTTGTTCCTCACGAATCTACGTGGGGTCTTTGAGGGTGTTGCAGGGTTGATGCTGTGGGTGTAGCATATGCAAGGAACATGAAACCCAGTAGAAGCGCCAACAAAGCATATTTGGTGGCAATAGGCTGACAGTGAATTGCCGATCATTCACAAATGTGACAACAATGACGTATCATGGCACTTTAAATGACTGACAGGAGCGCTCTTTGAGATGAAGTTGCTTGACGTATCACGTGCGACTCAATGGTAATTAGTACCTAGGTAGCTATTTATAAATTTTGAATTCCTGGTATATACCGGTCGATTTAAGCCAGCTTACTTACCTGTTTGAAGAAGCGTTTTTATAAACGTGAGCACTCAACCATCTGCTTGTGTCTAATGTCAAGCCCAACCAATCAATTTCCAGTATTCGATGAGCTCTCAGGGTTTGAGAGCCCTGTATTTCCAAGCTCGCTTATTCACAGCACTACAGGGCCAATGTGTGTTGATGCGTCAAAGTCTCTCAAGTTCTCCACGATGAATTGCAATAATACGCACTTTACATACGTACATACTCCTCCGAAGAGTCTTGGTTCTTGTATTGCTGTCGCTCAAGGAGGTATGTTCAACTTGACTAAGCAGTCATCAATCCTAGCTTGCTAGCAGCAGCTTCAAATCCTTCATAAAATCCATCACTTCAACTACACGTCATTTTCACTATGCACATCGCAGAGCTTGTGAAAGTAGGAAAAATAGATTTTTTCATCTCAAAAATGCGGTTGTGGAGGGGAATGAAGGGGACCCGCCTCGCCACAATCCGTACTCCATTGCTCTAATGCAACCAACCCAGGATCAAACTGCCAGGTATAGACTCATCACCACGCTGCCTAGTAGCATAGTACGAAGCAGATGCACACTCAGACCAGAAATTGTGTATGAAGACCCTGAGACCCCGTCATCATTCCCACCAACATCAAACCATCCACCTACTCCTCCTTTTCCACCGCTTCCTCCTCCGCGACCACTACCTCCACGTCCGCCTCCACCGCCTTTACCTCCTTTGTGCTCTGTGAGGTTGACTTTTCCGGCGACAGTATCGGGTGAGAGAAGTCTGAGAGGTTCTATATTGTCTGTTTGAGGGAGGGATGAAGGCGAGACTTGCTGAGAAAGTTCTTGCGGGGTGGTTGTGAGGATGACCGCGAGTAATAGTGTAGATAGCACCATGAGGTAAAAGTACAGGAGAGTATTGTACTTCATGGTTATGGATTTGGTGCAGTGTTTGTGTTGTGTAGTGGTAGACTTGCCGAGACTGGACAACTTTTACCGTTGGGAAATTTCGGCGAGCTTTATACCTGCCCAAATCCGTGTCTTCGTTACTCCGAAGAAACGAGTCATCTTGAACTATGTTCGACATTCTGTCACCAGGACAGTGTGGAGGTTATCTTTTGTCACGTAATGAAGCTTGGTTCCTGTGATTGGGTGAATGGAAGGGAAAACAATCTTCCGCTGTTCTTCTTGACGTCCAGAAAATCACAGCATAGAATATCTTTCATTCGGGCACAAGATTGTCTGATGATTCAAGTATGACTGGAATAATGGTCGATAATAGTAACGCCTCACTTGTAATATTGAGGAATTGAGATTGAATAGAAATCAACAAAGAAGCTCTACCATCGGGTATTATCCGGCTTCTGTCATTTTCTCCACCTCATAGTCTCCACCCAACGATCCCACTAAAAATTTCCAAGTTCACTATTCCCTATATCTAACCAAATAAACACTTCCCGATCATAACATGTGCAAATCATGTGCATAATCAGGGGATATGACGAAGTGGTATCGTGCATCATTTGCATCCTGCGATGCAGCTTGCCGATTAGCAGTATTCATGACTTGATGAAATCCCGTGTTCGATCCGCGGTATCTCCAATTCTTTTACTTAATGCGTTAAGCACATTTTTTTGGTCTATTGTTGTCTGTGAAATTTTTGATTCTCCTCTTTTTCGTAGCTTGGCATTGTGGAGTGGAGGCCAAGCGACGAGGGGTTCAAGTGGGGTTCAGCAAGCGAGAAGTAAATAGATCGTATTTATCAGCTGGTCAATGGCCTTCATCATAAGAACGAGACTGAAGAATGTAATAATAACAAGCTTTGGTTTGTGCTAAGCCTAATAACTGTGGACTTCCACATTTCATAATGCTAATAATATTTACATTTTCGAACAACGTCTCTTATTTTCACTCAGCCCACACGACCTCTAAAGGCTTAACTCACATTATCGCTTTTGCCTCCTAACTGACTCATCCGGTCTCATCTCATCCACCCCTCACCCCTTCATATTTCCCATATTCACCCTCCCAGATTTCGCCTCCTACCCAGCAGGTGCGATAGCAAGTATCCCAACCAACCCCACCAACGCCGTCCACCCCATCAATATCGCCATCCCCTCTTCCCTACCCGCATCATCTGGCCCAGGCCCACTAGTGCATGGTTGTCGTTTCTCGGTTTTGTGTTCTGTTCCCTCTCCACTCTCTCCGTCCTCGGATCTTATCCTCGCATCCGGACTGGACAGTCCTTCCATGCTATTATTCTCCTGCATCCTTCCAGTTCTGGCAATGTCCCGTATTTTCTCGTGCGGATCTTCGTCCGTACGGGCTTGTTGCTGTGTGTTTTTGCTGCTTATACTATCTTCGTTTGATGAAGTTCGCTCTTCTATTTCGTCTCCCATCTTAACCTGTTCATCGTCATCTGACTCATTTTCCTCAACTGTATTGTCTGGCAAGCTCTCTTCATCCCCGTCCCCATCCTTTCCTCGTTCCTGAACTCTCGCCACAATTCGATCAACAACCCACTGCACAACAATAGTACGCGGCGTGAACTTGACTGGCATTTCAATATCTATACCTTCTTCTTTCTCTCCACCATCTCTTCTATAGTTATCCTCATCTGTTTCACCACTTTTCACATCAACGGGCAGTATGGCAACCGTGCTAGCCGTCTCGTTATTTACTCCATGTCTGTGGAGGTGCTGGATTGGGTGGGCATCCGAGTGGGCATCCGAGTGGGCAACGCGGTGGCGGTATGGTGCTGCTGAGACGAGGGGGACGAGTGAGAAAGACAGAGTGAAGATGAGAATGACCGCGAGTGGAATGGACAGTTGTGTCGTTGGGGTAATGGTGTACTTCATTTTGAGGAGAAGGAGTTGCTGATGGAGCGTGAAGGTCTATGAAATCTTGAACTTCTAAGTATTTGGATATGAGTTTGTAGCATACGAGGTGCCCAAAAAGTCTTAGGATCATGAGTTGAGGAGGGTTTTGGGTTTTATCTGTCTTTTCAGGGCTACAGGAATTGATCCTAGAATCACGAGTGTTTTAGATCTGAGGTTGGAGATTAAAGAAAGTGGGACGTGACTGAGATCATGGAATGAAAAGGGAAATCATCGGAACCAACTGGCTGATTGGAGACCGCCCAAATCTAAATAATCTTCTGAATCAACGCCACCAGCCCATTCAAAACCCAGACTCGTCATCTAGAAACCATTCCCTACTGCCCTTGTCCACTAACATCCTCAATTTTCTCTGCAACATTTCTGAAGATGCCCCTCAGTCGTCTTTGATACCACCATCCCCAGTACGTACTCAAACACAGGAACCCAACAGCCACAGCCCCAGTCCTCACCCACCACGTATGCGCCGCCAGGATAACAGCCGCTGAATCCGTACTAAGATTCACGTACGCCTCACTATCATCTTCAAACCTACCCCTCCAATACCATACTGGTAACGCGCAAAGACAATTCCTATACACGCCAACCAACTGCATGATCGTGCCACCTATTGCTGTGAAAATACTCGCTATACCAAAGAGCGACGCGAGACTCCAGAATGCGATGCAGCGGATGAAGTTCCAGCATGTAGATTTGGTGTAGCGGGTTGGACTGTGAAGTTTTCCGCCGGGACAGATGCTGCAGGCTGAGAGGACCCAGATCCAGAGTGAGATTTGGAGGGTTTGGGTTATGAAGTAGAGGAGGAAGGTTAGGGACCTACAGGAGAGACCTTTTTGTGGCGTGTAGTAGGAGGTGAGGAAGGCGAGGAGGAAGGGGATGAAGAGGGGAAGGATGGTGAGGATGATGATTTTGGACCAGGTTGAGTAAGTGAGAATTGTGTGCGTACGGAGGTCGGAAAGTTGTTTTTGGGGCGGCGTAAAGTTTGAAGGGGTTTGGAAAGAAGTCTTTGGAGCCAGATTGATTTGGATCGACCGCGGAACCACATCCACTGTGTTTTGTAGCGAGAACGGAAGGATAGTGCGAAGAGGTGGAAGGTCGGAGGGTGTTTGATGGTGGGAGTTGAAACAGCTGACTGGAATGTTGATGGATTGTTGCCTGCTAGGAGCAGGGAGGATATTATCGCAACATGTGGGATCGTCATCCACCTGAAGGTATCAATTATGGAATGAAAGGAAGGATCTTGAGGGCATACCACATCCCAAACGCGAGAGCGTGCGCAATATCGTTGTTGCCAAGGTTTGCAAGAACGTCGAAGAGCGTGTAAAGGAATCCTCCTGCGAAGAAGACTATGGGCACTCCTACAGCAGACCCAAACCTGGTAGGTCAGTATGGACAATAGATAGAGGATACGTGACTACATACGATGTCTGTGCATCGAGCATGGATGGCAGCCTCGTGGACGGATGTGGCTCTTGAAGCAAGCTCTCCAGATCATTCCAAGCATCCTCTTCTGTTTCCAGATCCCTGACTTCTGCATGGCTTTCTTAGTGGGGAAACTAAGCACGTGGAGTACACGCTCACCGTTGCTCCATCTGAAGTCCAGATTTCCGATGAGAATGATATACAGAAGTCTTGTAGCAAAATTCTTGTCCAACCTCCCATGTTGAAGACCTTGCTGTACAAAGTCCAGAATCCGACTATCCAGGAAAGCCTCAAAGACTCCACTGAGGATCACGGGTCCAGAAAATGCAAAGCAGAGACAGAGCCAGGTGATTGTATCAGTCAAGACGATAGTAGCGGCTGCGAGAAACCGCAGCGGGGTCATGAAGAAGCTCCAGGTGTTGTCCAGACTTGGCATGAAGAGTTTGTCGCTTACTTCAAGCTTCCTGCGCCTGGGAATGCTTAGACAAAACACCAGGCATGGGAAGATAAATGCGACCATTGGCCCGACCCATTGCTGAAGTTTCTTCGACTTGGAGATTTGCCAGCCAGGGCATTGTTGGTTGCACCATTTGAATGATGACCGAACGACTGGAGCACCAGAATGGTTGCCGTTGTAGACAGCTGTGCATGGAAACTGGTCTGCATGCAAGAAATCCGAGGCTGTGGTTCCCGGAGAGAAAAAGGTTGAATCTAATATTACTAGGCTGCCATTATCAAGGCTGAGACCAGTGCTGATGGCAGTGAAGCAGCAATAAGCCAAACTCATGCCCCCTAGAAGTGGGTGATGTGAGGGCGGAGGAGTTGAACTAAAGTTGACCAAAGCAGGGAAGAGATCACTCAATTCATTGTGAATTCCATCTGATTGGTCAGTGCCTTCCAAGGCGAAAGCAGGCATGAGGAGGAGTGCGATTGTGATAATGCGCATCGTGGTAGCCACTACAAGATCACAAAGGTAAGATGGTCGCGGCATGAACATGTTCCCTGTTGCTTATTATAACACTTGCCAGTGGAGGTCAGGCTCCTTGGACAACTCATCCGCAAAAGTGCAGAGGGCTGTGAGGTTGGCTGCAGTGACAATTCGAACGGTTCATGTATGATGCCTCTTCGCAGCTCAGATCACAGCCTTGCGCCTCCTCATTGTAATTGGATCATATGAGCTGGGTCGTTGCGAACTTGGGCGAGTTTATCAAAGGTGCCAGGGACTTTGAGGCTGTGTTGGGCGCCACACCCTAATTAGATGGAAGTACTGAAGCACGCAATCTGTAAAAGATAACCGAAAGACAAAACTTACGCTGTTACGCCCCGGTTCGTTGGGCAAAGAAAGCTGATTTCCAAGATGAAGTTCCAGAAATTCACTGGGTTCGCAACCCAACATTGTAATCGGCAGATTCGACGGACTACTGCATGACAGAAACAATGCCAATGTAGTACGAGGATCGGCTACAACTCGGATACTTGAAGTCATGCCGACGATTTTCGGAGTACTTGAGGTTTGCCAACATGAAGCGCTTCTGGAGAAGAAAGTCGGGAGATCTCTTTCGTAACAGTTGCCTGGTATCTGCTACCAGGAACGGGTGAAACGTCCTCGACGGACACCTTTCATTGCTCAACGCTACACGGCAGCGATTTTATGCCGTTACTCAGGATATATTGATAGAGAGAGTGAGTAGTTGACACCAGATCTCGATCATGGAAGGGTACATGGTTGGCGTAACCACTGGACTCCTCCTGCCCTCCAAGCAGGAAGCGATTCGTAGTTGATAATGTGAGAATTGATCGCAAGGGTACGTGGGATCACGATCCAGCCAAATGCAGAAAACAAGCCACGAGCAATTCCTCCCAACCATCTCGTCACTGATCGCCAACGCGTGGTCGTGGTCTCTTAATGCAAGTCGGTCATGGTAGCCAATGTAGGTGCCGCGGTCGTAAGTCTATATCTGCCAGTAAACCCATGGGGCCAAAATCAAGGCAAGCAATTTGACGCCGGAGAAATGAGAAAAGCCTTACGAACATAACACAAATGCGGCTCTTCTTGCAGCTTCTTTCCACAATGCATCACGGACATGATATCGACGCCGGATGCCACTAGACATAAACCAGCTTCGATGCCATGGCGGGATTACGCCGCAAAAGCAATTAGTACTACTGATGCTGTACCACACTCTGCCGCAAGCTCGACGCTATCTCCCCACGTACTAGGATTGTAGCTTAAGCTTGTGTTGACCAAAAAGGTGGTGTTGATGGTTGGATGTGGTGGTGTTGAAGACAGGAGAAGGGGGGTCTTGATAGATCGACAGCTTTCTTATCGCCGCTTGTGCCTGTGCCTCCCGCCTCCATCGCGTCATGGGCAGCCTCCTCCCCACTTCACTCCCTGTGCCACTGCCATGCCCACACAGGCATCACAAGCCTTGCGCCCTCGCTCTGCCACCACGATTACAATCACCCCTCCTTCTCGCTGACCATGGAGTTCCATTTCGTCCCATCATCCTCCCTGCCTCGACAGCATGGCATTGGACACGCTCCTCCCAGCCCAGAGCACTGAAGCTCTCGCGATAACCAGCAACGACGCAGCGTGCGCGGACCCTGAAGACGAGGCTCCGTCGGACTTCACTTACAGCGATGGAATCCTGAAATGGGACTCTTCTGAGATCCGCGACGACGATGTCATCATCGTGATCAATACCTTGGGCGGTACAGCCGAATACACAATATTCAGTCTGGAAGCGGAGAAGGAGGAGGAGAAAGGTGAGGGGGAAGTGGAGGGCCAGACGAAGCGCCCGTTCAAGCTGCGGACCACAAATGCTATGATCCTGCCGCAGGAGTTTCTGAATAAGTTTCAGTTCCAGGGACTGCCTCCCTATCTGCAATCTGCGAAGGATGTATATGTGCTTATCTCGACGCTGTCTGGTACTGGTCTGGCCGTGGCCTTCTTCGATGACATCTTGCATCCTCTGCTTCGGGCAGTAGGTTTCGAGGATTCAAGGTATACGGTTCTCAAGACGAAGAATGCGGACTCTGTGAAGGAGTTCACGCAATTCAACTTGGTTGATCGTGCGAGCGATGGAAAGGAGCAAGTGGTTATCATGTTGAGCGGAGATGGAGGGATCGTGGACACGATCAATACTCTGTTGCAAGAAAAGGGGCGACCAAGGTACTTACCTCGACTTTTCTCGAAACATTGCTAACTTCTCAGCTCATACACAAAGCCGACGTTTGTTCAACTTCCCCTCGGTACCGGCAATGCGCTCTTCCACTCCCTCCACAAACCATCCACTCTCCCCTCTATCTACATCCAAGGTCTCCGGACCCTCCTCCACGGCTCGCCCAAAGCCCTCCCCATATTCAAAGCCACTTTCTCGCCAGGCGCCCGGCTCCTTACCAACGAAGGGCAAACTGCAACTTCATTACCAGACAATGCTGTTTATGGGGCAGTCGTAGCAAGTCACGGCCTGCACTCAACTCTAGTTGCAGACTCCGATACGACTGAATACCGCAAACACGGTGACAAGCGCTTTGGGCTCGTTGCAAATGACCTCCTATATCCCAAAGACGGAGCACCGCACAAGTACAAGACAGACGTGACGTTTTTCAAGGGCTCGAAAGAAGAACTTCTGGAGCGCCAAGAACACGGCTACGTCCTCGCAACACTAGTCAGTAACCTGGAGCGTTTGTTCACCATCTCACCCGAGAGTAAGCCCTTCGAAGCAGCTTTGCGGGTGGTACACTTCGGGACGCTTAGTGGAGACGAAGCTATGGAAGTTATGAAAGCGGCATATGACAATGGGCGGCATGTACAGAATCAAGCAGTTGGGTATGACAAGGTAGATGGGATTAAAATCCTGTTCAGAGAGGAGGGTGAGGATTGGAAGTGGAGGAGATGTTGTATCGATGGATCGATTGTGGGGGTTGAGGATGGTGGGTGGATGGAAGTTCGGGTTTTGGGTGAGGGGCAGGAGGCGATTAACGTTGTGGCTGACTGAGATTGATATGTTTTTTGATCACCTAGATGAGCCTGCTTTGGTGCTAGACTATTCTCAGTTGTAGAGAGCATTGACATAGAGTAGATTTGCAATTGTGCTATGAGTCTCTTAAGAATGAGCTTCTTCTACTCTTTCACGTCGAGCGGATGGACAAGATTGCTATTGAGAAAGGATTGCTTCATCTCTCGTCCAGAGTTGAGTCTCGTACGATCTACCAGAATTGCTGAGTGCAGAATTGAATGGCTCTTATGGTAGAGGCAATGAGGACAAATGAGTTGCAACAGTGCAACATCGTCTCTCAACACGCCGGATAAAGTCCCGTGACTCAAGCCAATGTTGACATGCGCCGCATCATCGCGTCCCCCTCCCTCACGTCGGCCTTCCCTAACATAGCTACCTGGGTAGACCACATCGTATACCTCAGTCAATTCTTCCTCGAACAATGATGGGTCTCTCACGTGCGGATATTTCAGAGCTTCGATCTCTATTGCGGCAAGCTGTGATTAGTTGCTCCGAACGATGCCAATATCAATCTACTAAATGGTAAGCAAGGTTTGTCGTCACCACAAGCTTCATCCAACCAACTTCACCTTGAGATTGATACTAATTAAATACGTGTTGAATGTCCAGGGTCGCTGAACTTCTCGATGCTCTTCCGGATGATACTTCGGACACTGACTTGACACTCTCTACAGATATCTTTAGCCCACAAACAGATCCAGTCGAGCTGCAGCTGGAACAAAATGAGCTGCCCCAGTATCTCATGGCAAAAGCTCTCTTCGATTGCCACGAATTTCAACGCTGTGCAGCCGTTTTTATACCTAGCACATCTTCCGAGCATGTATTTGCAATGCGAACTAATTCGAATAGTCCTGCCCATGGAAAAGTTCCTCCATTGACATGTAAAGCAATGAGCCAGAGAGCGCTATTTCTGGCTGGGTATGCCCTCCTAATAGCCGGTGAAAAGGAGAAGATGGAGGAAGTGGGCCAAGTTCTTGGGCCGTCAGATACTGGTGCTATCGTTAATAAGCAGTTGGCACCTATCAGAAAAATGCTAGCTACTTGGTTCAACGAGGCACAACAAAAGTCTCCAAAGCATGGGCGAAGTCAGGGCTGGCTGGAATACTTGTAGTGATTTCCGCACTCCAATCTCGTGGACTCTCAGGCTAATTGTGATTTGAAGGTACGGACTAGCTCTAGCGAAAGATAAGAATCATGATCTGGCAATATCATGGCTGCTGAAAAGCGTTTCGCTATATCCTTGGAACTGGGGTGCGTGGCAGGAGCTGACCAGCCTAATCCGTGATGGCGAGCATGTGAGACTCCAGCCCTTGCTCAGTTTTACCATGCATCAATAACTAACAACGAACGAAGTTCAAATGGGTTCAGTCCCAACTAAACCCTACTATCATGGCTTTCATCTTCTCAGTCCACTGCCGCCAGGAGCTGCATCTTCTTTCGACATCTCTTGTTTCTGAGATTTCTCAGTTGCAAAGCATTTTTCCTCGCAGCTTGTTTCTTGATAGTCAACGAGCACTGGTCTTTTATCGTATGAAAGGTATTCATCCACTGGCTTCCTTAATAGCATCGTATCCTGATCTAAAGACAGATCTTCATGAAGCCAGCTCAATCTTCTCGAAAATGTTGGGGTATGATCCAAGACACCTGGATTTCATAGACCACTACTCGAATATATTATACAAACTGTAGGTCTTTTCTTTTGTTTTTAAGCCAAAACTTTCCGATGCTTGCATTGACATCTCGTGACCGCCACAGAAACTTCAGAAATCAAACAAAGGCTAACTTCCTCCTTACCTAGAGGCTCCCGCGAAAGGCTTGCCTTTGTGGCTCAGCTCGCCTCTACCATTGATCGGTATCGACCCGAGACTTGCTGCGTCATTGGCAACTATTATTCTCTCTCTTCGCGCCATGAAGATGCCATTACCCATTTCAGGCGTGCGCTTCTCCTGGACCGCAACTTTGCCTCAGCTTGGACATTGTTAGGGCACGAATATGTCAAACTGGAAAACACCCACGCTGCTATAGATTCTTACCGGCATGCTGTTGATATCAACAACAAGGATTATCGAGCTTTCGTCGGCCTAGGCCAGGCATATGAAGTGCTGGAAAAGCCAGCATTTTCCTTGTACTATTATCGACGAGCAGTCGCGTTGCGCCCGGCTGATATGGACCTGTGGCAGATGATGGCCAATTGCTTGCAAGGTATGTCTAGATTGCCTCAGGCGATAGATGCCGTGAAGAAGGGTATTGCCTGTGCTAGGTCTCATACTGAGAACTATTCCGGAGGTGATCTGGATACCACATGTCAACGCATCGAGCTGCTCTTTCAACTAGCCAACCTGTACGAGGAATCTCAAAATCGGCCACATGCTATTAAGTGTCTAGAGATCTGCCTAGAAGAATCTACTGCAATAGAGGGCAGTCTCGACAAAACAGACGAGACCTCGAAACGCATAGTCACATCGATCCTACCCAGCACACGATTACTTTTGGAACAGTGGGCAACGGCGAACAGTGAATAATTAAATAGACGTCTCTAATGTCATATTCTCAAGGCCAGGACATTCTAGCACTCTGAATCTAACTTCCTACATCAATTTGACCGGCTCTCCTCATCCTCTTTTTCGATCGGCATATCGGCAGAGGTTTAGCCAGAAGAAGAAAGTCCATTACCTATCTCCTTATTGTACCTACAAGCCTCATCCCACAAATACCTCGTCTCACGAATCTTCTCCATCTTAGAAGAGTGCACTGGCCATTCGTTCAACTTGTGTTTGGAGCTGGAAAAGAGTTTGGAGAGTGTGGCGTTGACCTGTTCAGAAAATATCACTGATTAGTTCATTGTTTCCAGATCAGTACAAATGAAGAACGGTGGGAGGGGCCAGGGACTCACGCTAGTATTACCACTGTTAATACCGCCATCGCCCCAAATCCCACCACCAGCTTTCACATCATGATCGATAAGGTTCAGGTACACGGAATCGACTAGCTTGATCAGAGCCTCGGGGATCTCTTCTTGGAGGTCAGACTTGAGAGTGGCGAGTTTGGGGTTGGTTTCGGGCTTGGTCTGCCAGGTCCTGATATCAAGAGGGTCAGCATTTATTTCGTTGGATGAGCTTGTGTAAATTTCAAAGTCGAATACCGGATTTGAGATTGAACCACGGGTGCCGTAAGATAAGGGAGTGATTATGGTATGCATGGGAGGAGTCTGGGCGTAACGACTTACCAAGCAATGTCAATCACATGCCCCACGCACTTGGACATCCACCAATCTGCAATCCACGGCTCGGCGTCTAGACAGGCTTTCCAGTATGAATGGCGATGTTCAGTGTAGGATGTGAAGGGGATGGGTACTGTCTCAGCTGGGCCATGGTCGGGTAGGAAGAGTGATTCGGGATTGTCTTCTTGAGTAGAGCAGGATGGGAAGAAGTCGTCTTTGAGGAGGAAATAAATAAATATTACAAACATATCAGCTCTCGTTCTTCTCGCTTTCCACATAAGAGAAGGCGGGCTCACATCGCCACAGCCATCGCCCCCTATGAAACCATCCTCGCCCTCGCCTGCGCATTCGCCTTCCCCAGCTCACTCTTCACAAAACCCGTCTCCGTAGCACTCAACCTCAAGAAACTCCTCGGCACCAATTCCTGAAACCCACTGGTGCTCGCGCCACTGTAGAAGAAACTGGCATAGCAGAACTTGCGCAGCCAGTGCCATTGTTGGCCCGTTAGCGGGAGTGCGAGGGGTGATTTGTGAACGGTGGAAAGGAGGGAGAAGAATGGTGTGTAGGTGTAGTGGGAGTGGAGAATGTGGAAGGCGATGAAGCGGTCTTTCGGGGGGATGGCGGGGGAGGAGAAGGAGAGTGTAGGGTGTGTGGCGAGCTGGGTCAGGATTTTGGATTTGAGAATGGCGGGGTCGGGGGCGGTGACTGGAGAAATTAGTCGGGGTGGAGAGGAAAGGGAGGAGAGGTATGTACCGCAGAGTGGTGTACTTTTGTTTTTGGGTGGCATTGTGCCGGTGGATGACAGATGCCCACAGATCGGAGGACTCTCAGACACCAAAAATTGGCAGAGAGAAAGCGGGAACCAAAATGTGAAGCCCAGCAGCAAAATGAAAACTAAGACAGCCGATGTTGCAACGATCAGATTAAGAAAGGAAAGCAAAGCCAAAACTGGCTTTGAGAAGAAACAGTGCAGTGGTTTGACAACGCTATTTGAAGAGCTTCGAACTGGAGGAAAACCAAGTACAAGAACGAGACATGATATGAATTAAGTTTCTGCAGTCTCTAGCTTATTTGCTAGCTTAGTAAAGATGGGTCCTACAAATTTCTTAATTGGTATTCTCCATCTTCATCGACAAAAATGAACCGAAGTCGGTTGAGACATCCAGGCTAGTAGAGTGAGGTACTGGGCAATTCACTTGATCAAGTGTTTGTGTTAATATCATTTTACGAGACTGATATTTCAGCATCTTCGAAATTCTGTCGTCAGCTTAAAATCGTGTTTTAATATTCTAGAGGTCTTCCGGTAACTCAAGGTCTTTGGTCCCCGATAGCAGAACCAACCACCACCCCTCGTCTCGAACACCTTTCTTCTCTTAAGCGTTTGTCTTCAATATCTCCTTCACTTGTCTGCTCAACCTAAATTACTTCAAAGTCTCTGCGAGGTCTTTGTGCTGTCATTGACTATCACTGCATTCACTGCCTCAAAAAATATACCCCTCTTCACTCGCTTGGTAGCGGACCCGCTTTTCAAAACAATGTCAACAAGTACCTAGGTACCTTTTTTGACTTTCAGAAGTTCCCCGGCCGGTTTTACTTCAACACAAACGACTTTTTCAATTCATGCTACCAGCCAAGGTTTCCATCTGATCCTCATTTCTTGTTTGGTAGGCAAGTCATACATCTGTGCAGACTAGAATGTGTCCTTTTAGGCGGACCTAAGCGAGCGAAGATGACCCCTCGGATCGTGACGCATATCCGGGACTACAATCTGACACAAGCCCAGTGTCCAGGTTAATGGGGATTCAAATCCTCTCAAAAAAGCAGTCTGCAGTAGTGAATCATATCTTTATTCATGGTCCAATTATTCGTCTTATCTCGCCAACCAACGCAAGTAAATAGCAACATGGAATTATTCCGCACCAGCCCACCTCAGCCATTGTGCCTAGCTCAGCTCAGTCAACTCTCAACCCGTATTATGGACCGCGGATATCGTGCGCCAGTGTCGTAGATATGTTTAAATCTACTGGATCTAAAATCTTGGAAGGATTGTTTTTGGGCAGGGGTTTCGGTGACTGCTTTGAGTGTACCGTAAATATACGAGATACCGACATGTCATTTACCTCCCAAGATTCTGCTACAGGCCTGGAGAAACTCCCGAGGTGCGCAACTTGACAGCCTTGCATATCACAGACATGTGCTCATGGCAGCGAGGAGGCGGTGTAGCTGGTTCGGCTGCATGATAGTCCGCGTATTACAGATATTCACCTCATGGGCTAGCAGAGCTAGATCTTATCAGATGGAGATGAAATGAGCTTGAGGTGGCACCAACACATGGCATGCCCCGCGTAAGAGGGCGGAGACGTTTACGCCCTTTGGCGCAGCCTCGCTCCATTGATGCGGGATCTGTCACCGAGCTGGATCGTGCATAAGACCAGGGTTCAGTATGGCTTCTCTTCATTCTAGATCATCGATGGAATGTATTTTACGTGCACGATTTGGTGAATTGGGCGGTGTTGAAAAGGTGTGGTTGCACATCTTTGCGCAAGCGAGGCTGTGTCTCACCAATCAGTTTGCAAAACGAAAGGGCAAATATATCCTTCCAGGGGCATCGGGGCATTGGAGCATCAGCAAGTACTTGTCTTATGACTCTTGATAAGTTCCTATCCCATATACCAGCTAATTTTCAGTACAGTGCCAATAGCGGTGCATTATTGCGCAGCCAACACTCGCCCCAATGACTCAATCCAACCTTGGTTGGAATGTTGCTATCTGGCACATCACGATCATGATAGGGAGAGTCTGCTTGTCACATCATTGCTGCCTTAGAATTCCAAGTTGACGTTCAAGATGCTGTGGCAGTGAAGCTAGGATGATGTAGAATTTGGACTACATTTCCTTGTTTTTTAAAGGAGGTTTATGTTCGAGGCTACGCAGTAATGAAGGCTCATGATGAGTATAAGTTATAGGGCTCGCTCCCCTCCAGAAGATTCGGAGATATTGTTCTCAGCCATGCGATGCTTGCTATTGAGTAAAGTCACTTGAAGCAAAACCTTTTCCCAGTCATGCCTTCGAACGAAGCTCACGTACAGTACGTGCTCCCTCCAAGACATCATGGTCATGATGAGGACCCCCCGCGTACGAGGCGAGCCATAAGCAAACGGGTCCCTGCTCACTATATCCTATCTTGGTCGACCCTCATCCTGGCTATCACATGCTACGTCCTCACATCCCTCTACGCGTGGCACCCTGAAGTAATCTCCCACGAGAAGATCTTCGGCGGTTCGCCGTCCAGAGCCCTTCGGGTACTCACCGTCCTGTCTACCCTCGCCAACTGGATCTTAGCCGCGACCATCTCGCAATCTTTTGATCTCATGTGGGGAATGCTCCTCGCTCGTAAAAACGGTTTGTGTCTGTTGAGCGGTCTCGCACTTCAGCCAGGAACAAGTCTGGATGGCCAAGCTGAGATCATCTGTAAGAAACATCAAGGCGGAATGAAACCACGCGCCTGGAGTGTATTCAAAGTTTTGAGTATGACCATAATTCCAATACTTGGAATCGTAGTTTTGAGTAAGTGTCTTCTCATTAGAATACCGAGATTCCTCCAAGTCCACTTTTGACGATTGTTAGGGGATGTGGAAGCAATCCCAATTTTCTATCAGAAAACATCCGATCCGGTGGCGAAAGCATACAGCGTCGGGGCCTTCAACGCCACCTTAGCTACTATTCTGCAGCCTCTGACTGATGGAAGTTTCGGGACGCGATACAAGGATTTTCTTTCGGATCCAGATCTTGTGAGAGAAGTCAGCACCAATGCCGACCGAAAAGGATGCTCGATTGCTCATTTCAATGACACAAAAGTACCCTGTCGGTCAAAGTTTTTGATCCCTGGAGGTATTGAACAGTTCGCCCCTCAAAGTTTAAATGCCGAAGGATTCTCGGGTTCAGACGATGTACAGCCAGTGCTCGCCAAAAACCTCCGTGGTCTTTATCTGGAGTTCGAGCAAAATAATGGATCCGTAACGTTCGACCAGAAAACAGACTGCATCCGGCAGGGTTATCGACTCGGGGCATATCAGCTATGTCTGAAAGACGTTGGAGCCAACCAGATTGCAACTTGTAAAGTTAATAGTGCAAGGCTGTCTATTCATAACTGACATGATTACAGATCTGACTCCTTGTCCAAAATCTCTCGCTGCTAACATGGCGTGCATGAGCAATGCAACATGGCCAACCGACAAGGGCTGGGGGACCACTCTGTCAACATACACTCGGCTCGCCAACGTTACTTACAATGGCTTGAACGGCACCATAATGGACCACAAATTCTCACACGACACTCCTACGCCTGTCCAAATCGCTGCACCGGAGCTCCTCCAAGTTTTCCAGGTGCTCTTCAGCCCCGCTGATCCTAACACCAAATACGGACAATTCCTTTCTCGTCTAGGCATTGTTTCAAATAGACCTGTGGAACCTTTGACTATTTGGCAATACTTTCAAGGTCTTACAGAGCGATCTGAGACCGATAAGCGGGTGAACAGACAAGCTATGATGGGCCTTCAGTCTCTCTTGGCCATTCCAATCTACCACTGTCAAGCGAAAGACTTTGCTGAGCTACGACGACTACTTCTTTCGCAGATTGACAATTCGCCAATACTTGAAACGCTAGGAGTTGAAATCGTCAGCTCGTTTCCTGCGGTGGAGCCAGATACCGATATCTATCCTGCAATAATGAGGTGGACCCTAGACGTTGGCCGGCCCAGTCTTCTCGCTTATATTATTCTCGCTGGGACGACACTGTCCTTGTGCATTATGGCCAATGTCATGGCAACATTCACTGATGTTGGAAGGAGATCCAAGCACATGGGGTCATTTCTTCTTCTTACCCATTTGTGCGATTGTGAGACCACGTATCGATGTGGAGCACCGTTTGCAGAAGGAACAGAGGTTCCACTGGAGCATTTCCGCGACTTGGAAGCTGGACAGAGACTAACGAAAGCTGCAAAAATGCAAGTGAAAATGACCGAAGGGAAAGCTCAGAACACCTCGGAAGGCTTGAGATGTGATGTTAGGCAGGTAGAAGTGCAGATCGTTGAGCTCACTAGCCGGAAAGAGGTGCAGGATGGTGAGACTCTGTTTCGGCCGAAGACTACCTAGGCTGGCATTCGTCATTGTCTCAATTTCTAGAGAGGGCTACCAGCTTGAAAATGCATTTTCTCGGAGGGTGTCATTGAAGCTTAAGAACGTTATCGGCTATTTTATATATCATGAAACTGTTGACATTTACTGCTGATAGTTAGTAAATTGGCAGGATCACATGATAACGCGCCAGTCAATGAGGTTACATAACTTCTAGCAGTGGACAAATAACACACTCTTTGAATCCTCCTCCTACGCTACGGAATTGACCTTCGTTCTGAGACCTTGGTCCTTTTCGCTTAGTCACTTTAAGCTCGCGGCTGCCAAGCCAAACCAGACGGAAGTCTATTTCAACCTCTACCCGCACCTCCACTGACCTGCTCATTCCAACGTCTTCCTCGTCTTCAGCCTGCGTGCCACATCAGCGACAACCTCGAGTCGCCCACCTCTTCCCACTTTATCTGCCTTTTTCGCTGCCGGACCAAACACGTCCCAAACTTCGATATACTTGTTCCCGCTTGCCTGGCTCGTCCCTATTGCTACAAATGCCTCCTTCATCCTCTCATGGCCCTTGATCGCCTTGTAGTCGTCCATCGTGACTGCATTTCCTTGCTTGTCTTTCAACTCTTGTGTATTCAAGGCGCCAAGTTGAACACAGTAAAGCACGAGAGCTGCGAGGCCGGCCGCAAAGGCTGTTGCGACAGAGGAGCCAGTCAGAGTCTTGCACTTCTCCAAGGGAGCATTATTGGGCCTGTCTTTGATTACATTATGCCCTGGGAATATGAAGTCGACGTCGGCTGGGTCTCCGACCCATTTCCATACGGTGCCTGAAGCTTCTGCGGCACCGATCTTGAAGAGATGCTTCGTCCCACCGCATGCTGCCGGGAAACTTCGATCAGCTGCAACGCCCTGATCGTTAGCAGCACAGAACATGAGAATACCGGCGCGAGCTGCGCCTTCAATAGCTGCTTCGAGATCGATGATATCAGTCGCGTTCGTTGCAGTACGCTCAATTGTCCAGGACATAGAGATAATATGCACCTTTTTGTCGACTGCAGCACGAACGGCCTGGCATGGAGTTAGCGATAGCGGCTCAGAGGTTGAAGGGGACGGACTTTTGCTGCACTCTTGGCCGTGATTTGTCTCTTCATGTTTTCACTAATATGCTCGTCGAGTTTAACGACGTAGAGCTGAGCTTTTGGAAACACGCGGCAGATGAGGCTCGCCATAACGGTCCCATGCCCACCACTTGTCACATAATACGGCTTACTCAAGTTCTGATGGGTGTCTCGCTGACAGAAACTGCGACCTCCTATGATCTTGGCATGAAGAGATTGCTCGTTTATATCTACGCCATCGTCGATCAATGCAATGGTGATTGGTTCAACGGCCATGTCTCGAGGGGCATCTACGTTCTGGATGAAGTCGGCAAATTCGTCCATACATGTCAACCAGCGATGGCGGTGTTCCGATTGTTCATGGGCAACATCGACAAGTCCTCCTGTGGGTGCCTGCTTTTCCGGTTGTTGCTCCTTGACTACATCAATCTCAACTTCCGGGCGGAGCCTTGCGAGGCGAGTGCGAAAGTCTTCGATATTGTTTTCAGTCCGCCGGCTACTTTCAAGGCCCTGGAGCAATCAACATTTCGAAGTCAAAAGTAAAGCAGAAGAATTAAACTTACTGGCTCGACGTGCAAGTGCACTTTCTTTAGCTTTCTCAACAACGGCAGCCCTCCTGCCTCACTCCAACCGCGTAAGACAGCATTATTTCCACTCCAGTACAAGCAAACTTCTTCCGCATCAAATGCTACAGCAAGAATGGTCTCGGTGCAAAGATCAAGTTTCCTCCAGTCCCAGATTTCAACCTTGAACCCCGCTAGCGCTGCTTCAATAGCTTCATCGCTATGGGCTGGCTCGCTCATGTCATCAACAATCACACGAATGATACGCTGAACTTTCTTATGACGCAGAAAGTTGAAGAGAAACACCATATCGCTACGGCCTTTTCCATCAGATCGAGAGGTCTTCCGCAGCTTCGTCGATGCCGGCTTTTTCTCAAGACGAAGACTTGGCAACGCGACATATTGGAGGATGTCTTCAAACTTCAAGTGGTCGAGCCCTTCTTCAATACGATCTTCGCTGATGATCTTGGAGGGCGAATCGTAAAGATCAAAGTAGATCTGGTTTTCTGTATCGTCGTCAGTATCACGACTTTTCACCTTTCCACATGTTACCTACCTTGATTCCGACCATACAAAAAGTCGACTACATCGTCATGATTCCTATGTCGCATACAATACAGTTTCAAGTGGTTCTTAATCATAGCTGCGCTTTCCTCGGTCACCTTTGGTTCTTCTTTAGGCTCTTTTTTCTTCTTCTTCAGCTTGTCAGTTTTGGCTGCAATTGGAGTTGCTGGATTGGAGCCAGCGAAGCCCATGGGTACACCTGTCCCAAGCTTCAGCTGATCCCCATGTCCAGTAGCGCCAGTGCTTTTGGCAGCGAATGGGCTTTCCATTCCCGTCGCGACCCGACGGAGTGGTGCAGGCTTGAAGTTGTCCATTGCAGGTACCGCACCCTTGGATCCAGCACCGGACTTCCCAGCCTTCGGGTCGACCGTTTGAGTGGCAAACTTCTTGTCTTTTCCCGGTACAACTTGTCCATCCGTGCTACCTTCTTCGTTCTTCTCTTGATTTGCAGTTTTCTCCTTCTCTGCAGCGAGCTTCGCCTCCTTTTCAGCTGCCCTCCTGGACTCGATGCGAGTGTGTTCATGATACTGGTACGGCGACAGTGATGGATCAGCGTTGGTCCTCTGGTCCATGGCCTTGTCGCATCGCGCTATAAGTACTTCCACAATTTCCAACTGTTTGTCTGTACATCGATCGTACGCAACAGCAAGGTGGAGCGGAGTATATCCTTTGTCCTCCTTCGCTTGCAGAGTCGCCTCGTCTGCAGCCTTGATGAGTGTGATGGCTAGTTCTGGAGCAACATTCCGGCGGATGGCGACATGAACGCAATTTTCTGACTTGTAGCATGGGATTCGAAGGATCGATGCGATGTCCTGGGAATTCTTACAAATGAATCGAACGAATTTACCTCGCTTCTTGTAAATAGCATGGTACAGGGCCGTTTTTTCATTGTTGTCTTTCTCTCGCAGGACTTGTGGGAAGCGGTCGATGAGAAGTTTTACGAGTGGCTGATAAATGTCGAAGACTTTGTCTTTCGCATCATCTACCAACATATGCAACAGGGTATTGTTGTCCCCGTTCTTCTGGCCGAGGTACGATGCATTTTCTGCTGCAAAGGCTTCCACTTTGGCGGGGTCCCGAAGGTCTAGCTTTCCTTCCTTGAGCCAGCTTATGATGTCCTTGAATCGTTTCCCAGCGCTCACATCATCCTCATCGTCGTCGTCCGAACTTGCTTCACTGGCATCTCCTGGATCCTGCTCCTGTATAGGTGAATCTGGTGGATGTCGGTCCACCATAACAAGCTCCTCTTCAATCTCTGCACTCATGATTGTTTTTTAAGATCGCATCAAGTATGGATGAGTGGAGAGTTAATTCACGTTCATTGAAGGAGACACAAGACTGTCAAGACGCAACTTGGATGAACGAAAGCCAAAAGCGGACCCCAGCCTTGAGGACAACCCTCGGCAACAGTTGCTTGTTAAACTCGAAGATTCTGCACACAACCTTACCTCCGGACAAATGTGAACTCTCCTCGTTTCAGCTGCAACCCCCTTTTCAAGCCTCGGCCGCTCCTAGCGCTGATGTGAGATGCTTGTGGACCGGGGTCTTCATGCAGCTGAGATTATTGTTTGCCGAATGCAGTACCGCCCGAGGCGCAAGAAAATCTGGGCATGAGGATTTGTCACACGAGGCTGAAGCTTGAAGCACTGTGATGCTCTCAATCCATGAAAGAGAGTCAAAGCAAGAACGATCGATTTTGAGAGCAAGTCGGGTCAGATTCAAGATATCACTACGTTTCAAGATGGCTCAATCATCGTGCCCTAGCATGTGTCACCTCACAGAGGCCCTCCAAATTTATGGCCCCCAATTCTTCGATATCGTACTTTTGCAAATTATTGGTCGGCTCCAGACTGGGATCAAAAAGAACCGGGTCGTCTTTCGGCTTTCCTCCAAAGACACGCTCCATGGCACTCTTGACGTCAACTGTGGCATTGATCTTGACAATGCACTGGAAGGGATTCTCATCCTTCCTCTTTAGAAGAATTGCAGTCCGCATGCTTGTGGGAACTCCAGTCTTTGTGGTGGCGTTCTCCTGTAGAGTCCACGAAGCACAGTTTGGCTTTCCCCAGTTCCGGCCTTTCAAATCGATTGATCCGGTGACTGTCGTCTGATCATTCGTGTCTCGACTGACAGTCTTCGTCCAACCAACTTTAGCTATTGCGGTCGCGCCCAAAAATCCACCCCCAACGTCCAGACCGGCTTCGCGTGACACCTCTTCATGCTGAGAAGTGGGTACCAAAGATAGAACTCCATCTGGCGATATTGAGAACACTTCAGGGCCTGTCTCACCTGGCTTCATGCTCCCAAATTCGAGCGAGATACTGACAGCTTGAAATCGCCTGGCCTTCCTGCGGGAATCGAATCGGAATTGCAAAATTATGAGTGTCGAGAATGTCTCGCTTTCCGCTGAGAAGAACCCGTGTATCACATCAAGACAGGAGCATCGAATGTCCACAGCCCCATGACGTTCAATATAATTACTGCGCTGGAGAGGAGCTGCAGGGTCATTTTGTGTTCGAAACGAGCTGCCTTCATCGCCCCCAGGAAAAAGTCCGACTTCGAAGAAAGGTAGTTCGTCTGATAATTCTTCATTGGCAGAGTCGTCGGCGGGGTTGTCGAAAGCACCCATCGCAACACCAATAGTCTCTTGCGCAGACGACATCTTGTAATGACAGAAATTGCAGAAATTGAGGTGTACTGCGAGTTCGCAGGTTTCGATGAGTGAAAATGTGCTCCGGGATAATATCCAACCGCCGGAGCGCAGGGTACGAAGAGTTCAGAAGAGAAGAAGCAGAGAAATCGCAAGTTCCGAGTCAACGAGTCATTCATAGTTGTCCTCTTTAATTCAAGAGTCTAACTATGAGTATCGTCAGGCCGTCAACTTGCTGTATGACTGGCGTGGTTTGTCACAATTCTGGATTGGCCCCCAACCGCCCCCAATTGTCACCACCATTCTCACCACTAATTTCCACATCAGAAAACGCCACCAGGCTGAGATAATCCCTTGTAACATCGGGTACACTATCCCTGCAAAAATCTCAGCCTTGGAGGAAGTAGCATGGGTAGCTCATCGGATCCAATTTATCGTCAGGGTGGAGTGTCAGCCTTGAAGTGGAGCTTCTGAATCTCGATATTGAATCTGAACTGCATTTTCTCCCTTCTTCACAACGATAACAACAACAATGTCGGATACCGCATCTGAGTTTTCTGAGTCCGCGTCGTCGGCAGCCTCGGTGGCGATAGCTGAAGCTAAGGATGAGGAAAGCACAGCGCAGCCTGCAGAAGAGCCTACGGAAGAAGAGCAGAGCTCAGCGGCAAGCGAAGAAGACCTCACAGTGGGCATGGGGTTACAAATTCTGGCGGGAAGCATAGTGGACTTCGATCCAGAGGGCGATGATGCGCGACCTTTTGAGTGAGTTCGGTTCCTCACATTTGGTTCTCATAAGAATAGAAATTTTACTAAATGGTATTCTCAGTGTCGTCGCAGTTCACGGCTATCATGGTGATAGACATACTTCCTGGGGCGGACCGTACAGCAATTGGCTCGAGGATTCGCTACATGTTCGGTACCCAAGCTCTCGAGTTTTGACTTTCGGATACGATGCGCAGGGGATCAAAGGGACTTCTACAAGAGCGGGTATAAGGGAGAAGGCTGTGCAATTGCTGGATGAGTTGGTCAAATTGAGAGAGCCAGAGAAGCCTGTTAGTACCTCACATGGCGCACAGCTCAAATACTCGGCTTATTGTGTAATCTAGGATCTGTTTCGACCCTTGGTATTCATATCACAAGATCTAGGTGGTATAATCGTAAAAGAGGTAAGAGTGCTAGAAAGACAGAAGCTATGGTCGCTAATCTGAGACAGGCATTTTGCATTGCAGCTTTTGAGTATCAGAAGTACCGATCAATAGTGCAATGGGCTCGGCTATTCGTATGTGATCTCAGTGATAGTCTTGTCCAGATCACTGATGCCTGCTCAGATTTTCTTCGGCTGTCCCCACAGATGTACGAGTGTGCAAAATATGGAAGATGTGATTGGGAATTTGCTCTACGCCAGCCAATCACCCCGCCCCATCGGAGCTTTAAGAACGATCAGGGAACTTAGTCGATCGGTCATCGAGATTAATGGATCTTTTGTTCTCTCGAAAGTGCCGACTGTTGGAACGATAATAAACATCTATTCAGAAGACGAAGATATGGCTTCGAAGGTGAGTACCTTCAGGTTCCGTTTAGTAAAGCGAGAGAAAGACCAAGTTGCGAGAGAACATATCCGAACTGATACAACTTTAGGTGTTTGAAGACTACACTGTGAGTATTGATATTGCGATGGGTGGAAGCCGATTTGCGAAAGCTGGAGCCCTGCAAGAGATCTCTCATACAGCGCCGGAGGACATATATGATACTATCGATCTTATCCTGGCGGCCTATCCAAAGCGTGATTTACACCTTGGTTCTCAAATCTATGAGCAAGTCTAACGTACTTTAGCTTCGGAATATAATAGAGATACGGAAAGAGCTCTCCGAAACCTTCAGCGTCAAGCAGCAGTTGCGTATCCACTCGAAAACAAATGGGGTCCTCATCGTCGATGTAGCTGGCTCAGCGATGACGAGACTTACAAATCATGGTTCGACAGCCACGGCGCGAACCTTCTCCACGTCCATGGGACCTCTGGAATCCTCGATGTTGGCGACTATCTGTTCCAAGACCTCAATACCAAAAGAGAGGACACAGCACCCTTAATTCATTTTACCTTCGACAAGTATGATGACCAGCGGAACTCACTTGCTGGCATGTTGAACTCCATCCACGCTCAAATCTACAGCCACCTTCCAGTCTATCACCCTGCCGCAATTGTACCAGAGCAGCAAATGATGTACTACAGTACGTTTTGAGCGACTCTCCAAGGTTTCGAGATTCAGTGGCCGTGATCTTTGAAACAACTAAAGAGCACAATGGCTGACTCTGTTATCATATAGGCAGCTGGACAACGCACGAGCTTTTCACTATGTTCCGCAATTTCTGCACGAACTTGTCCCATTCCGGCTGCTACATGGTCATCAACGGCTTGGACCAATGTGATGATACAATCTTACTGTTCTTGGAGAAGTTGTGCTATCAAGCTAGTATCACGGAGTACAAATTCAAAATTGTGCTTGTCAGTTCCACCAAGAATAGTATCCAAACCGCTCTTACTGGATGGCCAACAATCAGCACCGATGAACATGATCCAGTCACTGATGCGGAAGTGCTGAAATTGGAAATTGAGCGTGAAGTACTGAGTCTAGTGCAACAATACCCCGCACTATACGAATGCGAAACAACTGTCACAGAGAGGCTTCTCAAATGCGGCGAGGATCTAGATTGGCGTCGGATTGTTTTGAATGAAATCGAGGATGACAATGGTCTACAACAACTGCAAGGGGAGCTGGACAATCTGGAGGTAGCCAGCCCCCCGAAGTCACTTCAACGAATTCTGTCCAGTATACCGACTTCACTTCAACCATGGTCCAGCAAGGTCATCTCTTTAATCCTATATTCGTATCATCCCCTAAGCGTTTGGGAGTTAGCTCAAGCAGTCTCGCCCAAGCTATATTGCTTACCCAATCCCGAGGTACCTTTTGATCGCCACTATGAACACTTCTCTACGTCGCTAGAAACCTGCTTTAAGGGAGCCATCATCGTGAAGCATGGCTTGGTTTTCTTCGGGCATCCTGAGGCCAGGCAGTTCTTTGCATCTTCCGACACGCGACCAGACGCGGGGAGGGCAGCACACGCAGACATTTTCGATATATGTCAGGATTTCATATCCTCGAAGGAGGGTCAAGATTCTCTACAAGCTCTCGTTACTAGTGCAGCCCACGATATTGTAGAGCCGCCGATCTTCGCCCACCGATACGCCTTCTTAAACTATGCTGTCAAGTATTGGCCAAAGCATTACCAAGCTATAACGAAACCTTCACTGGAAGCAGATGACCCACCCTTGAGCAAAAAATACGCACAATGGATATTTGACTCGGGCATCATGCGGAACTGGGCTGAAGCTTACTGGTCTCTTTCCAATTCTATCTACCGGAGCGACCGGGGATTTCTGTCTTTTCTCCCAGTCTTTGCAGGCCTTGGCCTTCGCGACATAACCTCGGCGATCATTCTCCGTGATGCTGGAAACCAAGGATTTGAGAAAGATTGTGCTCTTGCGCTGACAGAGGCAGTGCGATATGGCCATGGCACTATTGTTCTCATGCTTCTGAAGTTAGGGAGTTTCACCGAGACAGACATGCTCAGTGCACTCTTTGCTGCTACTGCCTCCCTTGACGATACCATCCTCGACGACCTTGTTACCTATATTGGAAAGAAGTTCCCAAAGTTTGAATGGCCAGCAACAACTGTTTTACGAATTTGCCAATTCGGGCATGACAAAGTATTGAAAAAGATACTAGATCTCGGGGCCTCGCCAAATGACGGAATCGCGCTCCATGACATGACTCCTCTATTTGCTGCCGCACGTGAAGGTAAAGTGGAAGTTGTAAAGCTCTTGTTGGAATCCAAGGCTGGTCTCGAGTCAAAAGCACAGCATGGCCGGCATCCCCTTCACGCAGCATGCGTCTTCGGCCATGCTGAAGTTGCAAAGTTGTTGATAGCAGCTGGGGCGGACGTCAATGGTCTGGATTCCGAAAATGAGACACCGATCACGTTGGCTGTGCAGTGGGGAAACTACAAAGTTCTAGAGGTCATGGTGAAAGAGGCTTGCATTTTGGACGGCACTTGTGGGGAATTGAAAATCAGGACACCATTGACGATTGTTGCAGATCTTGGATTCATCAAGTGTGCTCGAGTGCTGCTTGAGAATAAAGCATCAACTGAAGTCGTTTGTGCAAGCGACTGGCCGCCTCTTCGATATGCCATTACAAGGGAGAATATGGAGATGATTAAACTCTTGCTAGACTCTGGAGCTGACCCCAGCACCACCCACGGTGGCGAACCCCTCATCACAAGTCAAGCCATAGATGGAAAGTTGGAGGTCATCAAGTTATTGGTCGAGCACGGCGCCACCGTGGATGCGATCAACTCACAAGGAGCAACTGCCATGCATTGCGCAGCGGAGAAGGGTTTCACTGAAATGATAACGTATCTACTTGACCACGGCGCTGCTCTCAATTCACAGCTTACGGCAGGACACACAGGTGTTCTTCTCGCTGCTAGTTGTGGTCATGCCGATGCTGTGAAATTGCTCCTGGATAGAGGAGCAGATATCTCCATTCCAACCACTGATGGCTGGACCGCGATTGGACTTTCGTACGACAATGCGGAGGTGACTCGTCTGTTGATGGAAGCGGGTGCGAATGCTGACAGAACGACCAACTCCTACACACCGCTCTACCTGGCTGCCATGTATGGCTACACCGAAGTTGGTAAGTCACCTTTACCCGCGGAATTTTGAAAGATGTCGAACAGTTGCTTCATTTGTCCATTCTTCGCGTTACCCCAGTCCAAATCCTTGATCTTCAAATGTGCGAAACCAAATTCTAATCTCACATTTAGTGAAAGTACTCCTCACTTATCCAATCAACCTAGAAATCGAGTACATTAGTGAAGCACCCGATGGGCCTAATAACAAGTACACAGCATTGACCATCGCCGTAACCAATACTCAGACTGAGATTGTAAGATTATTGCTTGAGGCCGGAGCAGACGTCAATCATCTATCCGAGACCAACAACTTTTGTACACAGTACGCAGTCCCTGCCGACTCAAGCATGATGCGGACTTTGATGGAGTACCGGCCAAAGCTCAATCTCCAGGACAATGACGGCGATACTGCGCTATCTTATATCCATGAGACGGCACAGCTTGAGACTTATCAGATCCTGGTGAATGGAGGCGCTGATCTCGAGATCCCCAACAAGCAGATGCACACCGCTCTCGGTAAAGCAGTAATGCAAGGTACGAGGAATGATCTTGTGAAGTACTTCATTTCAAAGAGAGCAGATCTGAATCCGGATGCTGGGAAATACGGCGGGCCGCTGCACATCGCATGTCGCTATAAGAATTTTGAGGCTATCGAAATGCTCGTTCAGGCTGGCGCAAACGTGAATCTCGTGACAACTGGCACATCGGGTACCCCGTTGCAGTCTGCAGCCCGGTGCTGGAACGTTGTCGCAAGTCAAGACATGCAAGAGAAAATGATTCGGTATCTCCTGGATGAGGGCAAAGCAGATGTCAATGTAGTTGGAGGTATGCAGGGCTGTGCGCTGAACGCCGTTTGTGGGTGGGCTAGCGCTGATATGGTGTCTTTGCTTCTCAAGAGTGGCGCCAAAACCGACGTGGTAGATGAAATGGGACGTGCTGTGATTCATTATGCAGCGATGCAGAGTCTTGCAAACTTGCAGCAGATCATTAGTGCTGGGGTAGAGGTCAACACGAAAGATGCGATGGGCAGAACCGCGATGCACTGGGCCGTTGTCAGCGGGTCCCTTGAGGTAGTTGAACGAGTTTACAGTCTCTCGAGGCGACTCTTGGATCAACCGGACAATGATGGTTGGACGCCACTATTATGGGCTGCTCGAGGATGCGAGACCGTCTACAAAGAGACACCTTCCAACGCTCAGGAACAGATCATCTCGTTTTTGATCGACCAGGGTGCAGACCCTCTCGTGAAAGGCAAAGGTCTTGAAAGAGAGTGGACTCCAATACAAATAGCCAGATTTCATGGAATCGACGACGAATTGGTTCAGTTCTTGGTCAAAAAGACAAAAGAAAAGCTTGGGAAAGAAGAACTCTATATAGAAGCGCAACATGCATGCCCGAAAGCCTCGGAACAAGTCGGCTCCTGCGATAGTTGTCATTGTGTAGGTTACTTCTCGCCTGCTATCCATGCATCAGCTAACACATACCACAGCAAATGCTCGGCAACCGGTACAAGTGTAATGACTGTCTAGATTTCGACTTCTGTTATAAGTGCTACAAGTCTCGCCTTGTTATGCACAACAAAGATCACACCTTCCAAATCCTTGGCCCAGAGTTCGAAGTCGTTGTTGAAGTTGAGAAGGAGAGCACCGAGGAAGATGACGATGATACGGATGATGATACAGATGATGACACGGATGATGATGAAGATGAGGAGAAGGCCAAGAAAAGTTGAAGGTCGCTGAGTTTTATGGATTTGAGCAACTGAATATCCTTTCGGGCTCATTTCACAGCTCTCGGCAAAATTCATCACTTGGGGGATTGGATGTGTAGGCTTAAGTGCTAAGAGCATCGAGTGGAGCCTACATACACACTGGCGACAATTAGCGACTGTTGAGTTCGCTCAAAGCCAAGGCGGAATTGAACTTTTCGTGTGCGTTAGGTTGGGGAAGGGTACTGTTGAACGACAAGTAGCTTTGAGTAGGCAGGTCCTCTGAATGGTTTCTGCTGCGCCACAATAGCATCAAGTCGAGCGTCTTTCTGGTACTACTACATGCTCAGACAGTCGTGACTACGTCATCTCAAGGCTAACCACATCGATTGTTTTCCAGCACTGAAAACGGTTGAAAGTTCCTATTACACTTGTCGCCTTCGCCGCCAAAAACCTGTCTCATATTATTACAAAAAGCAGATCGAGTGCTTGATTTATATCATTCCCTCAGTTCAGCACTTTCGTCGCTTGAGACCCTGATCAAAATTTCATTACTCTGAAAGTCTCCCGTTCTCATTCCTCGATCCATCTCCAGTCTCTCGACTTCTCTTCCACTCTCATTGACCCAGACTCCCATCCAAGACCCCACCGCTTTCGCTCTATATTCGTCGCCTTTCACAAGGGCGACCTTAGGCTCTTTGAATTCCACAACAGTGTCGACTTTCCCATTTGCAGGAATGTGGACAATGCTTTGGTCATTGATGGAAAAGTATCCCTCTGGGGGCACACGATGATTGATTTTCATGTCCAAACATGGGGCTTTGACCCCACTATTCGTAGATGTGAAAGACACAACTCCGATTGATGGTAAAGATACATCTAAGGGAGAAGACCATCGCAGGAGGAAGACTTCGTGTGGTGAAGTGTTCGCGAGTGTGATGCGAAGCTGAGCCGAGCCGAGAATGGACGCCTCTGACACTTCCGATGACAATGTGACCTCAATTGGAATTGATGAGGTAGTCGTCATCTTTCTGGAGATGACAGAAAAGTCGTCATAGACGAGAAAAAGAGCGACGAAAGTGAGAAATGCAACCGCTGTCGTCAAGATGGTGCGATGGCTGGCCATTGATTCGGCGTTCAAAGGCAATTGCAAAGAAGGTAGCTATGGTATGAAAGTCAGAGATGCAGAGGGGTTGGAAGATTGGAAAGCTTAACCGCGTTAATGCGTTACATAATCCCAAGTATAAATCATGTGAGTCCAAGATACTAACTTCGGAGCTTCCTGTTTCATCCTTCAAGCCTTGTCTATCTGCGGTTCGCGCCGACATGCATTTGCCAGCTGCCATATTTGTGGGGTGCTTACAAACAAAAACATGTAAGCGATCTATTACTTTATTAGGCAGGTCACTGATATTACGTGCACCAGGATGCTATCTACGGAGGTACACGATTCAAAGTGCCATACATCTCGCTTGATAATACCGGAATGCTTCCGACTACCATTGTTGTGAAATCATGTACTGAGAAGGTGATAGAAAAGGATCAAGTATCTGCCACGCCAGCAAGTTCTACCTTGATGTTTAAGAGCTCGCTTGTGTCAGTCCGACCGGCAGTTCATCAAACTGCCGCAGTCCAAGAATCTCAAGACAATCTATTCGCGCATGAGGAAGCTCGGAAACAAATCACAGGGTACTTGGTCTACACCTGTCAGACTCCAGAGTTTCTAGACCAGGAGGAATTCCCATCTCATCGCCGATCATAATCATATTTGCCGGATAACAAACCTTACTCTGGTTGCTCCCGCCCCTTCCTGCAACGTTATCTCAACATCGCAGGAGTTTTTGATTGGCGGTAAAATATTCCGATAGATGATGCGACAGACCGAGGCATCGATGCATGTCATATAAGGTATGATAAGAACGGTAACCAGGTTCATGCTTAACCAAACCTGATATCTTCTGCGGATTAGGGGCGGGGTTGGTGATGCCAAGATTCGCTATAAATTCTCGCTTCATTTTGACCTTCCCCTTGCGACCATCTCGCTTACAGGCATATCCTAACTTCAACATGGTTCGCTACCTAACCAAATCACCACCTTAATTCTGTGAACGTCTAGCAGTCAATCTATTAGGATGAGGAGGTCCAAGGAGAGCTTGTTTATAAGGCATTTGCGGAGTAATGGGCAATAATCAACCTGGATCAAAAGATCAGCACAAGCAGCCCATAGGTCACGTTCATGTGTACCAAAGTTCCGCGACTCAATGAGAACTTGCTCGTACATCCTTCAACTACAAGAAAGCTGTTGGGAGATATGAATACGTAGAATGCTTGTCCATAGTTGCCTTTCTCCAAAGTGCACTGATGATTTCGATTGGACTGATCGCTGTGGAAAGACTCATTCAAGCAATGAGTCCCGAATCGTGCATGCCATATGGTATGCTTAATGCATCTTGGCATTTCTTGGTATGCATGGGATTTAATATGGAAGAAACATGTCGATCTTCTTGGATTCTGAGCTTCCTCATGGAGATCAGGACAGGAACACTGACTTTCAAGTGGTGCAAAATGCTGCCGACGAACTAATCGCGTCGCTTCGGAGCTCTGAATGTGCCTCGAATGGAGTGTCTAGAAGCTGAAGATCATCGATATTATCCTAATCATTGATTTCTAGCTTCCTCTTTCCGTAATCCATCTCCGTTCAGATGAATGTCTGCAACTCGAAACAGAAGTTCGTCCCATGTCGTGGAGTCCTCGATGTTCTCTCAGGATTACGACCTTCTACTTTAGAATCGGATCTCAAGTTCCTCATTCATATCTCTGAGCATTGAACTTCGGCTCTCAAGCGTTGTTACCGCTTAAGTTCTTCCAAGCCAAGCTTGACTTCATCTCACTTGAACATAAATAATCCCTTCGCTCCCTCCGTTCCATCTTCAGCAAAGCACAGATCACATTCATACCCACTCTCACTATATCCTTCAAGATGCATTTCACTCCAGCTTTTGTTACTCTTTCCATACTGTCGGCTTTTGGGGAAGCCGCAGTTATTGAGAATGGCAAACGGGCACTTGGCTTGGAGGTGACTCTCGCCCCAGCTGGGAACGCTGCCGAGGTCATTGCTACCGTGAAGAATGTTGGTGCTCAAGACTTGAACCTCTTGACACCAGGTACTTTTCTCGACACCGCCCCTGTCCAGAAATTGAGTGTGGTTGATGAAGCTGGTAATTGATGCCCTACGACTTCTTCAAAAACCATCATACTGACTTTGCAAGATGTTGCTGTGCCCTTTACTGGCATTTTCCGTCGCCTGCAAACCTCTGATCTTGCCCCAGAGTATTTCAAATTCCTTAAGGCTGGCGAGGAATTCACGACAACGATCAATACTGCTGAAGTGCACGATCTTCAAACAAGTGGCACTTACACCTTTTCTGCTGAAGGAGCTATGAGATTTGCCATCGGAGAGTCAACTGAACTTTCTGGAGAGGCTGTTTCCTTCAAGTCAAACATATTGAAGATGGCCGTCGATGGCGCCGCCGCTGCTGTTGTCCCCAGAGCAGTTGATATGACCTTTGACAAGCGTACGGTGCTTCAATCCGGATGCTCAAGCGCACAATCAGCATCAACCAGGAATGCACTTACCAATTGTGCTGCCCTCGCCAGAGCTGCATCAACTGCTGCAATTTCTGGCTCAGCGAGCAAGTTCAGCGAGTACTTCAAGACAACTGCATCAAGCACACGCTCTACTGTTGCTGCTCGTTTGTCAGCTGTCGCCCGGGAGTGTAGCTCAAGCACTTCTGGAGCTACCAGATACTACTGCACAGATGTATTTGGTAAGATCTCCTCACCCAACTCTGCGAAATCACTTTGCTAAAAGTGGTTTTTTCAAGGCGAATGCAAGTCAAACGTTCTTGCATACACTATTCCAGCACAGAATGTGATTGTGAACTGCCCGCTTTACTACAGTGCCCTTCCAGCTCTCACGACCACATGTCACAGACAAGATCAAGCAACTACCACCTTGCACGAGATGACCCATGCTCCAGGAACCTACAGCCCCGGAACTGTTGACAATGGTTACGGTTATGCTGCGGCCACAGCTTTGTCGACCTCAAGAGCTGTTGCCAATGCTGACTCTTACGCACTTTACGCCAATGGTAAGTGATTGCATTCAAAAAGACTAAATCTTAAAGATCGTTTCTGACTTCGTGGCAGCCATCTACGTCGGATGCTAAGCTATCCGCCTCTCACATCATGGGAGAATATTTCAACCGTGCTCTACGAGACGTGAGGATGCGTAAGAGGAGCGGAGAGCAGGATTTCACATTATGACAAGGTGTTAAACAATTGAATGTCAAATTACATTTGGGCAATTTCGAATCTGTCAAGAACGCCTCTCCTCTCAACCTGTGTGAAATGACTACAGTCACAGAAAGTAGAGATGGTACCCTTGGCTCGCAGAATAATTCTTTGGGGTATGCAATTCGCAAGACGGGGTATCCCTTTTACTGACAATTACCTTCAACTTGTCAATGGCGGACGTGATCCTCGCGGTGGCGACAGCAGCGAAAGTCTCTTCCTCAATTACTCTCGAGCGTAGGTTTGGCAAATGATTGTTGACAGCAATCGTCCCTAGATCTGAAGTTCCGGGATGGCCGCATGGCAATTCACATCCTCTTCCGCCAATATTCTAACCATGGTTGACTGACTCTCAACTTCGTCAATCCAAATGACCCTTCCGAGCACCCCGAAAAATTCCCCGATACACCAAAGGCTGACTGATCGATGGTCTGGTTTGTCGCAGCGACGATGGAGACCCGAAACACCGATTCGCGCCACCACGATTTTGACGCAGATTCTTTGTTTAGCTTACCAAACTTCCTAGCCGAGAATCGCGGAAAGGGGGCCTCGGTTCGGGAATAGCATCATGACCTTCAACTTCTGCGTCACGCAGTTCTCCTCAGGAATTCGAACGTAAAATTATACTTTTCCGTTGAAAAACTTGCCTGCGTTTCAGAACAAATTACATAAACATGAGATATGATCTATCACAATCCCGTTCAAAGTTTGTGGCCTCGCATAACCTACAAATTTACCAGACTTCCCGTTTCCCTCGGCTACGACCCACCACGCCAATAATCCGAGCGTGGCGTCCCAAAAGATCAGCTGGATTCCCAGCAACGAGATTAAGTTTACCAAAGTTGAGGGATTCGACGTGCAACAAAGTTTCCAGAATGCTGCTATTCATGATGCTGACGGGAGAGGAGTTTGCTTTAGGAGGTAGTGAGACGGGATGCATTGACTATGCTGGGGGCTTAGCGAGAGACATGATTGATGCGGCTCTGGCACGGATAGTCTAGGCTGTGAGAAAGAAATGAAGTTTACCAGAGTTGAAGATTTCGATGTGCAACAAAGATTGATTTCTCTATGATTCGTAATCGGACGGAAGAGAATTGTCAGACTTTACTGATGGTCGTTGCTTTCACTGTCGAAATCTTTGACGAGTTGGCACGTACCGCGTTTGGAGGCCGCGCAATCAACATACTGTAAATGGGTTTGTGTTACCAAAGTTGAGAATGTCGACATGCAACAAAACCCAAATACTTTGACTGATATATGAGATATCACATTTGAAAACACGAGTCAGAAGTTGCAATGGAGACGGACAATATTGTCAATAGCGCGACTGGATCGGTTGCAGCAGATTAGCGAGGCAACCCCTGTAGGTTGACTTACCAAGACCTCAGGCGGCTCTGTGCACAAGACACTCTAAATTGGGTTACCAGATTTAAGGAATCCGACGTGCAACAAAAGTTTGTTTGTTTCTGCCAGTTTATGATAGATATCCTGGGTTTTGGGCTGCTTGCAGGGGAGGAGTTCCAGCGTGGTGCCATCGCATTGATGGCGAGGAGGCTTAGCGAGTGGGCACCAGCGCATTGGGAGATTTCAAGCGAATTCTGGTGACTTCGAGCTTCTGGGAATGAAATTGGCTTACCAGAGTTGTGAGATGCGAAGTGCAACAGAAGAGATAATTTTTGTTGTGATAGACAGTATGCCAAATCGTTCTCCCTCTACGTAGTTGGGGATGAAACGCTGATTGCAAGAATGGCATACTCCCTTTATTCTTGGGTCTGACAATGGAGTCTCCAAGACAAATCTTCGCTGGGGGGTTCTGGCCAGTAGAATAGAATAGACAGGATTTCCTGTTCGGCAAATGGATTTTGAAGTCCGAATCTGCGGTAATTAGACTCCTGCGCTTTTCAGAGTACTTGGCAGGCCCTATGAGACATACTCTACCTGAATATTCAGGTCTTAACGTCTGTGATCTCTTGCATGACGATGCTTTAAGATTGTAAATATAGTGTTTTCAAGCTTGTTTGCCCTGTTTGCATTCTTTTGATTGTGATCTGAAGACCGCACAGAGCTTTTACCCTGTTACTTGGCGGACCCATTGTCAGACCCAAGAATAAAGGGGGTACTGTTGACGAAGATTAGCGAGTCCACCCCCTGACGGCGTTTCGCGGTCCCCGAAACGACCGGCTATTAAAAGCTGCCATGTGGGTATTTGGGTCTCTGTTCTCTCTTGATCCTTTCGACGCTACTTGAATGTACAATAAAGTTTTAATGCTACGCTTTCGCCAGGAATGAATACACAGTAAGTGTACTATGCTACGCTGAACACGCTGGCTTCCCTCCCGGCTGATTGTAGAAGGATATTGCAAAGCAAGACCCCAAAATTCTATGTACCGAACGCTCCGAATAAAGGTGCCCAGACACTTTTCTCTGAAGCGCTTGTCGCCTTTCTTTCTTCTCTCTCCTCCTCCGCCTCCGCTCTCCTCGCTTCAATCTGAATGGCTCTGTTCAACTCCCTTGCAAGCTTTTCACATGCTCTAACATCAAGGATGTAAACATGAGTGCTACCTTCAACATCCAGTATAAGCGTCGCCAGTGTCCCCCCAGAAGGAGCCGTGCGGATCATTTCATCATGTTTCCAGATCCACCCTGCTTCCACTGTGTTGTGACTGTTATTTCGTGTTTGGTCCATGGCTTTTTCTGTTTCCACGAGTTGTTCCACGTCTTTCATAAGTTCGACTCTGGCTTTTTCCTCCTCTGAAAGATCTTTTCTTTCCCGTGGAAACGTCTGAGAAATGCCTCCGAAGATGTGTGGACTAGGCCACAATGCTGGTACTTTTATTCGCGGCAGGTATTGGTTTGTCTGTGGGCCTGGAAGTGACGGAGCTGTGCATCTCATTACAGCTGGTGGAGGACGACGTAATGGTCGGCAATGACTCAGATTTATTGTGTCCCTGCCAGCATATTCTTCCCCTAGTGTTTTCCTTGTTTGAATTATGTTGTCCTTTGTCGAGGAATTCAACCCATTCCTGAGTTTCCTGGATCCGTTTAGCCATGAAGAGGTCTCCGAAGCTGGTGTTGTAAGAGGCGTCGAGAATTCTGAGATCCCTTCGTCGGCAGGGGTTTTCAATTTACAGTTGCCGTTCGATCTTGCGGCACCACTGGGCCTCATGGTTCCATAAGTTGTGGCATCGTTTACTGGAAGGGAAGTTGACGGAGGCGAAGTGGCTTCGGAGCTCTGCGGCATTTTGTCCTTTATGATGGACAGAAGCTAGTCGCTCTTGAGTTCGATACTGTTGAGAGTGATCGGATTGCGAGATTCGTTGGACAATTGCAGGACTCCCGATAGCTAGTGCGTTGGCGATGAGCCTGACAGCGAAAGACATAGATGATAAGTTATCCTTCTGGAGGCTGAAAAGCTGAGTTGGAGAGAAATCTTATGATCAAAGAATGTTGCACTTAATATGAGACACCAAGGACGAGCTTCAGAACGAATGTATTGAAACAAATGTGTGGGTGTACATATAGATGCTGATATGGGTGAACGTGAGAAAAGTGGAAGAGGTTCAGAACCTGAGCGAGTAGAGGATAATTACTAAATGGTCGAAAGTAAACTGTTATGGACTTGGCTCAAGAGCAAGAGAAGGAAGGCAAGTGCGAATCATGTCTGTCAACATCACTCGTCAAATGAACCAACAAACATAGGTCCTATAGGTAATGATGGAAATCGCGACCGAATATCAATGATTGTAGGTTTATGGTACTAGATAAATATGAATTTAAATTTAGAGAGAAAAGTACAAAACATAGCGAAAGCGGAAATAAAGTGGCATGAAGCAGAGTGACACTGTCCAAAATGGCAGGGAAACTCTGTCAGCGAGACTTGCTCGTGATAACAGCACCCAAGGCAAGATCAAACGAGGCTCCATCGGGGAGCGAAACCAGACTCATCATCTGTATAATCCAAACTCGTGCGCTGTGTCACCTTACATTTACAGTTTCCACATGCCAGTAAGCCCAAAACCTGAACCTATCCACCATGACTGTCCACGTGACCATCACGCGACACTCTTCAATCACTTGACCATTATTTCTCCCAGAAGTCTACAAGCCTCCCCACTTATACTCCACCTCACGATCGCTCCGTTTATATTTCACTCATTGGTCAGACAGACGACCTACCTCCCCCAACCACCAAGCCTACCCCTGGAACCAGATCACATGTCCGCTTACCTCTGCATTCAGCCGCGCTCATCCACCCAATCGGTGTACGCACGCTACTGCATCGGTACCGGATGTTCCTGAAGATCGCTTTTGGTGGTAACATACGCTTTGTGGTGGTGGGTTGGGAGGTATACTGAAGTCCCCTATATATAATAGAGGCACAGCAGATGCGAGCGAATACGGGTGTGTTTGGTATGTAAGCCTCCCTCGGTTCGTTACAGGATGGAAAAACAGAGTAGGTGGTGTTGGTAGGATTGTTGGATTTGTAAACAAATGATTTGGAGTGTGTAGATGCGTTTGAGGCTGTGAAGTAAGGGTGAGTGGAGATCGACGCACTTCGTCTCTGTACTTGGTGAAGATAGTAGCTGAATCAAAGGCTAGGCTCTACTGGGAAAATGTAAACAAAGATCTCCGAAGAATTTTGTACATGACCACCATCAGCACCATGACAGCAAACCACGGACTTCCTCCCCTCCCACCTCGCCACTTACTCACCCTCCTCCCCGAAGCCAGCAGTCAGCCGCATACCTAGTACTGCAGTATGCAGATCCATGACCCTCAAGTGACACCTGCGGGGTAGATCTACATGTACCCACACACACACACATACACATACACACCTACCTAGAAAGGTACGGAGGTACATCACCACAGCCCAAACCGCTCCGCCATCCCGTCAGCGCCTCTCCCCACCTGCAATGGAATATCAGAGTGGCGTCCTGCAAACAAATTTGATTTACGCCAAGGATCAACGTCGTCAGTTTCATCCACTTTTCGTAGCCGAAGTTGACCGATCGATGTGTTACCATGGTAAAGAGAAGTATGGTTCAGACGATTATGCGTACGTTTGTTCTATGAATGCATCATTGATATCTTTAACCTTAGATGAGGGGAACGCGAGTGGAGATTAGATGGGGCGAGAGAGAGAGGGCGAGGTGAAGTGGTGATGTGATGATTGTGTTTGTTTGTTTGGTAAATCAAGGACGAAAGTTTGGTACCGGCCGTTTGCTGACCTGGATACCGCCGAGATCTTGCTTGGATGACGGCTCCTGTAGCCTGTAGATTATGTATTCCTACTCCGTCGTCTTCATCTGGACTGAGAAAAATTTGGAATTTGTGGGGAATCCATACATTGAAGCTTCAGTACCGTGATGAGCGAGAACAGTTCGATCGTTCCTTCCTATGCACGGCTGGGGTAAACCCGTGTGCTCTGGTCTGGTCTCGTCTGGTCTCGTCTGGCCTCGTCCACGTAGCGCGGACGGGGGAATTGCGATGTGGTACAAAGGACGTTTGTTGATATTGGAAAGCAATCATGTGTCCTGAACAGCGCTTGAACACGTTGATCATCCGCTCCCGCCGAGCCGAAACCTTGAATCCAAGAGTCTAAGGAAGGAAACTTCCTTCCTTCAGGTCACGAAAACCTTACGGATTATCCAATAGGGTGAAAATATGCAGATATGGGATTGTGGCACCAATCACAACAAGTGTTCTTGGTTGGAAGGAAAATGAAAAGGGGTAAACAGCAGGTCGACGAATCAGAGGTGCAGAAGAACGGGATTTGATTGAGTTTGGTTTGGTCTGGCTCTTTGGCCAACCTGTGGGTCTGTCTGGAGAGATTGCAGTAGGGGTCTTCGAAGGAGGGGGTGGGGTATATACCGGAGGTGGTAATGTATGGGGATACAGTCCTCCTGTCGTACTATCCTCAATACAGCAACCGAGATAAGCGAGAGAGTTGTTCCATGAGGCTTGCTTGGTCCTCCGTCCTATACCCACCCTTACCGCAACAACACACACGGTACATATATTTAACATACCCTAGTAGAGTACCTGCCGTACCCCAGAAGCAACGTACGTGCATTAGATCATCCCCACCTCAAGCCCCCCTTGCGTATGAGTAGCAGCAGCAAGGGCGGCAGCTGCATGTGTACACTGCGCATCTCTGCACGCCGATATCGAATCCTGGGGTCCTCGTGCGAGGCTTGGCGGGTCTGGGGAAAGCAGGTGAGAGAGGAGTAGAAAGTGACATGTCGAGTGTACAGTTGCTCCGCCGGTAAGTTGTTCCGAGGAATGAGGGGTAGGTACCCAAAGTAGGGTATGGAGGGAGGTCCACGTGTAGGGTCTGAAGGTTCGGTGCTTTTGACTTTAGGGGTGTATGCTTGTTTTTTTTTTGTTTTGGCTTGTGCTGTCAGGAACGGAAATGAAGATGCCGAGGCGCTGCTGCCGCGGTGTTTTTGAGGAAAAGAGAAACTGAGGAAGGGAGGGGTGTATGTGATGTCACTGAAGCTGTGCAGATAGGGACTGTGAACACTCCGTCTTGTGGAGTCTAAGTCAAGCGGCCCGGCCCTTGGTGGTATAGCTTTGTGCTCCGAGTGGGTCATAGAATCTTTTGAGTTTTATTCACTAGGCAATGAGATGCTTAAAATTTGAGGTTTTGTGTTGTATCATGACATTTCGACTCGACCATCAAGGCCTGAAAGGCATCCTATGCTAACTTCTCAATGCTATGCCCAGTCTCTGCCCCTCGCATTTCATTTCGTATGACTTCATCCATTCATTCATTCATGCCCAACATAAAATTACAATTGCGCCCAAGTTCGTCATCGTCCGAACAACCAAGACTTTAAGATGCAAGTCATCTTCCCCTGACACGTGACTACCCGGAAATCCCTCAGCCAGAAAGGAATCAACCCTTTCCAGCAATTTCCCCAGACTGAATAAAGTTCATCCCACCACCTGTCACTTTTGAGTGTGGCGGTGCGGATGGTGACTGACGCGCAGCGTGTTGGTGTGGAGCCATGGTGTTTTATATTTACTCTTAATTCGCTGTTGGATAGCGAGGCAGACGAGTCGGGTCTGCGGCCCGCGACTCCTTCAGTATATGACAGCCACACCCAACGACAGCTCTGCTTGCTGTGAAAGGCTGATTGCTTCAAATTCGGAGTCTGCGGACTCGCATATGTTCAATATATCGCGCGGTTGTTTGTCCCAGTACCATGGGAGCAGTCGGCCCTTCTGCCAGCTGCTCCTGAGTGCAGCGTTTCTTTCTGTCCTGTGCAGCTTCGGAGATTTTGAGAAGCAGGATTGCACACCGGTTGTAGCAGACAATGACGCGGCATAAAGTCGTTTTGTATAGTATCGTGGTATTGGTGATAGTGGAGTTTACCCTCCAAGGTAGCTGCGGCGGCGCATTTCTGCCTCGCGAATTATTTCGGCGGAGAGACTGAGACTTGGCGCTAGGTGTGCATAGCGCTCGATTTCCATGACTACATCGTTGATGATGGCATCGACTGTGTCCATATGCGGTACAAGCGTGGATATGATGCTTGAAAGTGAAGGCGACATGGTGGCGCCCATGAGGAGGAGAGTCTGAGAGACGATGGATAGTGCACCTTGCCAAAGATAAGGCATGTGACCTGCATGACTATTGATTGTTAGTAGGCTATTATACACTGTATTTGTTGGAACTTACTGCGCTGTGATATGCTCTAGCTGTCGGATTGAAGCTTCGAGGCATTTGCGGCAATTCTCACGGACCGAAGGATCCATAGCAGCTTGCTCATTATCCAGCACCGCAAGGATATACGGCCTGAAAATAATAGTTCGGCAAGCAAAATAACGTAGTCGCAGCACCGTCTGCACCGGGTCGGCAAGCATTGTTCGGCTGTATGGAAACTGCAGTGCTACTGGGAGGCTTTCGTACCACTGCGCGAGTTGGAAATCCAACTCCGCTACCACAGGCTCGAGACTTTGTGTCGAAGCCATCGAGTCTTTTGAGTAGATGAGTTGGCTCACTCGATTGAGGAGTCTTCGGAGGGCAATTTCTGCCAGAAAGTACCACAGGTCATCTCGACCAACACTTTCTTCCTCTTCAGGCTCGAAGCCACCTGGTAGTCCAACAGTTTCCTCGAACTGCACGATTCCTGAGTGTGGAAGGTCCATCTCAGCCAAAAGATCGCTCTCAAATAGCAATGCATTCCAATAGACTCTCTCGCTAAGTTCTCTCTGGCCGAGAGGAACTCTTCCAGGTGCGCTGAGAAGTAGCTGCAGTTTCGTGCTGGTACTGCTGAGCAATGTCCACGCTTCCAGAGGTCGGACAAGGTAGAAGAGGTATGCGGAGGCGAGAACGGTGCATTGAGCAGAGAGAACTGAGTTTCTGGTCATGAGACCCGGGAGTAATGCCCATGCTGCTGCGAAGTATGGCAGTCCTGGTGGGTCGTCGCTGGGCGGTACTCTAGAAATGCTAGCACTGCAGCTGGCTTGGCCAAGAGCCAGCACCAATAACACAATACAGCTTTCTGGCCCCTCTCGAAAACCGTTGGATAAAGCAATGCGATAGTGATTTGTCCAGTTGTAAGGATTGACACAGGCATACCACACATTGACCTTGGAAAAGAACGCTTCGATGTATGCCGAGGTATTTGACAGGTCCAAGCAGGGAGTTTTGGACAAGGCGAGAGGTTCTCGTGCCATTTCGAGTTGAAGTAGAATTTGAGGGTCGTAAGGTCGAGATACAAGATCCCGAATTAATGGCCATTGAAGGAGATGCAATGCAGCGTTAGTGTGAACTTTCGGCATGGTGGAGATGTTCGTTGGGGTGGTCCATGTGCCAAGCCCCGTTGCGGGGATCATGGATACGAAGTTGCTGGTGCTCTGCATCATGATGTCTTCATTGCTGATGGTAGTTGCTCCATTGATTGAAGGAGAACCGGTTGAGATCGCCATACTCGAGGTTTGTCCGACAAGATTATTTTGTAGAAGACCTTCGATTCGGGTGAGGTGTTCCAGAATCAGTTTGTCTCCAGCATCGAGTTTAATTCCTGGTTCCCGATAAATGCACTCTGCCCCGAGCTCGGTGCAGAGCTTGCATTTGGGTTTGGTTCCATCACATCTTGATTTTCTGGATCGACAGATCTCACACTGTTACACAAAATTAGTTGCTGGCATAGATTGAAGCCTGTAGACTTACAGCTATGGTGGCTCTCCGCCTGGGGTAATCGATGCCAGCATCTGTGCTCCTTCTCTTCAATGGGTTGATACCATCGTCACTGTTCTGTCTGTGCTGTACGCCGTTTGTCATGGACTCTCTATCTCCAGAGGACTGCGAAAGATTTCGTGCTTTCTGGGCTGAACCCAGTATGCCCTCGCGGGAGAAGTTCTGCACACGGCGGGAGTTGGGTGATTTGAGTGGGTTTGGTGAGTGTAAAGCCCCGTTTCCGTTCACACCATTGCCGTTTGTAATGAGCTGTAGACGAGGAGATGGGATATCAATGTTGAACTTGTCTCTAGAAATGGAGAATGTTCTGCCGCCTCCGGTGGCAGAGGTCGGAGAGGCATCTGGTGATGAGCTTGACATTGTGCCTGGTGCAGGAAGAACCGACAGTTGGGGTCATCGAAAAAGGTCCTGACAGCAGAATAAGAGGAAGCTGGCAGATGAAATTGCAATCATAAGACAAGGCTCAATCTCTATGTGTGACTCGAGGTTTCTAAAGAATATGAAGGCAAGGTAAGACAAGGCTTTGTTGATACGGGATCCATACCATATCTATTTTCGAGAAAGAGAGAGATTGATTACGTGCCGCGTGCACTACGCTGACATGGGTGGCCGATATCTGCAGGGTTCCCTCAGATACACGACTGGGTTGGTGATTGGTAGATCAGACGATGTGCTCCAGCTTGAGGAGCCTGCCGCCACCACGAAACCCTGTGATGCTCATGCAGGTTCGAGTGATGGAGAATCTGGGGTTCGGTAGGTGACGGCCGAAGGGAGGGCTTCTGGAAACAGGGTGGGAAAGCGAGGCTCGATATTAACCAAGACCAGCAGCTGATGAGACAACCGTTCATGCTGGAGGGACTGGAGCAGCATTATTGATGGTCGGGATGCAGATGCACGACTCACTCGAGCTACTTTAGCGGACGCATTTCCCCACAGTACCAACTGCAGTGGGAGCGAGGGGTTACAAAGGTACTCCAGCACTTTTCTGGTGCCACTACTACTACTACTGGCGGCGACAAAATCAGGAGTGGGATGGACCACTACCTCCGCGAACTCCTTTTAGGCCAATGGACTCAGGGGCTCGGCGTGAATAAGCGAGTGTTTTCAACCCACCCACTTGAGGCAACCGAGGCAGCGCCGACACCACCTCACTGCATTTTTGAGGCCCATGCCATCACTTCACTTGCTCCCCGCCTCATCTCGGCATCCTGCTGGCACAAGATGATTGCCGTTTTTGAAGTTTGAATGTGCCTGTGACGCTGTCTGCAGTTCGCATCTCCAGTTGGAGGAATTGCGGACTCTTGGTCTCCGCCGAAAGCGATACAAGTTTATTGTTTGGTTCGTGGCATGGTTTGGTCACTCGAGATTAGAGCCCACCAGGGAGCTTGGAGATCTTTGATGTTTCGCTGGGAGCGCTCTGGTTGGTTGATTACCGACGCTATACCGCAAATGGACCCGACGTGCATAGCAGCCTTCCAGCCTCAGGCGAGATGTGCTGACATCTTGGAGTGAAAATGCCTGGAGGCGAGTTGGATTTGAGAAGGAGCTGAGCATTTCCGTGTTATTTCATATTGGAAACCGACTAGTAAGGTTTATCTACTCCTTTCTGGGACCAGTAATGGAAACTCACTTTTGGCGCCGTGGGGAAATTGTTGATCTCCATGTTCTCCAGGTCTGAGTTTGGGACCCTGAATGACTTGGCATCTGATATTCCACGTTGGGCGAAGATCAAGGGACTGGAAGGGCAAAGATTGCTGGTCATGAGACTTTTTGATTAACTTTCTTATCTTATGAAGGACTTCAATCACACTAAAAGATAGGGGCAACAGCTCATATCTGTGACAAGGCGATGTCAAAACTCTGGATCGTCACGTGCATCGAAACTCTCGGTGACATGATGTTGCGGCCCGATTGTACTCTGGAAAGGGTAGGTAACAGGTCCAGAAGTTGTTACTTCCGTTCTTAATAATGTGAGAGTTCAGACCACAAGTGCCGAGAGATCATAACACGTCTCTCCAATACCGAAATTCTAATGTTCTTCTCTTCATGCAGGAGTGAGAGGCAAACAACTTTGTGGAGGCAACATGACGCTCTGGAGGCAACCTTAAAAAAATCTATTCCTTGAACTGCGGGAGAATTATTCTCCAGGCCGAGAACATGGAAATAATCCACCTGGAGAAACTTTCCGGGAGGTGTTCCTGACAATTTGTCTTGCTTGTGAAGCTGTACTTGCCGCGAGAGGGCTATTCAAAAAGTTGCAACCTGTTCGGAACATACTTCCGTGGAGCACACTTCGTAATGAAGCACGACTCCCAATCTGGATTACGACAACGCATGAAACTGGTCTTTACAGAGCTTAGCAGATAACGTATTCCTCGAATTCGTATGCTACCAAAAGCACGAAATGAGTAATTGCAAGCACTAGATATTGAATGCATTGGATGGCATTGGATGGTACTCGGGGAGGCGTCTAGAACATGCAGCCAGCTATCTCTGTTGTAATGAATAGGTCACCCAGAAGAGTATGACTTCTTTCAGTGATCAGAATAACCAGAATATTCAACTTCCAGCCCTGGACTGCAGCACAATGCCCAGGCTGTTCGAATAAATATGCGGGTTTGAAGTATTTCGCATGTCAGTCACGTGGCTATGGCGCGATCTCTTATCTTAGCTTATCGCAAGCGACTTGGCTGGGCTCGCCAATCTCTCTTCTTGATCGCGGGACCTGCTTCTTCTCCAAAGACCGTTCAGCCTAATATCCAACCGCGCTTTCTTCAATGCCGACCTCTACTCCGTTGTACAGTGGCGGAACAAGGGATCCAGAATACTCCCACGTTCAGTTGGATCCTGGCCACTCTCCTCTCGCATATCCACGTTCACGGAGCTCGTCCACGAGCAGATCGTTCCCCGCGTCGCGTCCATTTTAGTCTCTTTCGAGCTTCACCAAACCTTCCCTGAAAGCCAAATTTTCCACGTACCTACTCAATCCACCTTCCCCTCTCCAATTCTACCGGCAGATACTAGACCATGCTAGCTATCAAAGATGGCCTTCCCTGCCTTGTTGAACCGGACAACCGGAGACGGCCTCTTATTGTTGATGCTTGATCTGCATTCAGTGGTAGGTAGTTTTTCCGTCACATTTTGTGGTAGGTAAAGAGGTGGCCCCTTCTAACTCCGTGACAATGTTCTAAAGGCATTGTCCGTTTGTTTCTCTTCACTCTATCCCCTTGTCGAGCACATCGCCATGCTTTTCAAGCTTCTTACTGGTCTCCTTGCGGCTTCTTGGTCAGTCCAAGCAATTCCCTCTCCCGATGGACTTGGCTCAGACCTTACTATTCTGATCAACAATGATGTCCTCGGTATGTCATCCTACGAGTCATGATATTGGCGGATCTTAACAAATCTCTTGAAGGCCCGCAAAGTCCATCTGCGAATTCTGGAGTAATTTTACTTACCCCGCGATCCAAATCGTCCGCAGCTTCAGCATGTGCTGCTCTCGGGGAACAACTCTGGTCCCCGGAAGCATCTGCCGCAAGCATCCAAACCAATCTTGATTACCTCTCCTTCCAAGCCAAGTATACCAAAGATCAACGATATTGGATAGCTCCCCAGTCGTCAGATGCATCTGTTGGGCGAGCAATCGATGGGAACGGCCGGATAGTAAACACCAAGACCTTCAGCGAACACTCAAGATTGCCAGCTCTTTGCTCTCAATCTGCGCCATTCTCGAACGAAACATATCAGGATACTAGCTCAAAATGGCAGACAACAGTTCGGTCGAACAATGAATACATTACTGGGTATGTTTGGCACGTTTCTGTAGCCGACTAGGAAAATATATCGATAGGAAAATATATCGAGATGATCTGACAAAGGATTCGCAGATTTCGAGACCGTCTAAGCTTTCGATTCTTAGGTATTCGATACGCTGCTCAACCAAAACGATTCACATATTCGACGCCGTACAAAGGAAGCGGCAACAATGCCTCAGCGCTATCTTACGGTTCCCAGTGCATCCAACAATGGAGTGGAGGTTCAGAAGACTGCTTGTTTCTCAACATCTGGACACCACATCTTCCCGCTCATGGTGGAGATGCGAAAGAGGACCTCAAGCCGGTCATGTTTTGGATTCATGGCGGCGCTTTCACTAGCGGAACTGCAAATGATCCCACATTTGACGGTGGAAACATCGCTTCTCGAGGAGACGTCGTCTTGGTTGCTATCAACTATCGTCTCTCCACATTGGGATTTTTAGCGTTGGATGATGGAGTGACTAAGGGTAACTACGGACTTGCAGACCAGATCAATGCTCTTGACTGGGTTCGAAAGAATATCCAAAACTTTGGAGGTGATCGCGATCGCATTACTATTCTTGGACAGTCTGCTGGAGCCGCCTCGGTGCGGGCACTACTTGCTTCACCGAAAGCCACTGGCAAGTTTCAAGGCGCAATCCCACAGAGTAATCTCGGCGGAGGTGGCTATGGAACAACCTACTCTTCCTGGTTGGATATCAAGACTCAAATGTCTTTGGCTTCAGATGCGATCCTAACGGAGACGAATTGCTCAACTGCTGCCTCGAGGGTGGACTGTCTTCGAGACATATCTGCCACAACTCTTGTGACTGGCACTCAAGCCAGATACTTGACCGTCGATGGGACCTATCTCGCCTCATCAGAACTGATTTTGAACTACAAGGCTTCGGACAGCCTGTCAAAGGTCCATCTCATGGAGGGGTTGATGCGAGACGATGGAGCCGCAATCGTCTCCTACATCAATACCACTAACCTGACTAAGTCTATCACAGACGTCGGATTTGATGCCTCAAAAATTGTGTCGTCCCCGCTGTTCCCGCTACCAGTCACCTCCAATGCCACGTTAGATGTGTTCAACGTCACATCACGAGTCGCAACAGACTCTATATTCCGCTGCTTAGACCAAGCAAGCTCCTATGCAGGAGTATGGAACAAAGTCTTCGCTCCTAACCAATATTTCTACGAGTTCAACCGCTCTTATCAGACTTATGGATGGGATCCCAATGCACCCGTCTGCGACGCCCCCAAGACCGCAGATCACCCCAACGGCGATCCGGACTTGGAGTATTTCAAGTGTCACTCAGGAGAGCTGTATTATGTATTCGGTACCCTCACCCGAACAGGCTTACCGCTCCGGGATGAGAACGATCTTCCATTCTCACATTTCATCCTCGATTCCTGGGCGTCGTTCGCGAGATCTTACAACCCCAACCCGAACATAGGATACTTGAAAGCAAGGAATTATACGAACACAATCAAAGAACTAGAAGTGGCAGGTGAATGGAAACCAGTGGGCACCCAAGGCCAAGAAATGCGACAACTGCAGTGGCCAAGCAAGCAAGTCGGCTTTCGTGATGTTGAGCAGTGTGAGGCACTTGGTTGGCCGCTGGATTACTATTCTCGGCCATGATGAGATCACGCAGCGGTGGGTCGTAAAAATGTTTAGTGGAAGATAATTGGATATCTATCTAAGAGTTATTTCATGTCATGGAGGGCATCTGATTGAGATACATATAGCTATACATAGCAGGAAATGTTATCGCAGCTAGACACGTTTATGTTGTAAGGCATTCTTGATTTTTCTCTAATTAGACTTGCAGATAAGTTTGGATCGTAAGACCGCTCTGTGTTACCTTCCTAGTTCATGATACTGATCGCTTACGGACAATCCCTAAACAACTCAACGTCATTGTGACTTGCAAAGCCACGCGCGTTATTATCATTGTCCTTATACCGTAAGGAGCTTCTATACCCAAGCACCATCTGTCTTCAACTACTAACCCAATTCTACGAGTAGGCATAAGAGGACTGTCGAGCAAAAATAATAGGACAGTCGTTTCTAGAGACGGGCGTCAGCCAATGAGACAGGGGTTGCTCCCCTGGAGCTCATCATCGACGTAGGACCCCAGGACCCCGCTCGTCACCGAGTAGCCTCGCAGAACTCAACTCTATGAGTGAACATCTTTCCGATGATCTTGTCAGACTCAAAGACTCAGTATTTCTCTCTTCTTATGCGGTAAGTCGCTCTCTTCGAAAATCAAGTTGGGTCTGAAACCTACTAGTCGATAGTCACAAGTAATACCTGTATTGCTTGGGTCTCACGTGTGGAACATGCGATAGGCGCCTTGATCTGTCACGATGACTTCAATCTGGACGCGAATTAGAAAGGTAGCATACCTCATCCTACATACCACCATATTTTCCAATCCAAGACAAGAGCTCACACCGAACAGTCCTCAATCGTAATCCTCTCAGTCCTCTACTACACATTCTTCCCACTCCTCCACAGACCGCTAAACAACCTCATCTCACTCGCAACATCTCAGGCTACAGCAGCCGACTATTACAAATATATCATCGGATACATCCTCTGCGAGCAATGTCTGCTCTTCCTACTCCACAGCTTGACACCCGGCTGGATCGTTATTGTTGCTGCTTACGCTGCGGTCTTTGATTACCACTATAGTGTGGCGGAGGTGACCGTGAGGATTGATATCTTGAGGAATTTGGGGGTTTTGTTTTTGGCGAGGGATATTTCGAGATCGAGACCGGTTGCTGTCTCTGGCTCTGGCTCTGGTTCTGGGGCTAAAGCTCAATCTAAAGATCGGTCTTCTTCTTCTTCTTCTTCTTCCTGGTCAACCTCCAACTCACGTCCTCGACTCGACGATCAATATCTTTTGATAATATCCTGCTCAATCTGGCTTGTGTTATTCACCAGGAGCGTGTGGTTCAATATCTCCAGTCTCCCTCCGCACCCATCCACACAGCTAGACTCAGATTCAATTCCAGATCCAAGACCGGAAATTTCCCTGTTACAGCTGTCCGACGAGCAGTTTCAAATCGTATGGCTTGTTTTCTTCGCGCGTATTGTGCTTGCGATTCCGTGGCGATCGATCGTGCTGGGTGTAAAGAGAGATGGGGAGGTGAGGATGATGATTTATAATACGAGGGAGAAGAAGGATTGTGGTGTTGAGGGGTGTGGGTTTGGGTGGGATGAAGATGAGGAGGAGGAGGTGCTGGGTAGGGAGGATGAGGGGGAGGGGATGGGCGGAGAACGATACGACGAGGTTTTGGAAGGAGGGGAGAAGATGGGGGTGGACGGTGTGGGAAGTGGTGTGAAAGATGTGTCCGTGGGGAAAGGGGAGGAGGAGGAGAAGAAGAAGAAGAAAAAGAAGGGTTTGTTCTGGTTCTCGTGTAATCTGAATTTGATTTTGGTTGCGCTGGGAACGGTTGCGATGATTGTGAATTTTGGGTGGGAGATGGGCTGGGCTTTCGCTTTGGCGAGGGGTATTGTTGGGTATCTTTCTTGATGTTTTCATATGCTGCTGCACGCGTGTCGTTGCGATTGTTTTGATAAGAGGACGAGTATTTGGTCTGGATTGAAAAATCAATAGTGCAGTATTCTTCGGTTTTATATACAAAGGTATGTAAAATAATACAGTCTCCCTTAGCTTGCTTGATTCGCACACCGGGCCGCACCACCCCTGCTACAGTAGCGCAGGCCATGTCTCAGCGGACGAAGGGATAAGGTCGAAAGCGTCCAATTTCCACGTTGACGTGGAGATCCTCGAGCACAATCTTACAGCTCCCAGTGTTCTACTCGAGCATGTGAGGCTCTGGTTTAATATGTACGGAGAGCACTCGAGATCACGGGGAATGAAGCATCACATCTTTAGTAGTTTCAGTCCTTCCAGGTTGATATGCCACCACTTATAGGATATCTAGTTTTGACAACTATTTTGCGTGTCACTACAGATTAGGAGAACCAAAGAAAGCTCTGAATAAGAAATCATCGTTGGGTGTTGCTTCATACTTCAACTCATGATCAAGTGGCTTTCTGCTTGACAACTCTCGCGATCACATCGCTCAAGTTCTCCACTGGTAGCCCAAGCAGCTCATTGGCTAGCAGCCCATCCTTCTTGAAGTTCGCTCCTCTATCTGTGCTATCGGCATAGAGTAGCATCAAAATAAGGAGCTTCAGTCCATCAGAGTGATCCTTGTTGTCGAGTTTCCTAGCTTTCTCGAGCGCAGCCTCTTCAGTCATTCGGCGGACCTCCCACTTGCTACCAGTCGCTTCCTCCAGTTCGCCGAGGACTTGGTTTTGAGACACGGTGAAGGATGATATGAAGAGGGGCTTATTCTTCGTCTCTTCTGGCTTGAAGAGCACCTTTGCCACAGCAGTCGCGACAGTTCCCATGTTTGTGGTTGACCACTGCTATTCTCCAGAATCGTAGATGTGACGGCCCTTTCCTCGACATGGAAATCCAACCATCCACTTTCTAGACCCCAATCGAAGAACTGACCTGCGTGGATGGCCGTCCAAGTCAAACCGGTGCTCTCCTTCGCCTTCAAGTATGCGATGACCTTGACTTTGTCGGCGTACAGCGGAACAAGATCAGCGGCTGCAACGCATGTGTTGTTGCCATACTCGGAAGGAATGAAACGACTCACCCCAGCTTGAATGGCAGCGTCGATCATTCGAAGGTGCACTGTGTATGGGCGTCCAGGAAGGGCATATATGAGAGCGTCTTGGCCCTTGAATGCGTCGACAAGCCGGGTGACTGGGTAGTCGTCTTCTATCTTGTAGACCTTCACGTTCGATGGAAAGGTGGATTTCGAGCTCTCACGTGTCAGGACGGTCAGGTTGAATGCGTTGGACTTTTGGAGAACGGCGAAGAGCTCAGTGCCAAAGAGGCCTCCAGCCTAGATACTGATTAGCAACGGCACTTTCAACAGGCGAGACGATTTGGAAGAAAGTAAGGCACTCCCATCACCATGACATTCTTGATTGTTTGCGACATGTTTCGTGAGAAGTTGCTGTGAATCTCGGTTTTTTGACTAGTGCAGGAAACGGCGAACGATCTCACAAGCAATGAGCTTAGAGGAGGATATCGATAGCAAGGGTCTACAGTAGGTAGATGGCCTCTAGAGAGTTGGGGTAGTGGGGTAGTGGGGTGGGGGAGGTCGAGTTGAGTTGAGGTGAGGTGAGGTGGGGAAAAGGAGGGGTCGTTTGTGTTTTGGACTTAAATACTTTGAAGTAAACAAGCAGGAATCGTTTAACGAGGTGCTCCCAGCACGGCGTGAACCGGAGACAGTACACCCTGTCAACGAACGATCTACAACGCGCGACTGTAACGAAACGAAACGAGCGATGAGCTCGGGCATCACAGCAAAATGTCAACAATAGTTAGTAGCAGTGGCATGGCATGCCTCACAGAGCAGTTGTGATTTGCGTACCATGCCATGCTGCAAGGCAGGCATTGGTGTTTTTGCCATGAAGGTCGTACCGCTGCTCAAAACTCCGGTCAAGCTCGTACCTACCCCACAGCCAAACAGACCAGTCATGGCTGTTTGTTCCATGCCAACAGGCTCACGGTGAGGCAGCGCAACCTCTCTCAGGAGATATCACCTCTTCCACCCTTCTGCATCAGTCACGTTCGGGTGCTGATAAGCCACGGGGGGGGGCCACGAGGAAGAGGTTGTGCAGGGGATATACGCCGCGTGGATGGAGCCGATTGCAGACGGGACACGCCGTTTCTAGATAGACCCGCATCAAGAGTAATGGAATCGCTGTTTCTGCGGGGCTCGCAGAATTGGCTTTCGACAGCGACTGGGCGCGCGATGATGGTTCACGTTCGGCGAGAAATACTTACGATGTCCCAGGGGCACGCCTTGAACTAAAAAATCTCCTTTTCTACAGTAGTCCAATAATGCAGCCAGCACGACGATCCGGGTTTCGGCACCGAAAACGCGGCCCAGATGTTGATGGTCTCCTCGACGGTCTCATATCAAAAGTCAAAATCCAGGAGAGTTTCGGCTGAGGCTGAGAGAAGCTTTTCGCTGATCTTGCTGATCGCTCCATTAAACTTCGATCACTCACAAAGTCAAGTCTCCATCAAACTCAAAAAGAGCTCCGTGCTGGATCTGCGTCTGAACCACAAAGCCATGGCTATTTTAGTTCGCCGACTAGAAAGGGGGCGATATCTCTGGTGAGGGGGTTTGTGGATGCACTTTTCTATGGTGGGCTTTTGATGGCTTCATTCTGGAAGAGGTGTGATTGGGTGAGCGTTACCACTTTCTTGTTGTGGTCTAGTCAGGCACAGACGGGGTCTAGCCGTCCGACTGCAACCGCTTACCCCTTTTTTTGACGACAAGCTTCTGTCCAATTTGCAGATGGTTGAGAGTACCAATCACCACACGTTGCGACAACAGCCTGAATTTTGACAGAAGGAATAAGAAAGAATACGAGAACGCCTCCAGCAGTTCAGCGCCTTTTGGGGGGATTTGCGAAGGCACTTTGGCTGTCAGAACTGTTGAAAATCACTGTTGGAGAGAGAATACTTACGACACCGAGTACAAGATTGTGGACTCTTCATCTCGATAGCATCCGCTTTTGAGTTCACCCCCGCCTTTTATAAGAAGGCGCATGGAGAGAAGACTCACCGATCTGACTTCAAGGATGTTAAAGAGCTCTGATATATTGGTGTTGGTTGCACTTGGTGGCATGACATCCATCTAATCTTGCCAAGCGAGAAAAACACTTGGACGCCGAAAATACGGGTCTCCGGGTAAGCATAATAACAATCCCATATCGCCATTCGCTAGAATCCGATGGACTTTGCTGAGAGATATGCCCTGAATGGTCAGCTCGAGGAGCATTTATGGACCCCCGAGGGGTGTGCCTGGCAGCGGGGGTTCTAATCACGGTCTTAAACGACTGTGCCGCCCTTGGGCGCATCAATGGATCCTGCAACAGTTTACCGAGCCCTATCGAGGCCTCTCTAGCTCAACCTCCCCGGCGCATCACACAGTTCCAAGCCAATCCGTCAGCCGTTTTGGGCGTCACTCGTGCTGGACCTGCTTTAGCCAGACACAACAACAACCCGGAAAATTGTGGCTGTCCAAGAGAACTAATTTGACATACTGGGCTGGGCTCAGCTAGACCAAATCCATTTAGTGATGGCTTTCCCTTCTGTTTCTCCGCCTTCTCTTTCCCTTCTCTCTCTCTCCACCGACATCACCATCTTCACTCATCCTCCTCCTTCCTCCCTGCGGTGACCGTTGTGCCGTGCAGACTTTTGTTTGCGTCCTCTCCTTGACGATCCAGTCATCACAATCTTTACAGGCTTAGGCCATACCACAATCTTTTCAGGTTACTTGTCATTCTTTCTAGCATAATGTTTTCCACCAGATTCATCGCCGCTGCGGCGGCTTCTCTCTCTCTAATGTCCTCAGTTACGGCCGATTACAACCCAGCTTCTCAAGCGAACGTGGCTATGTACTATGTATGGAAAACGCTTTGAAGGAACGCATGGACATTGTGCTGATGGTGGAACAGGGACAAGGACCAAACCAACAGCGCTTGGCCCATTTCTGTGATTCTTCAGCTGTCGATATCATTCCTATTGGATTCATCAACATCTTCCCTAACTTGGCGAACGGATTGGTTGCCGAGAACTTTGGAAACCAATGTTGGGATGGAAACTACACGGGTCCTGGTTACAACGGCGTCAACAACCCAAAGAATAACTTCCTTTACAAGCAATGTCCTCAGCTCCAGGAAGATATCTACTACTGCCAGACTAAAACCAAGAAGAAGATCTTGTTGTCCCTCGGTGGTGACGGAGGAAACTACCAACTCAATGGAGCAGCCGATGGACAATACCTTGCCGATTTCTTGTGGGGCGCATATGGACCATATAACGCCTCATGGGTTGCAAAAGGAGGTGTCCGACCCTTGGACCGTGGTCTTAGCAATCTCGACCAAACCAAGACTATCGATATTGATGGATTCGATTTCGACATTGAGCGAGCGTCGCCAGGTTTGTCAACATTCACAAGGTAACACTTTCGCTAATCTTTTGTAGACAACCAAGTCGGTTACATTGCTTGCATTAAGCGACTCCGTGAACACTTTGCTGCTTACAAGGCCGCCAAGCCATGCTCCAAGACATACTTGATCTCTGGAGCTCCTCAGTGTCCTCTCCCAGAAGGTAACATGGGCAACATGATCGCGGGCGCCAAGTTCGATCTTCTGTTCATCCAGTTCTACAACAACGGTGCCAACGGATGTACCGCACGTAATTGGATCACCAACAAGAACGCCGGAGGGTTCAACTACAACAAATGGGTCGCCGAAGTCAACAAGGGTGCCAGTGCCGGTGCGAAATTGTATCTTGGTCTCCTCGGCTCAAGCGCCGCTGGTAACTCTGCCGACTATCTCACAGCTCTCGAGGCTCAGTCTCTCATCGATGCCTGGCACGGCGCTGCCCAATTTGGAGGTGTTATGCTCTGGGAAGCTACCTATGCAGAGGGCAACCTTCCTTCCAGCTTCCCGGGAAAGAACTATTATCAGATTATCAAGCAGGTTTTGAACAAGTATGCTCCAGCCACCACTGCTCCAGCGACAGTTTGCAGCACGACAGTTTCATCTACCCGATCTTCCACTAGTTCATCAAAGACATCTTCATCGACGAAGATCTCCACAACATCTTCGACAGTTAAGAGCTCATCTACATCGAAGTCATCATCGACATCTTCTAAGGCTACGAGCACGTCGTCGTCGTCATCTGTGAAGCCAACAAGTTCATCGTCTTCAGTGAAACCATCAAGCTCGTCTTCTTCGATTAAGCCCACAAGCTCATCATCTTCCGTCGCGCCATCAAGCTCAAGCTCCTCCGTCAAGCCAAGTTCGTCATCAATTGTCGTTTCATCCTCGACCTCGTCTTCGAAACCAGCAACCACAAGCTCCAGCAGCATTCTCACCTCCAAGACAGCTGCTGGAGAGTTCACCACGACATCTTCTGCTTCCAGCGCAGTCCCAACAGCAACCGGATGTTTCTACAAGGGATGCTTCACCGAAGCCGAAGGCATACGTGCCCTTTCCAGTGATGTTCTTGCTGATTTCGAGGGCATGACCATTGAGAAGTGCGCCACTTTCTGCTCAGGATACACTCTGTACGGTCTCGAGTACACCGGCGAATGCTACTGTGGAAACTCCTTGAACGCTGGAAGTGTCTCCGCCCCCGAGGCTGAGTGCAACCTTCCTTGCACCGGCGATGCTTCCCAGACCTGCGGTGGAGCAAACAGACTCAATGTCTATGAGTGCGGAGCTCTCCCAACTTCCAGCTCCACCTCTGCATCAGCTACATCAAGCATGGTTTCGATCTCGATTTCAGAATCCTCAAGCAGCTCTGCGACTTCGACAAGCGAGTCATCGAGCTCAACTTCAGAGGCAACAGTTTCTTCAAGCAGCTCCGCGACTTCGACAAGCCAGTCATCAAGCTCATCTTCAGAGGTAACAGTTTCTTCTAGCAGCTCGGAGACCTTTGTTACTCCTAGCATCAGCATGACATTTAGCTACAGCGCAACCAGCAGTTCTGAAATTGTCACTCCATCGATTAGCAAAACTTTCAGCTATAGCGCTACAGAATCATCTTCATCGACAAGTTCCGATATTGCTACTCCGACACCAAGCTCGAGCAGCTCAAGCGAGACCTCCAGCTCCGAGATTGTCACTCCAACACCAAGCTCAAGCAGCGCAAGTGAGACATCTAGCTCTGAGAGTGTCACCCCAACATCAAGCTCCAGCTCTGAGATCGAGACCACATCATGGAGCTCATCATCTGAGACTACTTCAAGCACAGCGTCGGGACCAGTGACATCAAGCACCTCTGTGTCATCTTCGAGCTTCCCAACTGGCCCACACTACACTAACTCCAGCACGAGCGTTGGACCCACCAAGTCAGGATACCCAACTGTAGTTACTTCAAGCTCGATTCCAACATACATCCCAACTTCGTCCAGTGTCACCAAGTACACAACATCGACTGTCTGCACCACCCGTGTTGAGACCATCACCTCTTGCGCACCAACAGTCACCAACTGCCCAGTAGGAAGTGTTACCACCAAGACAATCCCACTCTACACTACGGTCTGCCCAGTTACCGAGACCGAAGTCAAGTCGACCAAGACACCAATTGGTAAGCCAACAACGACTCTAGTCCCAGCAACCTACAAGCCAACAGGATCGGTCACCAAGTACACCACCTCCACCGTGTACACCACATCGATCTACACCATCACCTCATGCGCTCCAACTGTTACAGACTGCCCAACCAAGCTCGGCCACGTAACAACCGAGATCATCAAGCTCTACACAACCGTGTGCCCAGTAACCGAGAAGACTCCAGTCGCCACCCCAAGCACCTATGTCCCTATCGAGACTCCCGTCGAGACCCCAGTTGAGACCCCAGCTTACACCGGCGTCGCTGTGCCATCCAAGTCCTACCCAGCCGGCGGCGAGTATGACTCCTCGACCACCACATTGAGCAGCACCACTACTCAGTACAGGACCATCAAGATCGTCAAGTCGACTGCCACAATCGTGCCTGTGCCACACACCACCCTGGCACCATACCCAACTGGACCAGCTAGCGAGGGATACCCATCTGGAACAGCGGCGCCAACTGCCGTTGCCCAAGTTACTTCCTCAGCTGAGGGTGTGACTAGCACAAAGACTCCAGTGCCTATCTACGCTACCGGTGCTGCTAGCTCTTCGCGCAGCGCTGTAGGTGTGATGGTTGCTGTTGCTGCTGGTGTTGTTGCTTTCATGTTGTAAAGTGATGCACAGCTCTATTTTCTATTTGTATTTGTCGATTTAAGCGATTTATGTTTCTGGATGTGAGGGAGGCTTGGAGAATAAATGGGGCATGCGTGGGGAGGTATACAGTCTGGCATGGACTATGGATGTTTCAGGGGATGAGGTGCATTATTGGAATGAAATGGGATGGGAAGATAGAGCTGAGGAAAGAGCTCATCGAAAAATATCAGGGGATGGAAAATAGAGGGAGAGAGATGGATGGATATGTATATGTACATGATTCTCTGTACATATATGTCACAAATCACTTTATCTATCTCGTCTTTCGCTTCGGCGCCAGTATCTTCGTAACTTTGTCATTGGCCTCTCAAAGTCGATCTTGTTACCTCGGAGGGTAGTGAGGGGTAGTGACTTAGCAGGTAGACTTTGATGATGGCGATTTACTCTGATTAGTAGGAGCGTGGTCCTACTCGAGACTCTCATATCCAATAAAGACAACGAAGTACAGTACCCTCTAGAATGTAAACAATCGCTTGTGTCCAGAGTGCCCTAAGCGACTCGCTGAGCCACGTGCTGATAGCGAGATAACGGCTCGTTCCTCCCTGAAGCTCAACCTTAATTCTCATCGACCCCGCCATTCTCTCTTCACTTTATTCCCTCACCCCACTACCTACAATTCTACACAACTCTCTCTTTACGAATTATCCTTACACAGCATCTATAAACCTCGAACACCATCATGGCAGACCTCAACCTCCAAGAGATTCACGACCTGCTGCTCAATGTCGCCCAAGAAGCAGGGCGAATGATGCTCGCAGCAACACCCTCCTACCTCTCCTCCGGCACCAAATTGAACTGTACCTACCTTCCCCCTCCCCACCACTTCCTCTCTCACCTCCCCATCTCTCAAATCCCCATCAGCTAACCCCCTCCAGCCGCCGACCTCGTCACCGAAACCGACAAAGCCGTCGAAAAAATGGTCTCCACGCGCCTCCTCTCCGCCCACCCAACCTTCCAATTCATCGGCGAAGAAACCTACTACCCCGGCCAAAAGCTCACCTCCGCGCCAACATTCATCGTCGACCCCATCGACGGCACTACAAACTTCGTACATGCCTTCCCTGCGTTCTGCATCTCCCTCGGATTTACCGTCGACAAGATCCCCACTGTCGGTGTTGTGTATAATGCGTACTTGGATGAGTTATATACTGCCATTAAAGGACATGGCGCCTTCTTGGTACGTAATGGAGGAGAGAAACAGAGGTTGCCGCTGAAGCAGGAGCCGGAGCCACTGAAGGATCTGAGTACGTGTCTGGTGGGCACGGAGTGGGGGAGTGATAGAACAGGAAACAATTTCGCGCTGAAATGTAAAGTGTTTTCCAAACTAGCAGCTTCAAAGGAAGAGGGTGGTGCTATGGTCCACTCGCTGCGGGCGTTGGGATCAGCGGCTTTGAACCTGGTAGCTGTGGCGAGTGGACAGCTGGATGTGTACTGGGAGGGTGGATGCTGGGCTTGGGATGTGGCTGCGGGGTGGTGTATTTTGGTTGAGGCGGGTGGGATTATGGTTGGTGGGAATCCGGGGGATTGGGAGGCTGAGGTGGAGGGGAGGAAATACCTTGCTATTAGGGGGGCGCCGAGTGGGCAGAAGGAGATTGTGGAGGAGGTTTGGGGGGTTGTTGGGGAGGGGAGGTTGATTTATGAGAGTTGAGGAGGGACGAGTGATGAGTTATGACTGCGAGAGAGTGTGTATAGAATGCATTGGTGCCGTCCATAGAAGGCATGGCTTGCATAATAGATGCATGGGATAGACATAGACTGCATGGAATTCAATACATATATCAAATTCAGTCCCGGCATTTCAGAGCAAGCGATGTGCTAGAAGGATACTCGAAATCCTTTCCATTTGTACAACTAATCCATCGTTATCAAGTATCTACACTTGCCACCACTCCTCCCTCTCCTCCACCCACCTCCTCTTCTCCCTTTCCCATCACCACCCCCAATCCATTCTACCCCGTAACAGTAAACCAATTCCCCCTAACCGGCGCCCCCAACCCGGCATCCCTCACAAAAGCCGTCAAATTAAACCCAATCCCTCTACTCACCGCGCTCGTTTGCGAACTCGGCACCTTAAACCCAGCTGGCTGCGCATACAATATCTCAACATATTTATGTGCGTATGGTGGGTTTTCGGCTGGTGGTGCTGGACCGACGTAGGCTTTTAGGGAGGTGTCTTTGGTGATTAGGGTGTAGAAGGGGGAAGGGGAGGTGGTGGGAGCAGAGGAGGTGGTGGAAGAGGTGAAGCCTGTGAGGAGGCAGTGGAGGTTTGTTATGCGGGTGCCGGGGGTGGAACCGACGAGGGAGCCGGGTCTGTGGGTGGGGAGGAAGAGGGTTACTTGGGGGGTTTGAGGTGGTGGTGATGGGATTTGGATAAGAATATGGGGGTTGGGTTTAGGAAGTTAGGGAGAGAGAGGGAGAGGGAGAGGGAAAGAGGGGGTAGGCGTACACATCGAGATCTGTTTCCATATCAGTCACTTCATCACTTTTTAATGGTAACGCAGAGACAAGACTTACCAATCATGAAGAAGATATAGGTCCCATTCAAAGCTTCATCTGATGTTCCAATCGTTGGTATTTTCGCTGTCTCTGTTTGTTTACACCTCGTTAGAGCTCGGATTTCCACTCATGCAAGGCGAAACTCCTCACCAGCTTTTGTGAGTGCCAATCCAGGTGTCACGGACTTGGTGCCAAACTTGACTTGAAGCGTAGAAGTGACATTGGGAGTGAAACCTGGTGGTGTTTGGGCGAGCGCCGCGGCGGCGAAGAAGAGGGAAGTTAGGGTAGTGAGCAACATATTCGCAGCTGGGTATCGAAAAGAGGAAATGAAGAGCAAGAAGCGATGGCTGGAACGAAAAGTATGTAAAGCTTATAGCTCGCAAAGCACTACAGTCTAGATGGCAAGGTTGTTTATTGGATCGTGCTAGGGATCGAAACAGGCCTCAAGAAGGCAAAGTTGTGCTCGATAATGCATAACAATATCGTTTGGGTACTTCTTACTTTACCACAATCAGGCTGAGACTGTATCATAGTGCTGTATATATCGGTAGTCGTTATAACCGCGCCGGCAATGGATTTTGGTTGCTCACTTACCCCGCAGATCGAAAGTCACAGGCTGTTTACATATATTTTGGTAGCCGAGATCGTGAAAAGGAGAAAGGGAAAATAAGCGAGGAGGTGAGAATATTTTGATGTCTTGCCGTCTTGGCTTCTTGGGTTTGATTACCACCTCAAGTCATAGAGCAGTGGATGATAAACGGCAAGCTATTCTTGAGAGTCTGCTTGGGCCAAGGCCCTTTACAGATTCATCGCGTACACACCCAAAGCAAGCCCAAAATTCAAACTCAGAACTCTATTCCAACCTGGAGTCATGATGATGGTATAAGTGTATTGCTTTCCTGAGATATGAACACCAACCAGGACCTGTCGTTTGTTGCTCCTATTTGGCAACCTTAACTTGATTAGCATTCGTTTGCGTTTGCGTCCACATTCAATAAATCATTTGGGTCAGAACAAATCTCCCGCCACACGTGTCCCAAACGGAGGTTAAGGTATAGATGGAAATCTCGTCAAAAGCCAACCAGCCAGCCAGCACGACCTTAACTCCCCTTTGTTTCCAACTCGCGACCAAGCGCTCACATTTCCATTCCAGAACTTCTTTCACTGCCCCCCACGGCGAAATCCGAAGTCGCGAAATGCAACAAAAGCCAACACTCACACTCGCACGGCTCTCGCCATCTTCGCGTGTAAGTTAAACTATGGCTTGACGTACGACGCCCGATGCCCGCGGCAATTCCCGAAAGGTGCGAAATGCAATAAAGCCACGTCGCTTTCTAGCTTCTACCTAGCATTGGTGAAGGAGATAGTTCGCTGGCATGTATTATAATATTCTAATAGATAGAAAAGATTGATACGCTCGAAGTAATGTACCTTGCGAGTTGCGGTAGGTACCGCAGTCAGAACATCATTCTCGCTTAGCTTACCAGCGACCTCACTTTCTATGAAGGTGCAGAGGAGAGGTCGTAAAGAAGACAGACGATTGAGGATGTTATAGAGTTTCATTTCATAGACTCACTCATCATATAGACAGAAGGTTCTCATATACAGCATATACACTCGGCTCCACTAGCACGTACTCCACTCGACTCCATATCAGTCATTCTGCTCCACTATGCTCCATTCCATTCCAATCCAATTCAGACTATCCAGCTGCGATAATGCCCAAGACAAAGCTCGAAATCTATAATCTAATCCCTAATTCCAATTCCCTACCTAGGCATGCGTGTGTATCGAGAGTCCCCAAAATCGCCAAACTCCAAAACCCAAAACGTGCAGAGACAAGGAAATATGAGCAGAGGCTCAACCTGATGTATGAGCGATCAATGCTCTGTACTTCGTAGACAATGAAATTCACCAGGCAGCGACTGGCATTCTGTAATAAATTAGTGGGTTCTGACTGTGGGACTCTCGATTTGAGATATAAGCAAGAGAGACAGGGGCATTAGATAGCGGTTATCTCTTCGTCGACGAGAACGTCAGGGTCGATGTCTGCGCGGTGTGGTTGTGTATTGATTGTTACGGGGTCTTCGAGGTAGACTAGACGAGAGAGTCAGAATTATGGGGGGAGCGGTGGATGCAGGATACAAGACAGGATTGGAGGAAAGGAACGTACCGTTCGGTCGAATAAACCAACTGCACACCGAAGCGGCCACAAAACAACCCGTCAACACCACGAAGACAGCCTGTGGAAACGAGCCCACGGTACCCGCATAAATCGAGCTGAAAATCAGCGGACACACCACTCTCGCCAGAGCATGTAACAAGCCCGTGGCACCAAGCAGCTGTCCGATTCTATCATGAGGCACATGTTTCGTAAGCGCAGACTGCAATGTCGGACTCCCAACACCTCCCAGCGACGCAATGATACCAGAAAGCACAAACAGCGCCGGCGTTCGCGCAGCAGCGTACCCAGCAAAGCCAATGATTTCACAGACCACAGCTACACGGACGATAGCCAGATCAAGCCAATCAGACCCTGTATTCGGCTGCGGGACAGCAAATCCAGACTCTCTGCGCTCGCGGTTGGCCCGGCGGGTGCGCACGAGATAGTTGAGAGAGGGGAGGATGATGACGAGGGCGGAGACGCGGCAGATGTTGACGACGGAGCTGAAAACGCTGGTTTCGGGTGTTTCCCAGCCGAATTGTAAGTTGACGTAGTACACGACTACTGTGAGGGCTCCCATTGCTACACCGAACACGATGGTGTCGACTACGGAGAGTAGGATGAGATTTGCACGGAGCTTGTTGGAGGTGCCTGGGCCTGTTGGCCAGAGAATCTTGAGAGGTTCGAGGATGTTGGCTCTTCTTGCGAGGGCGGAAAGTCCGAGTTGGCCGTTTCCTACATTGATGGGGTTGATGACATGTCCGTCCGGGTCGACACTACCGGCCTCCAGCAAATATCTCGCCTGGGCTCGTTCTTGACGTTTCTTGGTCAGTGATTCGGGTACGACCAGGAGGATGAAGGTAATGAAGAATGCGTGGATCGAGAGCGCAAAGTAGAAAGGCGTGATGATGGAGTCGGTCAACTTGACCAGGAGGGCGGCAATGAGAGGTCCGATTGCGATTCCTGCGAAGAGACAAGCATGAAAGTATCCAAAAGCCACAGCTCGCTTTGGTGGTGGAGTACAGTCTGCAGCATAGGCGTGCGTAAGAGCCATTCCAGTTGTGAAAGAACCACATAGTCCATCAAATACAGCGCCAACCAGCACCCACTTGTAGCTGAATCGATCCGGATAAGTTGCCACGATAATGGTAATGACCTCTCCAATCAAAGCACCCGCGCTGGTAAGTGTGAGGAGCTTCAGCCGTCCGTAGCGATCAGACCAAGACCCAATCTTTGGAGACATTACGGCACTTATGATCCCCGTAGTCACTGTAATATAAAGCGTGAATGTTGTAGCCAATGCTTGGACCGCGGGGATGCGACATTGTGGATTGCTGGAGCCCAATATCACCGGCATGATGATAGAATTCGGATCCGAAGCAGACTTTTCGAGAAAGTATTCCCGGCATACCAGCGAGAGGAGGAGATTCAACTTCGGGACCATAATCCCACCTACTGCGGTAGCAAAGAAGAAGAATGGGGGCAACAGCCAGTACATCTACCATTATCAGCGCCACTCTGTTCGCAGACCAACATAACTCACAGATGGTTTATGCCTCCAATTCAATCCCTCGAAATCTGCTTCACCCTCCCACTGCGGCGCATCTTCTCCATCTTCACGTCCATTATTTGTGCTGTCCGAAGCACTGCTCCCACTTGCCAGCAGTGGGGTAACCTCGCTGTCCCTCTGTATCTTCTTGTCCAAGCCAGCATGTCTCCTCAACGAGTTCTTTGCGCCCCAAATATCCCTTCCCGTATCGCCATTATCTCCTCCCCGAGCGGTGTCCGCAGTCTCACTGTCGCCGTTCATGGTTGTACCCGTCACTCGTGTAAGCTTATCGGGCGGTTCCTGGATCCTTAGGTCGCGTGTCTGTGTCGCAAGAATTGGGAATGCGCCTGGTCAGATTGTGCGAAGCACCGCTTTCTACACTTCAATCTTGCGTGTATAATAGAGTGATAGTAGCAAGATCATGACAGAGGTAAAAGAAGGTGGTTGTAAAAAGAAAGGTGCTAGCAGGATTCCAGATGTCGTCCTCATCAGCTTCCCAGATAGGCTGGAAGTGGGTCCGAGTCCCTTGCGCCGTGGGCGGTACAGTAGCGTGTCCAGGCTTGGTTATCAATTTCTGGCTTAGATATGTCAGTACATTTAACACGTCAAGAGATCCCATTTGCTGGGAATGGAAACTTGAAACATGGCTGGCGTATCACGACATGGCATTCTGGCAAGTAGTGGATTGATACTCTACTGCGCAGGTCCGGATCTGGAGCGTTGCTTTTTGCCAAATGCTTGATAAGGTAATCAAACAAGCACGCTGCACCAGCCGATTGGAACGCGCTATTGGTAAAGTATAACTTAGATTATCACCCAAGGTTTGAGTGCAGCAATACATAGCCGGCTCATTGTTATTCATACGGCCAAGGCTACATCTACCGTTTGATTCAGCTGCTATTACTTAATAGCCAGAAATGGATCTGTTCTGGTGTTTTGACGGAACTCCATGATCGGAGTGTTTATTTCGATGGCCGAGGCTTGCGTTTCCAAGGGGCTTGAGTGGTGACATAATGCATTCCTAGCTGCAAATGGTCCACAACGGCACGGCGATAACACCTAATCTCCATTCTTGTCTAGCTGAGGATTCGACAATCCGACAACAGAATTGTACATCCTCAAAGCCTTCAGAAACAATATATACAGTGCGCTTTTCCTCTAACGTACACGTTTCTTGTTGGTATTATTAAGTTGATGTTGCAAATGTTTCCCCAACTCCCGTTCCTGCAAAGAACTCCTTACTCGCTCCACACTTTGCATTCGTACAAGCTGGACATCTAAGTCCCATCTGCTTACTGCAGATTTCGCCGCTGTCCAGATGTTTCTTTGCGATATCTGCCAGTGCTTGGATGAAGACTGGAGATCCGTTCAGACTCTCTGATCTCTTGATGGTGTCCTTGTGACCTGATTCGCCAATGACTTCCTGGTCCAGTTCGAATAGCGTCTCGATATGATCAGATGTGAATGCCACAGGGATCAAGATGAGGTTCTTTTGCCCCTTCTTGATATAATTCTCAACCGTATCACTTGTCTGGGCTCCAAGCCATGCTTTTGGTCCAACTTGTGATTGCCACACTAGCCGGTAGGGGTTGGAGTGGTTCAGTCTCTGCATCACAGCATTGACTGTTGCAGCAACCTCGGCAGGATATGGGTCACCTGGGAATGTTAATAGATAGCAGAAAATGGGATGAATTAAACATACCTCTGTTAACAACATCCATCGGCAAGCTATGAGCCGAGAACAAAAGCACCACATCGTCTCGTTGATCCTCTGGGTATGATGCGAGTTGATCCTCGATATTGAGTGCGATAGCATCCACAAGTCCTGGATGAACCGGCCATCTATCAATCACACTCCAATTGATTGATCCATCGTTGGCAAAGTTCGGCGACTTTCCTTCAAGCTTTTGTCTCCATTTCCATAGCTCATTCAAGCTACTTCCTGTTGTCGAACAGCTGTATTGCGGGTATTGAGTGAACGCCACTGCTCGTCCTCCCTTACCGCCACCGAATCCATCCTCTAGCAGTTTATTGTACATCTCTTCAGTCAATGGATTGGCATATCGAAATGCGACATATGGTTTATGTGGTGCAGTTTCTGGTGAGATTTTGTCCAAGATCTTGCACATCTCCGCCGCTTGGTATTCTGACCATTTACGGATTGGAGACCCGCCACCAATCGCCGCATACTGCTTCTGAATCTTTGGGGTTCGACGCTTCGAAATCAGAGGGCCAAGGTAATTCTGAAATCGCCCGAGAGGAATCAAGTCTGCATCTGCCTGTGTTTACATCAGCGGGTAAATATAGACAGGCGGGGGCGGGGGCGTACAAAGAGACGACTGAGAAAGTCTCCAACTTCATCAGTTGTAGAAGGTCCTCCCATATTCATGAACACCATCGCAGTAGGCCCCTTAGAACTTGTCGCATCTTGCGTGACTGGTGGTACCGGCGTCGCAAAGGATCGCAATTGATCCGCACCACCTCTTTGCCATAATGACGATGCTGGTTTACTCGTAAGCTTGGAGATGGTGGACGGCGAGGCCCTTTTCGTGACCTGGCTTATGGGTGTTCTGAAAGCCATGCTGAGGGATGTAATGGCACAGTTGAAGAGATGTGTTATGATATAAACATCCCGAGGTTGTGCTGTCTGTCTCAGTAGGCTGTTTGCGTAGCCTCAAGTCCACTCAGAACTTAAATGCACAGGGTTAAGCTGATGACGGAGCTTCAAAGTGCCGAGATGGTACCTAGCCAATAGCTGGCTGTCGATTTGAAGAGGGGTTTCACGTGCTTTCGTGGTCGCGACACTCCTTCACGCGTCTGCCTGTTTGGTTGCAACCTCAAACCGATGGCATCAACTCTGCATCCTCTGTGTGAGGGTCCTGCAATAGTCTATCACCACCCGCGAATTCGCTCAGCACAATTGGACCTTTGAATACATCAACGACAATACATGCCACAACATCAACATGTCAGATTCAAAACCATCATGGAAAGCGGAAGAGGAGGAGGAAGAGGAGGATTACGATGAGACAGTAAGCTCGCCGTGCCTATATCTTTCCCCTGCTAAAAAAACATAGAACTACGTATCTCAAAAAGATGCCGTACTCTTCGCTATCGACGTCAGCTCCTCCATGCTTGCACCCCCTCCTCTGTCCGAAGACAAGAAGGCCGGAACAGACAGCCCAACACTCGCAGCTATCAAGTGCGCATACGAGATCATGACACAACGTATCATATCCAGTCCAAAAGACATGATGGGCGTTCTGCTGTTTGGTACGGAGAAGTCCAAGTTCCAGGACGAGGATACAAGCAGCCGTGGATCAATCGCGTACCCTCACTGCTACTTGCTCTGTGATCTGGGCATTCCATCCGCCAAAGACGTGAAGGAATTGAAAAATATTGTGGCAGATTCCGAGGATGCGAAGGAATTGCTTGTTCCTTCCGAGGAGCCAGCGTCAATGTCGAATATGCTGTTCTGCGCCAACCAGATATTTACAACTCGTGCACCCACTTTTGGCTCTAGACGCCTTTTTATCATTACCGACAGAGATGATCCTCATTCTACAGACAAGGCGGCAAGATCGCAGGCTACAGTGAGAGCGAAGGATTTGTATGATCTGGGTGTCATTATTGATCTCTTCCCCATCTCACATCCTGATCATGAATTCGATCGATCTAAGTTTTACGATGTAGGTAACTGTAACCCGGATACCTAACTCTGCTGACTTGGCAGGATGTAATCTATCGGGACCCAGCGGAAGGAGGGGATCTTGCTGTGGTATCGACGAACTTGAAGTCCTCTGGAGAGGGTATCTCTCTTCTCCAAAACCTCATATCGGACATCAACTCAAAACAGGTTGCGAAAAGAACATTGTTCTCAAACCTGCCATTTGAAATTGGCCCTAATCTTACCATCTCAGTTAAAGGCTACAATCTCCTCCAAAAGCAAGAACCCGCCAGATCCTGCTTTATCTACGAAGGTGGTGAAGAACTTCAAATTGCTGAGGGTCGCACTACCAAATTATCAGCCGAGACTACGGACGAGGTGCAAAAGACAGAGATCAAGAGGGCATACAAATTTGGAGGTAGCCAGGTGGTGTTTACCGTTGAGCAGCAGAAGAAGCTGAAGCAATGGGAATCTCCGGTACTCAGAATCATTGGTTTCAAGCCCCAGTCCATGCTTCCGGACTGGGCATCGGTGAAGAAAGCAACCTTCATCTACCCAAGCGAGGATGGCTACATTGGATCTACTCGAACCTTTGCGGCTCTATGGCAGAAACTTCTGAAGGACAAACTCATGGGTATAGCTTGGTTCATAGCTCGAGCCAACGCCTCTCCTCTCATTGTTGCCATCTTACCTTCGGCAGAAAGATTCGACGATGTTACAGGCGCCCAAGTCATTCCTCCTGGACTCTGGCTGTATCCTATTCCATTTGCTGATGACATTCGCGAACCTCCCCCGGTGCCAAAGCCACTTGTAGCTGGCGCGGAGTTGATTGATCTCATGCGTATGATCATTCGACAGCTGCAACTTCCAAAGGCTATCTACGACCCAACCAAATACAGCAATCCTGCTCTTCAGTGGCACTACAAAGTCCTGCAGGCCATGGCACTTGAAGAGGAGCTTCCAGAACCGAGTGAAGACAAAACGATTCCCAAATACCGCCAAATCAACAAGCGAGCCGGCGAGTACATCCAGAATTGGGGCAAGGTTCTGGAAGAGCAATCCCGTGCATACACAAGAGCGCAATACGGCGATAACGATGGTGCGAAGCTGAAGCGAGGCAGCGATGCAGAGGAAGGACCTCAGAAACGGATCAAGACGGAGAAGAAGGGGTTAGAGGGCATGAGCCATGGTGATCTGAAGAAGCTTGTGGCGAATGGCAGTCTTGCAAAACATACAGTTCCTGAGTTGAAAGATTGGTTGACGTCAAAAGGATTGACTTCATCTGGTAAGAAGGGAGATCTGGTTGAGAGGATTGAGCAATGGGTTGAGGAGAATTGAGGTCATGTTTGGCTCTTTGGGATGTAGGATTACGGATGGGATTGTAAAATCTGGGATGGGTCTGGCTTGTATGGTGCATGTTTGCGATAGGACAAGGAGTTTCTAACAATACGAATAGATTTACAGTCAAAGATGCAAGCAAGCGGCTCAATGTCGTAAATTCTCCACGTGATGTATATCCAACGCATAATATCGCCCCCAGGAGCAAGGTTTCAACCTGATACCCGGGACACAACACATCACACCACACCACATAAACTCTCAGCCACGCAAACGTACGTGCGCTTCGAGGTAAAGCACCAAGGTATTCCCGGCTGGGTTTTTTCCCCGGCTGCAACAGCAGAACGACACTTCGTCTAAAGTTGAAGATGGAGATGCGATAGGTTCGCAGCTAGATGGAAGTTTGAAGGGATGAAAAGTCTACGAGGGATAGGCTGGTCTAGTGAGCAAGAAGTGCGATCTGCCTTGGCTGAATTAGGATCGGCGGGTATGATGGTGGATGGAGGGGGTGGATGATCGAAGGATGGATGGATAGAGGCTGAGTTTCTTTGGACGAGTGAGACAGTTAGAACAGCACGGCGATTGTGGTATGGTTGGTCGACGATATATGAGAGATCGCGGAGGGCTTTTATCCAAGATGAGGATTATCAAGGAGCTTGATATTTGGTGAAGAGGGGAGGGGAGGAAGAGAGGGGAGGCGAGATGAGTTTGCCAAGGGAAGAAAGGAATGTAACTTATGTCCTTGGTTGAGATCTTCGAGTTGCGAAGAGCTTACCAAACGCAGTTTCATATGCCATGCATGCCATCTCAAAGCGAGTTCAAGCAGTGGCAGCGACTCGTCTGAAGGACAGAACGAACGCAATAATGATATGCAGTGATGCGCGCCTTCCGTAATGTTACAGACTGGGATACCCATTCGCAATGTGGTGTTGCTGCTTTGTTGTCGGTCGTAGGATTCCTGCGCCACTCTACTGCTGCTGAATTGAAGCATGCTTACCTACCTTAGTCCTTTGAAGGACAACTAGAATTCCGTAGCTAGAAGAAAGTCAACAATGGCTGAATGGTACACTCGGTACAGCAGATTAGGAAATAGAAAACTAAGAAGAAACCCGCCGACGCAACAGATCAACAATTCCCAAACTCCCCGTAGCTTCAATTCAAAACTTGGGCAACTCCGCCCCCTGAATGTTCGGATGGATGCCCAGCGTTGCTTGAACCGTGCTTGGAAATCTTAAGTGGGTTTGGCTGGCTGACGAGACACCGCGGATCCCAACGGGCGGCGGCGGCGGCGGCGGCGCAGGGCAACTGCAGCCCTGCCCAGCAGCCCAGCGCGCAAGCTAAATCCGTCCGCCTGCGACACGGAGAGGGGGGCAGGGGGGCAGGGGGGCTAAGCCACGGTCACTTTTTGCATGGGGACGTGAGTTTGATCAACCGCAGAACTGCTGCAACTTCTTTTTCACAAGGCACACGACAGCTACCGATATACGAAGGGAAGAAGATACGCTCGTTTGTTACGACTGGACTCGATTTTGCGCAAGAAGGAAAGAAGGGAAGACGATAATACGGTACGATACGGAACTGCGATTCTGAACGGGGTTGGATCTATTTACATACCAGGACGAGGCTGGGCGGCAGGGCTTCTTTGTTCGACCACCGAGCAGCGGACTTTGAATCTCGAAAGGAACTGAATTTGGCGCATCTTTGACCTTGCCTGAAGATTTTACGGTTTCGAGATAGAGAGGGGTTACACTGCGACGAGGGCAGACCGGAATCATTCAGCAACAGAAGATTGTGAATCACCAAGGGGCGCGCTGGGAATTCCGGAAACTGCGGACAACTTAGGACGATTAATAGGAAGGGTTTGGGGAATATACACGATCTTCAAGATTTTAGGACGTGAGATACGGAACTTCTGCGCCGTTGTGCTTCTTTTCGAATTGCTCTGGATGAGCAACAGTCGCAACGATGGGTCTCCTTACCTTCAACGGCACATGCAATTCCACACTGGAAGAAATGCGGAGTAGGTCTCCAAAGTCGTCGGAGAAGTAATCATGCTAATAGTCGCAGTCGGTAGTTCGGAAATACCTATGGTTGGCACCATGACTTTCCATACCATAGGCTTGATTGTCGCAGCTGCATGCGCTTTCATAGCTATTCTCCTCTCTTTTTACCTGATTTGGATGCATGCGCTTCACTACACCAAACCTTATGAGCAAAGACAGTATGTTTCCCTTCTGTACACGCAAAATGACATCACTAACAAATCCAGCATCATCCGAATCCTCTTCATGATCCCGACCTACGCCGCAGCCTCCTTCTTACAATTCCGCTTCTACTGGCACGCCGTCTACTTCCAAGTCATATGCGACTGCTACGAAGCCTTTGCGATCGCGTCATTCTTCGCGCTACTCTGCCATTACATCGCGCCGGATCTGCACGAACAGAAGATGTATTTCCGCAGCATTGAGCCGAAACCTTGGGTTTGGCCTATAACTTGGTTCAAGAGCTGTTGCTGTGGACAGAGAGGACCGTGGAGGACACCGAGGAGTGGATTGACTTGGTTCAATATTATTTGGACGGGGGTTTACCATTACTGCTTTATTCGGGTGTCGATGACTGTCACGGCAGTTGTTACGCAGTATTTTGGAAAATATTGCGAGTCTTCTAATTCGCCGGTGTTTGCGCATATCTGGGTATGTTATCCAGTGCTTTTACTTTGAATACTACTGACCCTGTTAGATCCTGACCATTGAGAGTATTGCAGTTACGATTGCTATGTACTGCTTGATCCAGTTCTACGTCCAGCTTCGACAAGATCTTGCTGCTCATAGTCCGTTCCTCAAGGTCGTGGCTATTAAGTTGGTCATCTTCCTCTCCTTCTGGCAGTCTTTCATGATCAGTATCCTCACTTCAGAAACGTTAGACGTGGTCTCGCCTACCGCAAAAATCGCATACCCAGATCTCAAAGTTGGAATTCCATCTTTGCTGCTTTGTATCGAGATGGCTTTATTCGCCATCCTCCACCTCTTCGCATTCTCCTGGAAACCTTACGCCTCCTCCTCATCCGGTTCAGATTACCCCGTCTCCCACCTCAAGAATACTCTCGGTCCTAAGCAAGGCGGCTTCCTAGGCATCAAAGCCTTCATCGACGCCATGAACCCCTGGGATCTTGTGAAAGCCTTCGCCAGAGGCATGCGCTGGCTTTTCGTTGGAGTAAAAGATCGCGAAAACGATTCCTCCTACAAAACCTCCTCCTTTGATATCAACAACCCTCAAAATGACGACATGTCGCTTCAATCCACCAGCCCTGCGGGTTACAAGCGTACGCAAAATTTACCCATTGCAGAAGAGTTCCGCAGAAGTAAATTCGGCATGCCGAGTTTCGCTTCCGGAAAGAAAGTAGATGATGAAGGAGCAGGCTTGATAGCACACGCGCAGCCCAATCCGCTGAAATCTGTATCTTCCGGCTATGTCCCAGCGAGACAGAGGTACGATATCAATGGCCAGGATATCAGTTCAGGCGGAACAGTATACAGCCCCTATAACCCAGATCGCTCGCAGACCCCAGCGGGAGATATAGGCATGGCTATCGCGGAGCCGCCAGAACCGTATCAGAGCCATGTGGTGCAGCAGCCTTCAGAAACGGATAAGAGGAGACAACAGACCCCTTCTGAACAGTGGGCGAATTCGAGGCAACCTTTACATGATGAAGCCAAGGCGGAAGTGGAAACAGAGGATGCGAGGAGGCCGGTGGTGCATAATGCGCTTTGGGGCCAGCAGCAGCAACAATAACAAGCGCCGAATCCAAATCCAAATCCGTATCAAGAGCATCATCCGAATCAGTTTTGAAGAGATACGCTGGACCCTGGGAAGGGAAGGATGGATGTATAATACGAATGATGCCACGATCAGCGATGGCATGACAGGGAATTGAGGCTGGTTCCTAATACTGATACTGTGGTCATCTGCGCCGTGGATACTGGATTTTGTACAGTACGTAATGTCGGCTGGTACGGTTTGGGATGGCATCGTAGGGGCAAAAGGGCGTTTCTGATATGCAGAGTTTGCATATAACTCGGATCGGTTTGGTATCTGAGCGGGCGGCGTTGGGATATCGATTTGCTTTCAGGAGATGTGTGGATTGATTGCGGAGGATACAGACGGTGCGGAGGAAGTCGATTCGCGGACTGTTTGCTACCTTATTGAGGGCGGGGATTTATTGATGTTAAGGACCCACCTTGTAGTATGGGTAAGCCTTGTGAAGGCGAGTAAAGCGAAGCGAAGCGATGGCCTAGGATGGAATGAATTCAGATCGTTTAAACACAAATTCGCGCACTGTACCTATGCTCGATGAACTCACCTTAACTCATGCACTCACGTCCGTTCTCATGTCCTTCTCTCTTATCACACTCGTTACAGAAACTCAAATCGATAGGAACTTCTAAATCACTAACTCACTCAGGTCAACTAACTGCCACATCTTTTTCCCAGAAGCCGCAGTCTTCGTTCTCGGTCCAAGTACCAACTTGTTCCTGTCATCATTTTGTGGGTCTCTATTTACAAAGCTCGCTTACAGATAGCAAATAGCGCCACTCGGCCTCACCTCGTCGTCTGATCTGCTTTGTTGCTCAAAATGTCTTTATACTTGGAGAAAAACTCACTTCGTAGCGCCATTGTACGTAATATAATACTATCAAAGGAAGTAAGTTGAGTTTATTCATGCTTTGTCCGTTGCTTTGTTCGTGGCTTCCTCATTTGTGCTTGGATCTTTCAATTCGGTAGCGATGCTTTGATGGTGAACAGCTCTTTCCCTTGCTGTAAAGATTGTGTATATACCTTTGAAGTATTTTCGAGCTGCAGTCTTCCATGATCAATCGATCAAAGGGAAATTTTTGGTCTCTGGTTAACCACTGTTTGGCCGACTCTCGATTCTTGGTTATTGATTTTGAGACCCTCTGGTAGGGTAAGCTCGTCCACGGCATATGCTCGAATCTGTCACGAGTTCCTCTTTGCCACGCAGGTGAATATCCAAAGAGTCCGGAACCCAATTTGAAGAATCCTTCTTTCGTCCCTCGCACTTAAGAGCCTTTCAAAATCAAGTTCACTTCACGGTCAGGCAGCAGCTCTTGGTTAACTAGCCAAGCCCAAAGCTTCTCCCGCAATTATGGGCAAGAGATCACAGCACAAGAAGCAGCTCCGGGCTCAGCACAAACGCCAGCAGAGCAAGAAAGTTGAAGTTCATCCTGCATCTGTTCCAGTCAAGCCATGTCGCAATCGACCTAATATTCTCACCTTACTCACTATTCCGCTCGAAATCAGATACAAGATTGTAAGTTTTTTCCAATATCTTAACTATTTCTTTCTCCCTTCTCTCTGAACAGTATCAAGCCCTTGGCTTTTCTTCCTATCCAATTTTCGAGCCTCGAGACCACTCAATGAGCCCAATGCTGACCCCTCCACAGTTCGACACCATAGCCAACGGAACCCATACTATCACTATCGCACCAAATCTACATATCTACAGCCCTCTTATCGGTCTCACCTTCACTCATCCTCAGCTCGAACATGAAATCGCACAATGGCGTAAATGCTACACTCGACCTGCGATTCACCCTGTCTTTGGTGACTTCAACCCTACCCACACCACATTCAAGATCACTTTCCGATCCAACGAGCGAAGAGTCACCCGCATCTACGAACCAGAAGATGCGAAAAGCAAGATGCTGAATTTAGAGCTGTGGAAGCGCGCTATGGATTTGGTTGGCACCAACAAGCAATTCGAGGTCAACATGGCGATCAGATACCTCACCAAAAGACTGTGGGAATGGAAGCCGATCATGGGAAGACATAAGAAGCACACAGTGGAGTTCCGAAAGATGCAAGAAAAGTTGCGGCACCTGGTCTTTGATGAGGAACTTCATGGCAACGTATTTGTCATCAACTCTCCTCGGATGTATGAAGAACCATTTGGAGAGAAGCCAATGCTGGATATCAAGCCTGCTGTGTCGAATCGTCTCCCCGCTACCTCGAGCAATCAGGTAGCCTGCTACTATCGAAGTTTGGGTATGCAGATCAACAGTGAAGCCTTGAAGGACTTAGAGCGTTTTCAAAATCCTCAAGATTTGGAGGAGCGTCAGGCGGCTTTCAGGGATGTCAAGCTCGAAGAAAAGCCGAGATTGATTTGCGCAAACTTTGGCCATTTTCGCCCACTGAAAAAGACAAATGCCCACATTACTGTGAAGATGAATACACGCACACTTTCAACACCTGGTTCACCTTCACTTGCACTACTAAATTACACCCCTGAAGGGGCTCTCTCAAGCTGGCTCTATTGAGTTTCTGGCACCCAGTCTGTTACAACATACTTGCACTCGAGCATTTGATACCAGTCGAGCTTCTCGGGTCATAGGATAGAGAGTCTACAGCTGACTATGATTCAGCTTTTGCTTATTAGCATTTTGATATTTTGCAAAGCTTAGCATTACATTACCAATGAATTATGGAGCGTTCTATCCACTCATCCACTCTTTCCATCCTACTACTTGCCTTCCCCAGAACCCCACAGTAGCACCATCCCCCCATCCCCATCCCCATCACGCGCTTTCAGAAGCAAGGAAAACATGTAAAACACACATCACGGCCGCTGCCCCTAGAAACAGAACCGGAATCGACAATCCGAATATACTTTCTGTGATTATTATCTGGCATCTTGTCGTGTCTGTATATATTGGAGGGTGAATATTTGTGAGGTGCGAGATTTGTTTGTAGATTGTTGTGTAGGATGTGCAGTTGGTTTGTGAGGCTGAGATTAGGAGTGGTGAGAGTGTGAGAATGAGAATGAGGATAATGAGGGGTTGGAACTTCATTTTGTGGGTAGTGAGTTGGTGGCGTAAAGGGTGCGCTGTTGGGCGGGTATGCTGCTGTGTGTGGGTGGTGGGATTTTGGGATAGGAGTTTTTGGAGGAGATGGTGTGTTGAGATGGATGGGTATGTGGCTGTGGTATTGGACTACTGGTTTATGTTATAATCAATATTTTATGTTCTTAAAGTAGCTAGGAGAACAAGTAGCCTCCTACAACCCAGGTGATTGAGATTCAATGCACTAGACGATAGCAAATTTAGGAGCTGCCTTGGGAGCGGTGATTCATTCACCACCCGTGAATCAAACAAACACATACACGGAACACGCCCCGCCAGCTACAGCAACAAGCACAAAACCCAACCTTTATACACTCTATCCATTGTGTATTCTATTCCATCGAATATCTTTGAACCGTTTCATCGTCCAAAGGACGAAACTGCAAAGCCGCAGGTTGGCACCCTACAATGTACTTCATCTCCTCCATGGAAATAGTAACATTTGATGCTCCATCGACAGAGGCGACTTGGATAGTAACTGTTGCAGTATTGTTAGCTTCGATCGTGTTTGCTGCTATGCTGACTTCGTCGGGGGAAGAATGGTAGGATGAGATGTCTAGAGAGCATGATGCGTGAGGGGCATGGGTGAGGGAGGTTCTGGTCGCTTTTCGGTGTCTCACGAGGAAAGTGAGCAGGTTGGTTGTTTGGAAGTGTGGATATCACGATCGGGTCTCGTTTAGGGGATGCACTGGCATGTTGGATCATTCTGGTGTGGGCTACAAGCAGGTGAAGGATTCAATATGATTCTGCCTCTTATACACATCGGGCAGGGGTAAAAATGAGGCATACGTCCGATGTGCATGAGATGCAGAGTTACGCTGAAAGTCCGGCCGCTATAATTGGTTGGTCGAGCGAATGCTGGACAGACTCTGTTGCAGCTCTTTTCTAGCGTAGATCAGTGACCAGACAAATGCACTTTACCTGGAACCCAATTCGACCTACAGATCTTTGCAAAGACAACAAGTCATTCCGAATGAGACTTTGTGGCACTCGCCAATTCAGACTCTTCTTTGTGAGGAAGATCTAGATTGGAGTTGTGATTGAAAGTGTCAAGACATTGGCTTGTTTACTCCCGGGACATCTAAGCGAGCCTGTTAAATGACAATGATCCAGCGACCAGAACGGACCACCTAAGCCTCAACTTCAGCGATGCTTGAAGGGTGCAGAACCTTCATGTCTCCTAGTTGTTTCCGGCACTGGCAAAAGAGTGTCTTTGGAACCAACGTTGCGCTTTGTTGCTCACACCGTGGGCTGCCTACATAATCCAGCGGTATCCGCAGAAATTTCCCATCTATCACCTCGCACTACACCGAGATCCACCACTTGGAGATTCGGACTATGATACTGGCACGAAGACTCATGTACCCCATGTGTCAAAATGGTATTTGTGTACGAGAGGGATGAGACTCCGTACTCTTGTAGCGCAGAAGAGTTTGTGGCATGGAGAGTATGCGGATGTCGCCGTTCGCGTTCGCATCCTGGAAGTAGCTGTACAGCGAGCGGTTGGTCGCGAGATTCTTGTTGCAAGGATGGCGCTTTGTGAAGCGATGTTGTATATGGTCTCCTACCGTGCGATCCTGAGCATGCTCAGGGATATCGAGAGTATGCTTGCTGAGGAGGCACTTGATGGTTGGGATTGGAGAGTGGGTTTGAGAGCTCAGCTGGATGCAAGAGATCGGCTCTACTACAAGGAGATTGGAAATTTGAGTGCCGTTGCGGAAGAGAGGTACACGCTGGCTAGTCTTCCTTCAGGGATCGCATAGTGGGAGGTCGTCATTGAGTTGGATGTCCATCAATGTCTTTGTCTTTGGCTGGGAGTCGGGGTCTGATGAATTGAATCGAAAATGAAAGCACACTGGTGATCACCTTTGGAAATATCTTTACCACGTGAAGCTCTTGCATTGGTACGAACAAGAACAAAATATCCAAGTAGTGTCTAAGCACAGACATGAAAATCGATTCGAAAAGTTCCAGGCTGCGTCGGTGTATGGGCAAACCACATGACGACCCAGTTTGCCCCGGCCGTTGCTCATATTACTCCTGCTCTCTACGCTTTGTCCATTATCATCAAGGGACTCCGACCTGCGCGATCCTCAAGTAAAACTGTCGTGTGATTTTGAATTAATCATCTCGCGTTCTTATGAACTCATTCGCGCTATGGCTGTCCTCCATGAAGATGCGCAGGTCGTTAAGAATTCAGATGATGAAGTCTATTAATTCGATTTCGCTACCTCTGCCTTTATGAAACGCGATAAGCCTCTTACCCAGAGACTCGTTAGTGCGATGACGGGGAAATCTATTGAGAATCCATGGTTCAAAGAACGCTTTTAAAACGAAGCCGCTGCACTACAATTGCTCAGAAGTCAAGCGAGGATTCCAGTACCAGGCTTAAGATCATGGGAAGAGGACAGTGAAGAATTGCTGTTCCTTGAGACGGATCTATTCCTGGAGTCCAACTCAAAAGAGCTGGGGATAAGTGCCGGATGCCGAACCTCCATTCCCTCGATGGAGAAAATTTGCAAGAAGTGCGACTTATCGCTGATTTAATAAGGGATCTCTGTGATTTAGAAAAGCTTATATATTCTTACCTCTAAACTGTGCAGCTAAGACTTTATATTTTGACTTTCAAAGGTTAATAGTCGGTCCCCCTTTGTGAAGCTGCGGGCATTGTAAGCGAGTGCCCGCAGCTTCACAAGGGGAACTGACTTTTAAGTTGCGAACTCTAAATCATGTACTTTTGTGTATTTTATAAGATTGAGTCAGGTTCTGCATAATTGTTGAAAAAAAGGTATAGCGGCAAACTTTGTTCATATGAATTACATATTTGCTAAGTGACAGGATAGAGACTTATTCTGCATCTTTCTAATCTTTTTGATTCTCTAGAGAGGCTGCAACGGCTGTCGTTGGTTGTTTTGGTTATTGGTATTGGTAGTTTCGTTGGCCGTTGGCCATTAGCGCCGGCCCGTCCCGCCCGCTCTTGAAGCCACTTGTGGCGGAAGACAAAGACCTTGGATGGCTTGATTGGGGCATCAAGCTTTTAAAAATTTAGAAATAAAATCAAACGGGTGGAGCAAATGTGATAGACGGGCCAACGTTCGATCTCCCACACATCTTCAGCCGAAATCAGCCCAACGGTTCACAGCCTGCCGCTGCCCAGACCTGTTACTTGTCGAAGACTAGTCCACAGTGAAGGTCTTGCAACCATTTCCAAATACTGAGTCATGTACCTGACGTGCGAAGCGTTGGAGGGTTCCGAATGTAACATGCGCCCCTGGCTACATATCTGTCCCATAAATTCGTTACATAGACTTGGTTGGCAGTCGTTCCAACTCCACTCGTTCCCAACCGCCCCGCAGGTTCAAGACAGGCTGTCTCCGGGGTTCGTGTGACCCAGGCACGTGTCACAGCTGACCAGCTTCTGCACCTGCAAGACTCGTCAAAACGTAGCCGCATTCCAAGCTAATACGAGTATCCCGCATAAATAAAAGTAGCCGATTATGGCGCGTGAAGAACAGCACAACAGTTTCAATTAACGGGGTTTTTCGACACTCAATGAGCAAATGTACTTCAGACTTTCAGACTATCCTTCTAAATGCTCTTAAAATACTTATGTGACCTTAGGTACATTTGTTAGAGGTAGTACTTTAAAGTCCTCAGCTTGTCGCAATTCAACACCGTATCCCGATCGGCCACTTATATGGACGTGGGATAGCCCTCCCCCACTCCCCACCACGACCCCCAACTTCTTTTTGCAATGAAGAGAGCTGGAGATTGGCCAGCGTAAAAATCTATGTTCTTCTCTACTACAACTGGCACTGCTTAGCAGAACGGTTATGCGGAGCCTGAGTTGGGCCGATAGGGCCAAAAAAGTTTGGAGAACACTTGGTTGCGAGGGGTCGTAGTGGGCCAAAACCAGTTCTAATCACGCCACCTGTCCAACAACAGAGGAAACGACTGTCAATCAAGTATGTAATACCAGAATCAAGGTTCCCAACCATTAAAGAATCATGTGGCATGGTGACAGATGTACGTCAGGCATGTCACGCGCTATCTGATGGAAGTGTTTTGACAGCGGATGTTACAGGCTCGTCCCCTGATGATACGATTCCTGCTTGGAGGGATGGCCAAGTCCTACTGGGCTTAGAAGAGCTGAATATGTGCGGTGGAGTCGATAGCTAGCTGACTATGGAAAGTGTATGGGGCATTCGGCCTTTGCCCCAGCTGGATGATTCTACAATAGGGAGCCTTATGGGGTTCTTTGTGTAGACAATGACTGTAACTTGTCTCTAATTTGTTTGGATCTTCTATAGTAAGAAAATGCAGACAATGTCATACAAAGCCTGCTGTAAGTTTGTCAAAAAATGTAGACAGATCGGTGGACTAGGGCAAGGTTAGGTAGCTTAGGCTTTTCATGTCACGAGTGAAACACGAAGTCAAAGGGTACACACAGACCCTCTGACACACCGACAGTAAGATACTTACTTTCAGGTCACTCGGAAAAGAGAGGGAGAAAAAGAGAGGAATAAAGAGGGAGAAGAGAGAGGAAAGGAACGGAGGGGAAGGGGGAGGGAGAGGGGGGAGAATAAAAAGTAGAGAGACCTTACCTTGGAGGGAGACCTTTGAAGGAGAGAAAAAGAATGATTTCCAAGGGTAAACGCTAATACTTGCAGACAAAGTCTAGATATTAGCTTGAGTCAGGAGGATCCTCGAAAACCGGGGAAACTCAAAGAAAATCAGAGAATCAAGCGAGGAAAATATAATTGTCTCAATTACAGACAGAAAACAACCTGGAAGTTTAATAAGCTTGTTTACGGATTGTTCAACTACAAGAAAGGCAGAAAGGCAAAAGAATCAGCTGTTAGATGTCTAAATACGAAGAATGTGCAAGTCTGCGTATTTGTCCAAAAAAAAGTAAAGCAGCAAAGTTAGTTCATTTAAAAATGACAGTTGCTAACTTTCTCTAACATGCACTGATAAGAAAGGAAACACTTTTCAGTGGAGAGGATGAGCCAAGCGGAATCCCATTGGATCATCTACGCTCGAGCAATATTGTCGTCTGACACGGCGTTTGTGGTATCAACTCCAGAGAGATATTCAGTACATCCGGGCCCGCTGTAGGTTCTTCTTCTTTCAAGGCAGTGCCTTATGCTGAAGTGTCTACGAGAAAGTCAGAAGATGCAAGCCTCGGTCTTTCCCCACTTGTTGAGCATGTGCTCACAATTTATCAGCCGATCTGCTCTATAAGAACCCCTATCCCCCATCGTTCCATCCTTTTCTTGCCACTACCACGAACAAACACACACACAAACACAAACAAATATCAAGCGACCACAATCTTGAACCTCGACCAAGCGATGTCTGGAACTATAGCGCCACCCCTTGTCGACTCCTGCAGTTGCAAAGAATGCTCCTGTAGAACTTATGCATCATGCGCTGATTGCGGCTGCGACGCGTGCGCAGATTCATTCAATGGTATATGCAAAGTGAGTCTTACTGTTACTGAATATCTAGTCGTTTGGTCTCGTCTTTCTGACACATAATATCAGTTGTAACTAGCACCTGGAGAGCACCATCTTCAATACATTCGCACAGGAAGACCGCTTCCCTTAACTGCGGCACGGGCCATGACGAACTACTTCCCCTGCAATTTATTGGTTTTATGATCTAGAGGTGGCATGGAGCTTGGGTTCCCTTGTGGGTCCAGTCGATGGTAGGATGGCGTGGGTTAAGATTGATTGAAAGCACACTCTTTCTGGTTGGGATAGTCGCAGTTAGCAGGTCAATGATCATGTTTACTTGCTCAAAATTGTTGTCTGAATGTGAGCTGAGCAAATTTCGATTGAGTAATTTCTCTCATGTCAATTTTCCGGAACTAAATGCAGTCTGCTGTTGCGGATCTTTGTCGAGTACGATGAGCCGGGGCCACTTCATCCGGCTGTGACAGTCCAAAATCTTACAGCGACTGGGTTGACTGGCGATGTTGTACTGCGCGAAGGAATTCTGAACATTATCAGGAGGTTCAACATACGATTAGTCCGTAAGCACACTTGGTCAAGACACGTTACGGTTGAAGCAGATATATGTGACTTTTCCTTCATTTATCCTCCCTCTTCAACCACTCAAAATGTTAATACTGAATTGGATTTTAGTCTCTTAACATTAAGAAACAAAGATCAATCACAGCATAGGTCACAGAAAAACGATAAAATGGATAGGATTTTGTAACTAGAAAGGGTGCTTGCAAATATAAGCGAGCATTAGCATGAGAGGGTAAAGATGTGAAGCGAGTGACGTCTAATCTTGAGCTCGCAAGAATCACAGGACAGGGGATTATGGAGCAAACTTTGGCACTCGCCTTCAACGCTCGGCTAGCGTCTTATCGGGTATACCTAGTGAGATTGCACCCCGAGATCTATCAGCCGTTTACACCAACGTATAGGTACAGAGCACGAAAGGCAAGATCCACTCTGGCAGTTACATCTTATCATTCTGCAAGAACGGCTTTTTCGACCTTCTCCGCGTTCTCGTCAATCAAATACACTGTTATGTTCTTTGTTTTACTTGCCTCAGGTACTGAGGAGGGACGCAAAACAATAGATAACTGGCATAAAATCTGGTGAATGCTTAGCAAACACTTCCAAATTGGTAGAATAGGCGAAGGCGAAATTTCTAAGGGGTCCTCCATCAACCGCTCATAGTCTGACGGCATATCGTGGTGGCTCCGAACATTGATACCTCATTCTCGATAGTCTCTCAATAACTTGATCTCTTGTGATGAAAGGTTCCCTCGCTTTCCACTCTGACAAAATGCTGGATTTATTCGTAACTCAAAACTTGTTGGCTGGAGATCATGCTCAAACATCTTCGGAGTCGGATCAGTCAAGAAATCACAACAAAATAATTTTCATTACTATCACAGCGCTGCCAAAGTAAATCGAAATATAAGTGCTAGCGAAAATAGGATCAGATTTTGTATTATATAATTTAAAGCAGTATAAAACATAACTGTCAAATAACAATCTGAGAGACTTTGAAAGTCCAATGTTTACACCGCCGCTTATGTTCTTTCTAGCTGGTCTTACAGTCTATCTTTTAGACTCGATATCAATTCCAAGATCACAACCGTGCGTTCCATTTCTTCAGCCAAGGTCAAAGACTCATATGGGCTGCCTTCATCATCCAGCTCGGCCGGAAAGTACTTAACCAGGTTGGCATGTTCCTGACCAGCAGGAACATCATCGCCGGTATCTTTGTAGCACACAGATCGCTCGCAAAGCTTCAATCCGCCATCAGAGTTGTCCCTATCGTCACTAGCCGAGTCAGTCTCGTCGCCGGGGAAGCATTTGCAGAACCAGGCCCATTCCTTCTCCTTGGATTCCGAGTCTAAATTGTCTGCTGTGGCTTCTTCCTCCTCCTGCTCATCTTCATCTTCGTCGTCTCCCTCGTCCTCGTCCTCGGCATCATACTCTGTGTCTGTCAAGAGGTTTGTAAGTTCGGAGGATGGAACAGACTTAGGAAGAGCACCCTCAGATAGTGGATGATGGTACCGGCCACAGCCGTCGCAATACTCGATATTGTCGAGATCGAGGTCGTCATCGGCTACAAACTGTGGCTCAAGATCATGTTCTTGCTCTCTTCGTGGCTCTGGCTCTGGCTGTTGCTCTATCGAGGTATCATTATCCAGAATCTCAGGAAAGAATTCCTTGCAGCACTCACACCAGAAAGTTTCCTCGATGATCTCGTACTCTTCATCATCCTTTGACTCTGACAAAGCTGACTCATCAGGGACAGGGAAGCGGTACCTGCCAAAATCGTCATAGAAATCCAGGCTGTAGTAATCGTCAAAGTCCTCTAGACTTGGTTCGTACGGTGTATACTTTCTCCGAGCAGGTTCAGGTTCAGACTCAGGCGTCTGAATTCCGGTCTCTGTCTCCTCTTCATGTTGACTGCTGCCTTTCTTCTCTCCTTCTTTTCCAATACCAAAAAAATCAACGAGAGTCCAGTCAGGCTCCTCAGCAATTCGTAGCCTCGGTATGATCACATCGCGGATATGTCTGGTACGTGTGCAGATCTTGCAGCCACACTCTACTTCTTCATCCTCCATATCGCTGCCAGCAAGAGAGTCGGCTCTGTCCTGGGCCAGCCAGGCTTCGGGACACTTGGAATCATGGTATTCAAGCCCGATGTCGTGATCGCAGGAGGAGCAGATTGGGGTGGGGTCCGCGGTTGATGCTGCCATGGTGGCAAGTCTGGAGTCAGGGCTCGCTGATCGCATGCTGTCTGGTTGTGGTTGTGATTATACTTGTGGAGAGGAAAAGGAGAAAGTCGCGGCTGGAATTAGATGAGGGGCGAAGTATATATAGAATTAGTGGGGAAGATTGCTGTTTATGTTGCATTGTATTTTGGGAACAATGCTGGCCTGCTGAGTCAGAACAATGCATACCGAGGAAACAAACGTTGCCGGAATCTCTTTCAGGGGTGGCAAAGAGACAATGCTTTGATATTTTCTTTTCATTGAGCTTCTTCTTGAAAGGCTTCATTGTCGCCTGGTGTATGCTTTTCTTTGACCGAGCTCTTTCACGGAACTCAGCCTTTACATATCTTTGGTTGGCATGCGAAAAAAGAAACAATGCTTATTGTTACAACCGCTATTATTTATCGTTAGTACGATATGACCGAGATCTCAATTGCTTACTCTTGCTACCAGTCTGGGATGTACCTAAGTACTGTTACATACGTACCTTAGGTACTAAATGACGTCAACAAGCGAGAAGTAAACACCCCAAGGCTCGCTTAATCACCACCCATCATAATTCATGTAGAATTGCCTGAAAGTATTGCTCGAATGAGCCCCAGTAACCGGATTAACCACATATTGAAATGAATGTCAGTCAATGGAACGATTCATTGTTGTACTATGTTGATCTTCTCCCAAGCCGCGCTGGTGAAGCGTTGTGACAGAGCGATCCCGACCAGAACTGACAGCGCCCTCGAACAAGTCTATGACGCCTGAGAGCGCCTCTCAATATTCTAAATCCCGTACATGTTGCCAGTACAAGTGGCCACAACGAATTGAAACATAGACAAAGAGAAAGCAAAATTACGTGGACCCCGTATCTGAAGCCCAGAATCTCTCCCCACCACCGAGGACCTCCTCCAAAATCCTATCAACATGCTTACCACTCCAAGGACTCGTACTCGGTCTACTTTCCGTCTGAGATTGACCCAAATCAAAATAATCGAGATAGCTATTACGTGTAGGCTCCAGCAGGGTAGCTTCCTCCACAGAGCTTTCGTCCGTAGCTACGTTTTCAGGAGCAGGCATAAGTGACTGCGGAATCGACTTGCTGGGAAGTAGTTGGCCATGTAACGACAGCCGACGAGGAAGGTCCTCGGTGGTTGGATATCGCCCGACTGCTAGCGACATGTCTATGCCGAAGGATATGCGGAGAAACGAGACCGGGGAGCTGATGAACACGTCCAGCCAGTCTTGAAGCGCCGAAGAAGTCCGAGTCAAGGATTTCGAGTTACCTTCGATAACATTCTTTTCTGAGCGTGCCGCTTCGATCGATCTAGTGACCACATTTTTGACTACCGTGGCTCCAGTATAGCGATCTTTACATAGATCCATGGCTTCGTTCAGAAGCCGCAGTTGTCGTCGTTTACCTTCTGCCCTGGTATTGGCCGTTGATAGAGTCTGCAAGTCAATGGAATTTAGGATGATTGGAAGAGCCAAGTAGGCGACACTGATATTCTTGTTAGCAAGAAAGCCATGAGCATTGGGCAGTCGGTGAAACTTACGCGCTCACGGGGAGATACTTCGCAATATCTAGTTGAATGAATGCCCGGACTGTTTCCGATATGCTTGATACTGACATGTGAAGGGCGCTCCCAAGGTGTTTCATGCGTACGTCATGGTTTCTCGTGTCATCCCCTTGCAGCATGAAGGATTCCAGTTGGTAAAGTGCTGCTTTCGCAGATCTAAGTACTCGTCAGTGGTGAAGTATACATGAACAGTGGAGTGTGGCTTACTGGAAGTAGATGGAGGTCAAGCCACTGTAAAGTATGACCGACTTGTGCTTCTTTGACCAATCCCCCGGCACGACCCACTCGACAAATCGAGCATGCCACTCATCAAGACGGTCTTGGCATATCTCCATCTTCCTCGGCATTGACATAACATCATTGTAGTCCAGCTTGTCGAATGACCGGAATCCATTGGCTGGATACACATGTGAAAGCGTATCCGTTAACTCCACCGCAAGGTCTAATTGTACCAAGAACACTTGTGCTAGTTCCCGTTTCGTTTCTGCATCATAAACACAGGAACTTCTGAACTCCGGCTCGAGATCTTCCTCAGAAAGCCGCGATTGAGTGAAATCAAAATTGTCTCTTGTAATTTGAATGCAGCGACGCACACCGAGAGGAAGAATTCTGTCCCGTAAGATGATGCACCTAATCACATCAGCTGGCCATAATGAATGAGATGTACTGCTTGACGTACCACCAAAGTCTTTTTCTGATGAGTTTCTCTTCTGCTGAAAGTGTACAATCCTGGTAGTACATGGATACATTTGCGGCGTTCGCAAATTGAATTGAGAGACGCAGCCATGAAGTGTTCGACATCTTCCACCACAGGTCAGCTACGTTGATGAGTTCGGGACTTGTGGCCACTTACGGCTTCACGCTCTGATGAATAATATGTCAAAAGTAATGCTCCCTGGGATAGTGCTATTAAATCAGATGTTGTATCAAAATCGTGAAGCAACTTCGCGCGGCGATAAAAGCATGTTCGCGCTTCAACGTTCGTCTGAAATCCCAACTGACGAACAGTCTGATCTGATATAAACTGAAAATATACAATTAGTCAGAATCTTGTTATAGGATCGTTCTAACTCACACCACAGCTCACGAATAACATAGCTCTGAAGACGAACAATGGTATTTTCTGGTGCATAGCACGCTTCCCGTTTCCCTCTCGAGGAAAATACATTTCCCAGAAAGCTTTTTCGTCAATGATCGGTAGCACGGGGTGGACATGCAGAAAATACTCTCTAACAAGATCATCTAGTATTGGTCTTGCTGGGAGATGAAAACACCCTTTGTATTCTAAGAACTTGAAGTCTTCTGGCGCAATATGGGAAAGCGTCTCCGCCTCCAGGAAATCGAAATACGAATAAATCATATCCGGATGGAGATTTGAATTGGATGCATAATTTGAAAATGGATTGATTCCCGAGGAAAATGGAGTGTTCGGAGCTCGCGCTTTGTCTGCGACTGCTGCGAATGGTGATATGTTTGTGGACATATCGTCAAGAGGTGGTCGGTTCGTCCCTGAGATCTCGATTGGAGGAAAGCCTGGAGCTCCATCAACAGGTTCTAAAGGCTTCAGACGTACTCTCTTCCTGTTTAAAACAAAATTAGCATGTATCACATGACAATGGATCATTTTGGAGCACAAACCCTGCGCGGATCACGCATGTAATTCCATCAAGGCGACAATTCGTACAGGTATTTCCTCTACTCATGACATCGCACCGAACTTTCCTGTGAGAGATCAGCTCAATTCCTAGGTACGAATGCTCCAAAATACCTCTTGTGACACGCAACGCAAGCCTTTCTTGCCCTCCGCCGGATAATCCGGCCACTGGGAGCTACATCATGAGTACTGTGAGGAGCAGTGTCGCCGTCCTGAGAAGGACGACGCTCCTGTATCTCATCGTCGCCTGATTCAGGGCTCGACTGGTCGAAGACAAAGTCTGCTAACTGGTTGAAGTCGTCAACTTCCATACTGTCGTGTACTGGTATGAAAGCTCAATGTCGTGAGGTGCGCCCCTTCGCGCTTTAAATGATAAACCCGGGTGTGAGAGGAAGCCACATTCGTCGCCACCTACCCGTCGATGTCTATTTAAATTTTCAACTATTCAGAACTCTGGGAACGTCACACGTCGTCGGAGACAAGAGACATGGCAAATTGCAATGGACAAACAAGAAGTGCATGATCCGCGGTACTAGAAGAAGGCTCGGATGATCGTCTCGGTATTCTCCTGGGACGGCGCCGGATGGGTTCGCTCTTCTCGTCGCCAAGAATGCGGGGTGCGGGGGGATGAAGGATCGCCCACCACCCAAAGTTCGCTTGCCGATGTTCCATGGCAAATTCGGCTGCGAAATAGACTGAAGCCACTATTGGCTATATAACCGCGGGAGTTTCCTTCGTTTAGCTGGGAGACTATTATTTTGATGTTCCACGAGTCAGATGATGGCTCTGAGAGGAGGAAAGCATTCGTCAAGCTGGCCGGCCAGGTTGACCAAAAGAGGACCAGTTCCATGGAGCTGGACTCAGTGACGAGTACCCGGCTGAGCGCCAGGGGAAAATGCGGGGGAGAAGTATGCTTGTAATGTTACGGCTGAGCTTGTCCTCTTAGTCCAGATGTCTGTGCCGAAAGAAGGTCGGCTGTTGATATATAAGTACGGAATATACGCTCATGTCATAGATATATATTTCTCAAAGTCACACGCGCGCCGCCTGGCAAGTATATCTTCCAACCGATCGCAATGGTTTCTTCAGGAGACGAGAAAGAGTTCAAAGAGAACGACCCTTCAAATGCTCATATCGAGTCACAAAACCAAAGTGACAACGGTGCACAATGGAGTGTTCGACAGATAATCGCTACCGTGTCCCTCTCCATTCTTTGGGTTGGTAAGTCCTCCTAATCTCACCATAAGTTGACGACATACTCACGCCTTCTCAGGTTCCCAGGTGCCTCTCTATTTCACAGGCGGTATGCTGTCATACATGGCCGCTGACCTCGGGGGACTTGCTTTGACGTCGTCCGCATGGATTCCAGTGTGCAACACTCTTGCCGTCGCCTCAGTTGCACCTTTCTCCGGCTACTTGACTGATATCTTCGGCCGTCGAAATATCACACTCATTGGATCCCTATTGATTATGGTCGGCATTGTCATCGTCGGCACCGCACATAGTTTTGGGCAGGCGATAGTTGGAATGTCGATTGCTGGAGCTGGAGCGGGTATTGGAGAACTGACGGCTCTGGGAGGGTAAGCATAACCTCAAGTTTCCAAGAGAAGAGACTGACCGTACAGCGTGGCTGAGCTTGTCCCTGTCAAACACCGTGGACTTTACCTGGGAGGCATTGTCTCATTCTTGATCCCGTTCACGCCCTATGTTATGTATTCACAGCTCTTGTCGACTCGGACCTCGGAAGGTTGGCGATGGTGTTTTTGGATTTCATTGTAGGTTCTTCTCACAACTGTTCAGAAATAGTGCTAATGGCTGAACAGGATCTATAACTTCGTCGCATTCGTGGGAATGGTGTTCACTTACTTTCCCGAAAAGCATATGGTGATCGAGAAGGAGAGCAAGATGCAGACGTTAAAGAAGATAGACTGGCTGGGCGCAGTATTGTCAATCGTTGGCATCACCCTTTTGTTAGAATCCCAGGCCTCATCAGCAGAGCGAAACATGACTGACTGGATATACAGCCTCGTCGCACTTCAAGCAGGTGGTTACACTCATTCCTGGTACGTGCTGGCAAACCCGTTTTCTCCAAGAAGAGCTTTCTCAATAGGCAATTACTGACTCTTCATTGCGTACAGGAAATCCGCATACGTTCTGGCACAATTGATCATTGGGATCCTGCTCATCATTGCCTTCGTGATCTGGGAATGGAAAGGAGCGAAAGTTCCAATGGTTCCAAGAGAGCTTTTCCAGGGACAACAAACTGTTGGTGTAACATTCCTGCTTCTCTTCGTTGCCGGCATGAATTTCTATTCCTTGATCAACTGTAAGTAGTACTCAAATCGAACTTTTGACTGGCAGCCAACTCACCGTTTCTAGTCTTTCCACTCACATTCTCCAATGTCTACGCTCCTGATCCAGTCCAAGTGGGTCTGAAAGACCTAGGGTATGGCATCAGCGTCACAGCGGGAGCGACAATTCTCAACTGGGCTTTATCCATCTTCAAGAACCACAATCGCGAGCTCATGATAGCCTGTTGCATCGTCATGAGTACGTCTCCATCCCATTACCAAGACCCAACACTAACATATATTCAGCGGCATTCAGCGGCGCCCTCGCAGTTGTCAACCCCACCAACCCCAAAACCGCCGTCGCACTCGGCACCATCGCAGGGTTCGGCGTAGGCGGCGTTCTCGTCCCTCCATCCACCATAGCCCTCACCGTCTGCCCAGACAGTCTCATCGCGACAACTGTAGCGCTCTCCCTCTCCATCCGCGTCATAGGCGGTTCCATCGGCTACACCATCTACTTCAATATATTCAGCGAGAAGCTCACAAAAGCACTGCCGACATACGTCGCCGGGGCTGTTGCTAAAGCTGGACTTCCAGAAGCAGATATCATGACGTTTGTGGGGACGTTCTTGACGGATCCCACAAGTATAATGAGTGTGCCTGGTGCGTCGCCTGCAATTGTGGCGGCTGCGACGAGGGCTTCTCAAGAGGCGTATTCGTATGCGTTGAAGTATGTTTGGTATACGTCGATTGCTTTTGGAGTTGTGGCTATTGTTGCGGCTTGTTTCTTGGGGAATAATAGAAAGTATTTGACGGATCGTGTGGCGGCCAAGATTAGGAATTAATGAGATGATTGAATTTTATGCAGAAGCAGAAGAAGTAGAGATAAAGCGAGGTCGGTTATGACTGCAAGAAGACATAGAGTTGATGAAGGGATTGAAGTCGAGCAAGGACGGAATAGAGAGATTCAAGACAGAGGTGTAATACTTATTCTGCTAACCGAACGCAACATCGACAAGAAGCAAAACCAATTGTGAATGAGAGATGACTTAGTGCTAAAGTAGGTATGAGGTACCTATTTCCAAATCACGTGACCAACACGTGCACAGCGTCAACGAGAGAAAACCTTAAGGCTCTGGACTTGCTGAACCTTTGTCGAATACGACCATCTGCTGCCTGCCGAAACCTTTGCGACTGTATCGTCTTGTGGCTATCTCCCACGGCCGTAACGAGCTTGTGACTTGCGCCGTAAATCGAAACACATGTTCTTCCTTCAGATCTGGATGAAGCCGCAAGTGCTCAGATTCCGGATGCGGCATTGTTGCTCACCCAAGTAAAGCAAGTCTGTAATATAGAAAATGATTTGACTTGAAAAAGAGTGATCTATAAGGTCGATATGAGCCGAAGAAATACGGAACCGGTGCTGAAGAGGCAGAAAGACGTGCTGGAGGTATGCATTAGAATCTCACTTATTGCCCTGTACGGCTCTTTCTCCTGCCATTGCTCAATATTCATTCCATGACATCAATCTCAGGGAAAGCAATCGCCACCATCCGTTCCGTTTCGTTTTGATTTGCGGATAATTGCATGAAACGCATGTCGGCCACGTTGTACGACCGTTGGAAGGTACATGTCAGGCATCACAACTTGATTGCCGACTGTCCCAAATGATGGGAGCTGCTTGGATTAACTGCAGGTCGCCATCCATTCTGGATCTGTTACTTGGAGACCCCAGCGCATCTCCATTTGCGCAGGAAGGGGCAGGCACCTGAGATGGTAACAGAGGCCTGAAAAGTGGTTATGTGAGTGCGTTTGTCAGATGTGTGACCAAGGGAAGGGATTGAGCGGATGTAACATGTCTTGTACATCCAACCTTGAAGATACCTCTTCACTTACAAATATCCCATCCCTCGATAAATGAACATAATCAATTGCCCTTGCCTTGAACGCTCCCCTCGATCTATGAAAAGGCGTTGACTGCTCCTTTTCTTGACGCCACCTCCAAAGATCAACGACCTTAAGGAAAGACTTATCAAATCCTCAGAGCTCAACAACTTCTGCATCCAAGATCCAGAGCACATAATGTCGGCAACTTCAACAGCAACACATCTCAATTTCGACTCCACGTCGACTCCGCTCAATCCGAGTTCACCATACACGAATTCAAACCCAGCAAGCGACTGGTCTGCTCTGGCCATTGCCACAATCCTCTTGACGGTCACGGGCTTCGTCACCGTTATTGCCGTTCTATTTTGGATTTTTAGGAAGGAGAAGCTCGCCAGGGAGGGAGAACGGAGAGAGACAAACGCCAATTTCTGGCCTGGCTGTAAGTCTGCTACCGAAGCTTTGGAGAGTCACACAGATTGATGCTGAGTATTGATGTTCTTCAAGTTCCCACTCAGAGGATGGAGCAAAGGCAATCGACAAGAGTCTTGCCTCGATATTGTCAGGGCTGATTGACGAGGATGAGGAGGATACAGGGGGTTCGCGATGAGGCTTGAATGGACACTTTGGAGACGGGACAACCACGGAAGGTTTGAAACGCGGGGTCTCGTGTTGACGAGAGCTGCGAGCTCTAAATGTCCGGCTTCCAAACTTTGTAATGTGTGAAGAAGTGGCTTCAATTGTACGATATGTGGACGTTTCCTTCAGTTAGAGGTTGTTCTTGCTTGATCTCTTCACTGTCGTTCCAATGAATCTAAACACTTAAGACCTCGTCTTCCCCAACCACTTCTCAGCCCTCGAAGAAGCAAACAAGTTTAGTCCCAAGCCTTTCCGTTTCCACTCAATGCGAATAGGGGGGCCGAACACACCACAGCGCGTCTCCTAATTTCACCAACGCGTTGGACGCGGAAAGGCCAGCTCAGGCCAGCTTCTCCCCCGCCATGCTCAAACTACCATACAACTCTATCGCCAGGGCGTTTCCTAATAGAAATCTTAATCATGCAATAGTACTTCTCATTGGTGCCCGCCCCCTATTCCAAGTGTTTTCCGTTAGGTTCCTCTTGATCGCGCCGGGAAAGGAGACATGCAATTGGCGAGGTGGACCACCCAGGACCCAGGCGGTGAGCACGGATGTTGTGGATATCCTCACAAGTTTGAAGCGATTTGCAGGGATTCTTCCCACAACACAACCCTGGATTTGGGGCCGATCCTTATTATGGAATTCTATCAAGCTGGGGGGCTCTCCTCTTTTCCTTTCTTTTCCTTCCGTCTTTCACTGGGAGGCTTCTTGTTTCCCCAAGTACAAAAACTACAACTTCAAAAGTGCTTCAATGCTCTGTTGATTGGTGCCCTTCAGTCAGATTATCCTGCCAGTTTACTACGGCAAGCTCCAGTTTATTCTGCCCGATAGGACGAAAAGTTTAGTCTTTTGTCGGCGGGATTGGGTGATCCAAAGGTTCCCCGGCCACAAATAGTCCAGAGACGTATCATTTCATTGCCCTTCAAAGGGATCAATCGTGTTTGCCCTGCCCCGATCTCAATAATACTCATCACTTCTCCCAAGAATCAAGCATCCCTCGACTCAGCTATTGACACCAAAATGGCTGCTCCTGTGTCTGCCCAAGCTGCTCGAGCGTTAGAGCAAGTGAAGATGGTAGGAGCTCCTTGCGTCGTGCCTCTCTGCATTTCGCCAACTGATAGCTCACCAGGGCCTATATATGCTCTATGGAGCTTCTTACTTCACTGAGGATGAATGGATCAAAATTGACGGTTTGATCCATAAAGGACAATATGTCTTTACGAATGGACCTTCTCTCCTCGACGGCAACTTCGATGGAGAATTGATGTCCTTCGACGACGGTAACAACAAACCAGACCTTACCATCCAGATGAAACCCGATTCGTCCTTTGATACTGTGAAGGAAGATACATTTGTGGTCACTGAGACCCAGGTCGACTCTCCGACTGAGTCTGATCGTGCTGATTCTGCGACCGAGCCAGCAGAAACTCCAACCCATACCTCAATTGAAACTTCTTCCGATGACGAGGTTCCTGCGAAAGCTGCAGAACCCGACCCAGCCATGTTCGACTTTTCCCAATGGGATCCTCCTGCTGAGAGCACCGAATCTACAAACCTTCCCGAGCCTTCCGAGGCCACACCCGAAGCTGTGAGCACTGAAGTGCCTGTAGAGACTGAAACCGAGACCAACACCGAGACCAGCGCCGAGTCGCCTGCCGACGAAGAACTCTCTACTTTCGAACCCCCAAAACGCGAGCCAGTTGAGATCCCATCTGCTGGTGGACTCGCACTTGGATATACACAAGCACAATTGGACGAAATAAAGGCTTTCAATCAAAGTCTCACAAAGGCTGGCAAGAAAGGAAAGCGCAGAGCACAATCTCCATCACCAAGCTCCCAACCATCTGAAGCAACGACACATGCTCCGACTCCCAGCGAGCATGAAAATCGCATTCAGTCATGGGCATCCGAAGTCGATGCCCAAGAACCAATGGCCGAAGCCCCATCACCAGGACCGGTACTCCCAGTGATCGCCAACGAGTTTATTAAGACCTATGGTCGACAACCCAAAAGTATCAATGATCTTGTTCAGCCAAATAATCCTGCATTTGTGCCATTGGATCGCCGTACTCCTCGCATCGTCGCTCCGATCAAGAAACCTAAGTCGACTGGTGGCACTCAAGTGTTTCCTCAAGTAAATGTTGCACCTGGGACAATTCTGATCGCACAGAGCAATCAGCCAAAACGCAGCACAGTTGAGCTCGACGTCAGATCTGGTGATCATATTCGAATGTTGAAACATGTTTCGGGCATAAACCACCAAGCGCAGAATATGCGTACCAACCTTAGAGGCCAAATATCCGAGAATGTGTTCAAGAAGAGCCCAGATGTAGCGAAAATTGACCCAACGGCGGAACAGCAACGGGCATTTTCGCAGAGGACACCAAGTATCAGCAGCAACGGACTCGACGGTATGGAGAGAAGAAACGCCGCTGAATGGGATGATGTGTCAGTCTCGAGCAGACAAAGATCAGTCACTGCTGCAAAGCCGAAGCCCTTTGGTGGTTTGGGGTCATCTAGGTTTGCGGTCTTGGACGAGACGAAGAGTGTTGTCAGTTCTGCCAGCGAAGACATGGTTTCGCGAGAAGAAGTCGCAAAGATGGTCGATGAAAAGGTACGTTTCTTCCTCCTTTTACATGTATTACTAACAAAGATAGTTCGCACAACTACTCGCATCTCGCAATGGTGCACCTCCTCCTACTGGTCCTCGTAAGAAACCCAGCATGAATGAGCCTCTCCAACCTGTTACCCCCAAAACTGTGACTTGCTGGTTCTGGGCAACACCAAACAAAAGCTGTCGTTTCACTGCTGATGAGTGTCGAGATCTCCACGCATTCCTTCCCCCCTCTTCCTCGACCCCTGCCAATCTTCGAATGGGTAAACCTACATGGGGAGCACTGGCCGATTCCATCCCCCCTCCTACCACGGCTCAGATCCAAGCTCAAATTGCTCCGACACCAGCTCCTTTGGCTTTGGGCCAAGGTGAGGGAGAGTCTATGATGAGAGATCCGTCAAAAGCTTTCAAGACTTGCTGGTACTGGGCGAATGATACCTGTCAGAACACGGCAGAGACATGCAGGTACCTCCACAACCACTGTGCTGCGGGAGTTGCTCCCAAGCCAAGCGGATGGAAGAACAACTGGAGCCGCTGGGGTAAGTCTGAGGCAACGGATGAGTTTGGCAGGAGTGCCACTTGGCGTAGAGACAATGAGCAGAAAGCCGAAGATGAAGAAGAAGGAGAGCTGGTCTTGGAGACTGTAGATGATGGCGGCGACTGGAAAGAGGAGGATGAAAATGGCTGGGGAGAGAGTGCGCAGCCACCGGGGAGCACCACGGGCAGCTGGAACCAAGACCACCTGAACAACGGTTGGGGTGATCCAGCTGATAAGTATAAGCCGCCCCATGTGAAGGCTTTGGAAGAGAAGTCGTTGAAGGAGCAAGTGGGGTGGTAAAGAGCTTTTTTCTTGATCTTACATTGGTATTTTATCGTTATTATTTGTTCTCAAGTCTGTTATTTGGCTTCGTTATTCGGCGAGGAAAGAAAGAAAGAGTATACTATAGGACCAAGAGTCTATTATATGGGAGAAAGCGAGAGTTATTGAAAGAATAAGGAGAGAGCATATTACTGTCTGTCGGAAAGGAAAAAGATATTTGTTACAAGGAGATGCAATTAGTATTCCGAGTGGAATTTAGTCAAGTCTATTGAATAGGATGGGAAATGGATAATTTGGATATATACAGAATAGCATACGTACACAGATATGAGGAATGAAATATAAAAATTAAAAACGGCTCTGGGTTCTTCTCTTTTGATTGTTGGATTCCCATAATCACATGCGAAGCAGCAGGATCTTCAAGACAAGATAGGAGAGACCCGCCCTCCCGTCCTCTACACATGTCCGCTGACCAGAACATCGATACTCACAAACCAAAGTATTGCTCTCCAGTCATGACATTCACTCGATGATCAATCGATGCGTTATAGCTCACAGTATCTATCCCCCAGACTCTCATTCAGGCGAACGACTCAGTAGTTGAGCTGAATTGTGCTGGATTCGTTATCGCACTGGGCTTGGGACCTCGGCACAGATACAGTAAGCTGCCTGCCCTAGCCGAACTGTTTATGCCGTCTCGGTTAAGCGTCTTAGTGGGGTGAAAAAACCAGAGGAGAAACCCACACTGCAGGGGTTTGTTCGGGCGAAAATCTGAAAGAGAGAATGAGAGGGTGGCTGAAGGGTAAAAAGAGAAGGATGGAAGGGGTTTCTGAGGAAGGTTGTAGTGATTCTGGGATAAGAGAATGGAAGTGTTGAATGGTGTTGAATCAGGCGATGAATACAGCAAGAGTGCACTCTTGAATAGATTCTACCGTCCAACAGGTCTGTTATATCTGATCTGACCTGGAGTTCAAGCAAACAGCTTTCTGCGGCGCCCCTCCGGCGACCCTCAACCAGCCAACCGGCATCAAAAAGCAACAGAGGGAGGAATCCCTTTAGGACTCACATTCAAGAAAGACCATTAAAAGCAAAAAATCAAGGCCTTGACCCGGGATTGAACCGGGGACCTCTCGCAAATTGTACTCAGAGTAAATCCCTAAGCGAGAATCATACCGCTAGACCATCAAGGCTTTTTGATTGGATGATGTAAGAGTTTTTCTTATGTAGATACTTGTCACAATTAATAGAATTGAGATGTGTGGGTGGAAAATTTCTTGAGTGAGAGGGGCTGGAGGGTGAAGCGAGCCAAGACACGGAATCAGAACTCCATTAGGAGTGTGCTGGCCTTGTGGGGTTTTTGTTAATCAGAAAGACGTGCTAGTAGGAACGTCTATGCAACAATAGGGAAGAAGGATCTAGGAGCTCAGAGACTTCCAATACAGGATATCAATATCTCGAACTATCTGATACTGCAATGTCCCGAATGAGGAACAGACAATGTCGTGAGCATATACGGTCTACGAGTAAGATGCCTTGGTGCTACTTGATTCCCCCATCTCAGAGCCGGATGGCCCAGGGTTCTCCCGGGTCACAATCTAACTTTCATACAGTCGTTTAAGGACTACTCTGAGTATGATTGCGAGAGGTCCCCGGATCAATCCCGGATGAAGGCATTTGCTTTGTTCTCGTGTGCTATTGGCGACTAGTTTGACAAAGGACGGTTGAGGATTGACAAAGTAGTAATAGATGGTTCCCATGGGATTACGTCCCCGGAAGGGAACTACACCGCAACCGTTGGAGCTCCCCACTAAGCTCGCCGTGTCTTCTAAGACTTGACTCCTGCTTTCAGGAGCCCGCTGGACATATTAGAACGATGTAGATCAAGTTGGGTAAGGAAAGCTAGCTATTTGCCCAATGACTTCCTTTACATCTCCATGGGGTAAGGACTTGACGCTTTCCGTCACGCTGGGCTTCTCGCCTCCTATAATATACCCAGAGTGCTTCAAAATGAATATCAATCCATAACTTGCCCGCTGAAATATCCCACAGCTGTTCGCCAAAGTTGATACTACACTTCGTGTTATCACGTGATACTCCTCCGACTGGATTTTGGAGTAAACTTCACACCAGCATCTAGCTAGTGGTTGTGCTGGTCAACGCGCAGCCTACTGAATCATAAAAGTTAACGGTATTTTCAAAAGACACTCTTAACCCTCCCTCACCCATTCGATATCAATACTAACCATTAGCAAAGCTCCAGCAGTCCTTGATAGACCCATAGTCCAATCACCCCCTCTTTTGCCACTTCTCGATATTCCAAGAAGGCTCATATTGTCTAAAATCTTTATTCAGCGTTAATTATGAGATGATAGGCAACCTGTTATGAGGATCGCTTATTTTTGACATTCGGTAATGGACAACATCCTGGACAGCAACGTCTCGCGTAAACCTGTCATTGCTCGAGAGCTCTCCGCTTTGTGACAGAGTGAATTAAGGATTCGAAATTGGTATGATCTGATTGTTCTTTTCTTGATTTAGAACATTGAGAATTCATGATGCGCCAGAATTGTAGCCCAAATGCAGTCTGCTCCGCGAACAACTTCGACTTTTTCTGTGACCGTTGTCACTTGGCTCGTTAACATGGAAATCAACAAGACGTTACCTATCACTTACAATTCCTTAGTAGTGTATTCGCTAATATAAGAAGATGTTGACAATACGCCTTTTCCAGGCTGTGTAAGGATGTCAATGACTGACTTCATAATTACTGTGTTACCTGCATCAAGCCAAGTTCCCTACTGATAACTCCATGATATCCTTGTTTCCAGACTTTCGCTACTATTTCTAAGATTTAAAAAGGAAACGTTTAAAGATAGATCTTTACTCCGGCAAAGCAAGAAACCACACTGGTCTCAAACCAAAGATCCTGGATACCCTCATCAACTCATCCTCAATAACCGGAACAGTATGATAAAGCACGATTCCAACCCACGAAATTCTCAAAGCTGTCAACCCGATTGATTGCCATGTTGATCTCGGCCCATTCAAGCCCAGTAGGTCAACTGCGCGAACGAGAAGAACTTCATACAGCACGCAAGCACCTTGCATCCAGAGGAACGATGCATATCTCACGGCACTGACATTTGGAACATCTCTTGGGAGCGTGGCTGAATGTAGTACGCCGGAGAGTCCGAATGCCACGAAAATTTGGATGACATATTTGGTTGTCGACTTTTCAGGAAGGTTGAGAGCTCGAGAGATTGCTTTACCAGGACCGGTGAGGAGCTTTTGCTGTCAGTTGCTACATATCTCACAGCACTTTTGATGTGGTAAACTCACATTCCTAAACAACTGATGCCAAAATACACCCCAAAACCCTCTCAGCCCTCGTTCTGCAATTGCAATTGGACTCCCCATCACACTCGGCCAATTCTCTACCCTTCCCCAGAAATCATCAACTAACCCCACCCCACCGAGAGTAACAAATAACGCAGCGGGAATGGCACCCATCAGAGTGAACACAGAGTACTGCTGCAAGCCCAGGACAGCAATCCGAACGAACCGAGGAGACAAGAAATCTAAATGGTACTTCGCGAAGAAACCACCCAGACGACGAGGGAATGCCTCGTCGATCGAAGTCTCGATCTGCATGTACGGATCAAAGTACTGGTATAGATTCGTGACATCCATGGTTCCGATACAGAAGACTATGAGGAAGAGTTTCTGAACGACGAACGCAGTGCGTGATTTGCTGGATGGAGGAGGTGGTTGGGAAGAGTAGAGGACGGTTTGGCTGGTTGATGTTGCCCAGCTGATGTACCGGAAGGATATGACGAGCTTGGAAACCCAGATAGAACGTTTGTACCATGATGCAGGATATGCTTCGGCCCATGCAAGTTGATGGGAGCAGTTGGTAGTGGGTGAAGTGTTCTTGACGTCGCTTTTATCTGTAGACGCTGATGCAGAAAGCATATCAACGATTTCTCCCTCGCTGTCATCTTTCTTCTCTTCTCCACCGGCTGCAGGAGGTGCTGGTGGTGAACTTCCGAAATATAAGAGAGCGAAGTCTTTCCTGGGGTCACGGAATAGAAGAAGATCTGTTGCCCATAGAGCATGTACTGATGCTATGTATCCGAGGCCAAAACTCCATGTGTAGATGTGACAGCTCCATATCAGTGGTAGGAAGGCAGCTGCAAGTTTCATGTGTGACAGGACGGAGGGGGGCGTGAGCAGGGCCGCGTGGAGAAGAACGTGAGCTGTGGTGTGAGCACCGAGAGCTTTGAAGAGCTTGTCCATTACTGCAGAAAATAACAAGTCAATAACGATCTTTGCATAGGAAAGTAAGTATTAGCTTACGAAGGTGTGGGGAAAGCTCCTGGTTATGTTGCCATCTGGCCTCGTACGAAAAGCTGGTGCAGCGCAACCCTCCAGAGTCATGGGACTTCGTTACAATGCCACATGTGTGACTGTCAAACCAGATTTATTCATGAAGCTAGGAATGGTATTCTCTCATCTTCGACCACCGTGATTAACCCCACCTGGAACCAGTAAGTTCAACTTTCGGGGACTTCTTTTGACAGAGAGGGGGCAGTGTGGTATTCATTATCTCGGTAAAATTTACGACTAGAATGAGAGTACCTTCAAAAATACCAAAATCCAATTACTGAGATGTCGCAGATCCCGACAGGCTCAATGTTCTCAAGTGTTGTGGACCAGTCGGAAGGCATTTTCGTGCTGCAGCTGCACCTGTGATTTAGCGACGATCGCCTGGACTCCAGGCTTTGGTGCAACCTCGCCACCCGAACAGTCAAGATCTGGACATAGCGCAACGTCACAACGTGAAACTGGTATAATATATCGCTCGAAGGTTTGACAAAAGCTATTGAACACACTCTTAGAAGTAGCAGCCTTTTCATACATCGAATGCCGTTGATATTTCACTTTGGACATAGAAGTGCGGGGTAATTTTACCCCGCAGTAAAGCCTGGAGATGCCTGTGGCGTCAGCGCTTCTCAACAACGAATAGCCTGTACCTCGCCCACAACTGGAAGACAATCTAGATATGCACTAAGTGACTTCCAACATTGCCGCGTGTAAGACATGATTGATCTCAAAATACCGTATGGTTCACTAAGTTATCCGAGAACTACGGCCGAAGCCACCCAAACACAACGTAGCAAGGTATTCACTCTGTCCATCTAAATAATATGCCACTCACCAAGCATCTCTCCAGCCATATCGTCGTCGACATTCTCTTTGACTTCGCCCACAGAAGTGTCTTCAGTCTCTTCATCATGTACAGCTTTCGTTTCTGACATTTCGCCTTTTGTTTCATTCTCATCATTCGAATCTTTGGCTTGCTCCTGTTTGGTTCTCTCAGTCCACACACCCATCTCGAACATCATAGCTCCTGCACAACAGACAGCCAACAGCAACCATGGATTCTTCATCTTCCTTAGACCTGAGCTCTGAGCACGTAACGACTGACTTGGGGTGCTGGACAAGGACGATGAAGATCTCGAAATCGAGTTTGAGCTTGACGGGCTCGTCCCTGTACTTGGAGGTGAGACCGAGCTGGAAATGGAGCCTCGCCTTGAAGCCATCGAAAGCGTACGACTTGTCTCCAAAGTCGAAAAATCCGAAACAGACGTAATGACCTCAACCAGACTTTCAGTCGCAGTACTATGCAGCACACTATCCGTCGCGGGAACAACGTGTCCATTACTAACAGTCACAACAAACGTCCTTCCTCCAATCTCCTCACACCACTGAGCCGTATTGGCAGAGCATAGTCTCGCGGGCGCGTGTTGACTTGGTAGTTTTGGGGAAGCAGGGGTTGGAGTGAATGTATCTGGTTCCTGAGGGATGCCCCAGCTATCGAGAACGGAAGTTACCGTTGTGATAGCGGCGATGATGAATCGATCTGCGTGGTCGACTCTCGTGATGGACTCAGCTCGATATGAGAGCTGTGTTCCTTGGGTATTGTAGGTTTGTGTTTGTACAGTGGTTCGGGGTGGTGGGAACACTGTTCGAGTCTTCGTGACCGTCACCCGAACGGTCTTCCAGACAACACTCGTGGTCGCTGCTGGAATTCCGATCGACGAACTTGAAGCTGTTAGTGCTGTGAATGACGCGCTTGTGCTTGGCTCTCTACATCCCAACGGTGACATGGAGCGGTCGTGGGGATGACATGGTGGCAGCGATATCGAGACAAAAGTCTGGCTGTCGAATGGTGGCGTGACGGTAAATACAAGATTGCTCGAAGCTATGAGTTTTGGGATCTCCGAGATTGTTTTGAGCCGTGGTAGGTCTGTTGTTATCGAGGGTGTTGAGGAAGTATTCCTCTGGCCGTCATGGGCAATACCGACAGTGAAGAATGAACACAACGTGCTTAACTTGACAAGGACATACCCAAAGAATACCATATTGAAGAATACTAAAAGGTTTCCGCAGTTCTGAATTTTGTATCTGAATGATTGCTCGTTCTTTTGTGTCTCCCCAGTCTAAGCAAGACTCTGGTGGGGCCTTTTTTCAAGTTGAAGACAGGAACGAGGGATCTGGAGCAGAAAATTCCGTACATACCTTTGACGACTTATAATAACAGTTGGAGAATTGCACAATCATAGACTTAAAGATCCTGATTTCTGACTCAGGCTAGGCGAGTGAATGCGCTTAATATTTTAACGAGATATTGAGGAGGATGGTAGATGTGATTAACCATCTTCAAAACAGTCAACCTGGCGAATTTACCAAAACCGGAACCTCCAACCTCCATGATAACTATACCTCCACGGCTTATGGATAACTTAAAATGGAAAGTCCTCTCCGTTCCAGCCAGCGAAGTGACCTCCAGTCTTCTCCCTGGTAGCCTCATCGATCTGCTTCACAAAGCCAGCAGCACACTCATCAGTCGGCGTAAAAGCTTTCTCCATGCCTACAGCTCTGGCTCCAGCATTTCCCATATCTGTTTGAACGAATCTACATTATCCACATATTAGCATTACTCACAAATTCACGTATACATATCGTGAGTAACCTAGACCACTTGACGAGAGGTTAGGAAGGCAACTCACCCTGGATCCATCGCAAACGCCACCAATTCCTCATTCTCAAAATGAATCTTCCTCACGAAATAATTCCCAAAGGCTTTCGACGCACCATACGGCGACATCGGATACGGTCTCAACTCCATCCCCGTAATAGTCGCCAAAGCCGAGCTTGTATACACGAACTTGGCACCCTTTCCAAGTAGCGGAAACACCGCTTGGAACAGGATCACTGGTGCAAGACGTTGATCTGCCAGTGGGTTTGGATTTGAGAGATGGAGACTGAAGATACGGGAGTTGGTGGGGCGCTACTGATGCCCGCGTTGGCAATTACGATGTCGAGGTTGGTGATGGAGTGTTGAGTTTTGAGGGTGGAGATTGCGGAGGCGGGATCGGTTTCGGAGGAGCTGTCGATTTTGACGATGATGAGGGTGCTGTCTTTGCCTTTTGGGAGGGAGTCGAGGGATTTTGCTGTTGAGGGGTCTCGGACGGCAGCGATGACGGTGTGGGATGGGCGAGCGAGGTAGATCTCGAGGAGACCTTTGCCAATTCCTGGAATGTATCAGTATCATTTCAAACTCTCGGGATTGAAAAGTAATTACGAACCTCTGTTGGCTCCAGTGATCAGGACGGTAGTGTTTGCCATGTTGTTTTGTTAAATGCGAAGAAGCTGTCTGCTTGGGAAGAGAGCTTCGAGTGTTTGATGTTGATTGAGATGGAAGTATAGTATGGTACAAGAAGAAGAAGAAAGTGAGGAGGACAAGCGGAATATATACCCATTTCATCATCCTTGTAATATATCTTTCCTCAACTCCCAATCCAGAGGCAACAAACCCCTCGCTTATCGTACAGCAGCCAATAATCCGACCGTTCAGTGGGTCCTTCGCAAAGCAGCCCAACCAAAATAAACCTTGAAAAGAGGTCTATCCAGCTTTCCGAAAGATGGAGGATTCTTTGTAATTCATTAGACATGCTTTGCTTCTATGCAGATAAAATCCGTGCTTCCAGGCAAGGAATGGACTTCTCGTCCGTACGCTGAATAATGTTCAGTGCTTGTAAGGTAGGAGGGGTACGAAGGTTGGACGCGGCCGCGAGGCGGGCTGGGAACCCCTGAAGCGGCCGCCGGGCGGTGCTCATGCCCGCTAGTTTACGCAAAATGCATTCCCGCCGCATTATTAATCAGGCTGTATTGAAGCACCGGACATGGTAGCCATATGATACGATAATAGGAAAAGATACATGTCAAGTTCCATCACAGATACAGCTCCAGACGCGCCAGAGACCCACCCAAATGCAGCCGTTATTTCATCCATTTCCACCCTCTCATCGAAAACATATCACCAGGGCATCTCATGGCTTCCTCTCGCCAGCAACAGCGTCCTCAAATACCTTTACAATATCCAATATCTTCCCATCATAGCCACTTCCACCTAGGAACGTAACGCCAAACGGCAGTTTCGATCCTCCTTCCTTCTCGACCCAACCAGCATTCACGCTTACGCCGCAGAGATCCACCACATTGCCTGCATGTGTGAACATGCCAACCTTGGCATTCAGACCCAGCGGATCAGCTTCCATCTCCTTGATCGTTGGATGACATGGTGTTGAAGGAACGAGAAGAACATCAATGCCGCCTTCGAGGGTGTTAAATGTCCGCTGCGCTTGCATGGTATATTTAGCTTGGAGGGATTGATCGTGGAATACATTCCAGGGCTTCAATGGAGATTCAAGCGCGGCTGTGAAGAGCGCGTTGGTTGTTGGATGAAGGGTTGAGAGATTTGCCTCGAGAAACTCGTGACCGATGGAGGCGATCCGTTCGTGTACAAGAGAAGCATTATAGAGTAAGTCTGAGGCTTTCTCAAAAGGTGTATAGTCCACTTCGACGAGACGGCCACCGCATGACCTTAGCTTCTGGATTGAGACCTGGAACAGATCTTGATACTCTTTAGAGCAAGCTAACAAAGCTGAAGGCGGAGGAACACCAAATGTAAAGCCTCCATCTTTCGGCCCACGGAAGTCTTGTTTCCACAGCGTCAGGCTTAACGGCGTTTTGGCGTACGGATCAAGACAGTCATGCTGGTCGATAATATACCACACCTTTCTGGCATCTGTCAAAGTTGGCGCCATGACAGACAAAGTGTCCAAGCTTTTGCAAGCAGGTACCATTCCACGAGCAGAAACGGTGCCTTTGGTTGGCTTGAATCCGACGATGCCATTGAATGCTGCTGGTACACGGCCACTTCCAGCAGTATCAGTTCCAAGTGTAAATGATACGAGACCAGCAGCTACAGCAACAGCAGATCCAGAAGACGACCCTCCAGATATGTACTCCTTGCTGTATACAGAGTGAGGAGTACCATACGGGGATCGGCACCCTGATAGGCCAGTTGCTAGCTGATCCATGTTGAGCTTTCCGATGTAGAGTGCTCCAGCATCAAGCAGTAGTTGGACTGCCGGTGCTGTTGCTTTCGCAGTGTAAGCGAAAGCCTCGCAGGTTGCCGTCGTCACAACACCTTCCACGTCGATGTTATCTTTGAGCGCAAATGGAATACCATACAGAGGAGGCATGGGCTTCCCAGCGTACTTCTCCACGAGAGCCGTAGCCGCAGCGAAAGCATCTTGTCGGCTCTGTTTTGAGATCCACACAGCAGGATCAAGCTTCTCATACTTTTCGATGCGGTCAAATACCGAGTTGATGACATTCTCCGGGGTTTCTAGCCCGCTCTCGTATCGTTGCTGGAGCTGTGCAATAGGCAGAAGTACATCTTCTGATGCTGGCGGGGTAGATGGTGGGGTCAATTCTCGAGACTTTGATGCTGCTGCGAAGAAGTCCGTGCTGTTTCCAATATACCCAAAGAGCCCATCCTGTCCACAAACAATGTCCATAGATGTAGTGACCATCTGTGCATCGAAGCCGCCGGTGCAATCTGACAGGATGCAGCACTCGAATCCCCGATCGTTACATTCTCGGAGAGTGGTGGTAACACAGCATCTGCTTCTTGTTAGTAACACTACGAAACACATCTATTCTCGGAACGTACTCCGTGGTGACGCCAGAAAACAGGATGTGAGTGATTCCTCTTGCCAGCAATACTCGGTGCAGGCCTGTTCCCCAGTAACTTCCTTTTCCAGGCTTATCGATCACTGGCTCTCCAGGTAGCTGTCTCAACTCATCGATGATATCGTGTCCCCACTCACCCCGTACAAGCAGTCTTCCCATTGGACCCTGATCACCAATGCCCATTGTATGATGTCCATTTGGTGCACTTATCTGTCTCAACTTCTTGGATGGAGGTAAATCGGACAGATCTGATCTATGCCCTTCTCTGGTGTGAATGATGTGCAGTCCCATATCTCTGGAGACCTCGAGCACTTTTTGCAGTGTAGGAACGATGTTTCGAACTGCTGAGAAGATCTCTGGATTTCCGCATTGGATCGATCCAAAGCCATTGGGATCTACGAAATCTCGTTGCATGTCGATGATAATGAGTGCAGTCGTCGCCGGTGGAAATGTGAAGGTGTATGGGCGCGCATTGGGAAGAGACATCTTGATAGAGGAAGCCATGTTGAACAGTGGAAGTGATGAATTGAGTTTGATTGAGTCTCTCGAACTGATGAAGCTCTCAAGGACTTAGATTTGGCTCGACGATGAGTATATATAAATGATAGAGGATCCGAAGCTAAAATTTCAAGGATAGTGGGCAGTCTCGAAGATCGGGTTTCCAGGAACAATGTTTGCCTGTTACACCTCCAAATGCTTCCCACGGAGCATGGATTGAGGAGAGAATCGATGATGTTCTGGCTTTCGGAGGTAATTGATCTCTATCGCGAGCCACCTCGAAGATGGTTGAAGAGAGAATAACCCATCTCATTCGACACTTCTGGCCGTCGGTCAATATCATGACTTTGAGGCCGTCGCTGAACTCTCAGCGATGCTATCGTCGCGCCGATGGCTGTGGGCCGTAGGCTTGCCGAAGGCATTTGGTCAAGATGGCCGCTGATGATAAGGACTTGGAGCGAAGGGCGGGTGTTACAGTAGTGGCGTTGTGGGGCAACGGTGATTTGATGGCTGGTTATCTCCCGCCCAGCCAGTAATAACTCAGTGAGTCTGGCGAAATGCCGCCCATGCAACTGGTGAGCTTGAGCATCTTGGAAGGACAAGAGGTACATTTTTGAATAACGGTTAAGAGTTGGAAGTAAAGTACTATTTTCCCCAGTAAGCCCCTTCCAAGGTTGTCGCTTCTCTATTTTCCCAGCCATGAAACGCCGATCTCCTTTCCAGATGCTCTCAAGCATTCACCTCCTTGCCGAATATCTTCTAGTACTCTTCATTGCTGAATCTAAGTATAGCCAACCTTCTCAAGCATAGGCGACAGCTAGATTGCTCTCATAATGGTTTTTCATTATTCCACATGCGTCAAGAGCCCACCCGCACCTGGAAGAGCGAACACGTTAATTGTCGAACTAGGACAGTGAGTACTCGAAAACATGTGCGATCAAGCTGATGAGCCGTCGGGCCAACGCCATCAACTCGCCGTAGCAGCTCGGAAGCGTAGGCATGAATCTAGAGATCGCACCACAGGACAGGCACTTGGACTAAGCGTTGCATTTCGGTACTTGGGTATCTGGCCGTATCAGCGGGCAGCTCTTCTTCGTGGAGAAGTTCACAGTACCATCCAGTGATTGGTCTGAATCTGAGAACATTGGGTCCAATTCTACAGAGAAGCCCCAGCTAGAAACCTCGTTGACATCAGTCTTCTTCGTTTCGTCTTTTCTAATGTCTGTCTGCAGGTCGAGTGTTCTCAAGATCACGCCTTCTTTATAATGTAATTCATCTTTCAGTCTCTGTCTTACGAAAAGAACTTTTCAGCATATTCAAAAGTACCGTCGATCTCTTCTTGAGAGAACTCATGAATTTTGATCTTAAAAAAGTCTCTTTTTCTCTTACAGGCGTTTCTCAACTGTTCGATTAGCTCTGGTAATGTAAGGAGAGCTATATGATTAGGACCTCAAAGAAGCAAGTCGCTTGTTGATTAGGCGCCACGGGCTACAAGAGGAGTAGAAGTAGAAGCTACCATTGAGACTTTGAATTCACAGATTGCTGAAATGGCGAAGGGGCAGTGGAAGAAGTCGGTCTTGAGCAGAGGATATAAAGAAGCCACACCCCACTCTCACTGGACGCCTAGCGAGTAACTTATCGGCAGCGAGGGTCCTCGACCAATCTTCTTGCTAGAACCTCCACATATCTATTGGTAGGGAAGGTTTCACACTATGAGCTCTTCGGGCAAAGTGGCAGCGCAGGGCCCTATGCCCTCCGGCGAGCGACGGCCACGAATCCCAAGGCACCCCTTATCGCTGCTGGGTTTCCCCAGATATCGTGTTATCAAACACGGGTCACGGTAGCGATACACCACGACAGCTTCTATCGCAAGATACACAACTGGTTCTAAACTTTCACAAGAACATGATGCTGTCGATAGTGATGGTTAGAAATGCATATAACACCGCGATATTTCCTCGAATATTGAACGTCGACATCAGCAATATCTTCCGGCCTAAAGATCAGACCTGAAGGAGATTCCAGACACTGGGAAAAGACTCAACACCAGACAGATAACAATCAACACCATGGCTTTCCGTCAGCGGATCAGCAAAATCAAAGAGGGTGCGAAGGAGAAGAGAAAGCCTTCGGGATGGATTCTTCCACAGCAGAAAAGCTCCTTTGGAGACGAAGGCACTTGGTATTTGACTTCCAACTCTCTATTCAGTTCATCATTCTGACCTGAGCAGGACAAACATCGACATGGATGTCACTCCTCTGGATCGACGAACATGGACAGCTGTGACCATGGCTGGGTTTTGGTTCTCAGATGCGCTGAATGCTCAGTCCTGGATGGCTCCCTCTTCCATCCTCGCTGTGGGGTTGACTTGGCGCGAGGCTATCGTCTGTATCATCTTCGGAAGTCTTTGCTGCACCGTCCCTCTCGTTCTCAACGGAGTTCTTGGAGCTCGTCTTCACGTTCCCTTTCCAGTCGCCATGAAGTCTTCCTTTGGCTGGTACTTCGCTCGCTTCGCCATCGTCGTCCGCATGGCTACCGCTCTCTTCTGGCATGCTATTCAGACTTACACAGGATCTACGGCAATGACTCAGTGCATCCGTGCTATCTGGCCTTCGTATCTTGACATCCCCAATCATATACCAGAGTCAGTTGGAATCACCACTCAACAAATGGTCAGCCACGTCATCTTCTGGTCTGTCCAGTTCCCGATTCTGCTTACTCCTCCACACAAACTTCAATGGTTCTTCATCTTTAAATTTGGTAAGTGCTTGGTTCAAAACATGATGCTCAGTTCCTTGCTAACCTCTCAAAAGTGGTGGTAACAATCACCTGTGTTGCAACCGTCATCACCATGACCAAGAAAGCCGGCGGTTCAGGTGACATCTGGAAACAAGAATACGGTGTGTACGGTGCCAAGCGCTCCTGGCTGATCCTCTCCTCCCTTTCATCCATCACTGGAGGCTGGGCAACAATGGCAACCAACATCCCAGATTTCACTCGCTACCTGAAAAAAGAACAAGGCGTCTACTGGCAAGTTCTCTTCCTCCCACTTATCCAGCTGGTCCTTGGTCTCTTCGGTATCATCAGCACCAGTTGCGCCATGGTCGTCTACGGCGAATACATCTGGGACCCTCTCACTCTCGCCGCTCAATGGGACGGCCCTTCAGGTCGAGCAGGAGCTTTCTTCGTCGGCTTCGCCTGGGTCGTCGCTCAAATCGGAACCAACTTGTCCGCTAACGTCATCTCCTGCGCCAACGATATGACCTCTCTCTTCCCCAAATACATCAACATCCGGCGCGGTGTGATCATCACCACCATTACTGCAGGTTGGATCATGGTCCCCTGGAAGATCATCCACAGCGCTGCCTCGCTCCTCTCCTTCATGGCCGGTTTAGGTATTTTCCTCGCTCCAATTGCAGCTATCTGTGCAGCCGATTTCTGGATCACTAAAAAAACACATATCGATGTCCCGGCTTTGTATAAAGCACACGGTCGCTACAGATACAACAAATATGGCACTAATTGGCGCGCCGTCATTGCTTTCCTCATTTCTGTCGTGCCGAACATCCCCGGCATGGCAGCTTCCGTCAATCCGAAAGTCGACGCTGGTGGCGCGAAGTACATTTACTACATGTTCTATATCTGGGGATTCACGAGCGCGTTCACGACTTACAGTTTGTTGAACTATTTCTGGCCAGACGCAAGTACGCTTATACCGGAGACCATTCATGGTGATGAGGCGTTGTATGATGCTGATGGGGAGGTGGTGGATGCTGTTGAGGAGACCGGCAGCGAGAAGGGGAGCGGGGATTTGGGAAGCGAGAAGAAGGCTGTGACGAGCAAGGATTATCCGATCTAGGCTGTTCAAAGACTTGGGTGTTCTCGATTTCTCGAGACTCTTTAGATCATGTACAGGTCTTCTTTTATTTTGTTGGATAATGATTTAACTTGGAGATCTGGAGTGTTGAGCGTTTGTTGAGGGTGTATTTCCTTGGTCGTATTCCATATTGATGATTGCTTTGTCGTTCTAGAGTTTGGAGTGCAGAGTGGGAAATGGAATACCAGAGGAGGACTACGAAATAATCAATCTGATAAGAGGATGAATATAAATACATTCGTTAATGTTGCGGAAGCTCTGTCAGAGATATCTCTCGATACAATTTCTCTTGTCAGATTACAGCCTGAATTACGTGAGCGCAATCTCTGTCGGTCGCAGCATTGGCGTCTTGAACTTCACGTCCAATTCGTATGATGGAGCCTCGTCTGTGACTGTCAGCAGAGTATACGCAAAGAAGATACTTTGGGTTATGACTGACATGGCCCACTCTCCTCAAAAGGTGTTAATATATCGTCTTGCCGTTGCACTCAACTATGGCTAAGTCTTTATTTCTGGAAAGCCGGAAGGTCTTCTTCGGACTAAGCCGAAGCCCAATGGCACCGAGTCCTTGAGTACTGTACCACAGGGCATTGCTTCGACACCCTCATAGCCAACCTCGATGTGTGACTTGTGATACAAATCGCCCAGCTCGGGTTTTGAGCATCCGGATCCCAAACATGGTCCCCGTCATGACTATGGCGACGTTTCCTTCGGATGGATCGTCTTCAACAACCTCTCAAACTGAGGCAAGATGTCTTCCACATCTTTCAAATCAATACGACCAAAGCCCGGCATTCGCACCCCCACCAAAGCCGAAGTCTTGCGTCTGAGCCTCCACATTTCCCGTTGCATTATCATAGGCCCCCACTGGCTCAGCATCATCATGATACTGTCTTGAAAAGTACGGCGTGTCAAACGAGAACTGACTTGGCGAATGAAAGTCTCCAGTCACAGGTATATGTGCATTCGTGAAAGAGAATTGATCCGTGCTCTCAGATGCAATGCTACCACTCTCAATACTGTGATGCTCGAGAGTTGTAGAAGGCGTGGCCGGTGGTCGAGTAAGGACAGTGTGAGTGCTGGCTTCTTCTAGCAGGCCGAGATTGGCATCTAGGAGGACCATAGCGGGCTTCATGTACCGCGCACCGTTTTCGCTGTTGATTTTCAAGGTCCAGCGGTATTCTTTGAGTTTCATACGGTAGAACTCGCCTTCTTCTTGGGTTGAGACCGTGGATAAAAGTAAGGTGCCGAACACGCTTATCAAAGCGAAGTTCTGTGGTGATGCGAAATACCAGAAACTAGAGAGATGTTGAGGTTTGAGAGATTGGACAAAGTCGATAGCGAACATGAATCGTTCGTGGGCTACTGATCGACAGATTCTGTAGAGCTGTGGATCGGTGGATGGGGAGAGAGCAAGGAGGATGCGCCTATGGAGAGATATTTCGGTGGCGATATATGCGAGGCGGAGATAGCCTACTGAGTTGAGTTTCATTACGTGGGTGTTTTCCATGGAAAGGCAGTCTGGGAGGTTGGTGAACCACTCTTTAAGGCGAAGTTGGACAGGTTTGACTTTTTCCAGGACGATAGTCAGGCCATTTGGGCCTGCATTTGCGATATCTAGATACAGTGATCTGTCAGTTGATTATTTTGTGACAAAGCAATATCTGGACCCTACCTCTCGTCGTCTTGACTGTGAACACCGTCTCAAGGAGATCCGCCAATATTTCAGACAGCGATATCATGTGACTGAAAAGAATCCTGCCTTTTTGCACCTCAGAACTTCCTTCTTGCTCATCCTCAACTCTCTCCGGAAAGTCGGCATCAGTAACAGCATTCAGGGCCCAGTTCGAAGAATTTATCAATGCCGGCCGTCCGCTGCCGAGACTATTCCACTTGTCCTGCATGTAAAGACCCCAGCCGAGACGTTTGCGAAGGCCCTTTTCCCAATCGGGGATATTCCAGTTTGAAGCATCTAGGTGAAGACCTAGTCCGTAAGCAACACTGATGAGCTGTGCTGTCAACTCAGCTGAGTCTGCGTCGGTATGTTGCAGAAGTAGGAGTCCAGCTTGGACAGTCGATAGTTTTGGGCGATGGATTGTGTCACCGAAAGCTTTCCTAGCCAGCTTCTCCAATTCTTGTACATCTGGTTTTTTGAAGCTATTGAGTTGGTCGTTATATGACCAATACTGAAGCGCTAGAAGGTAAACAGCAGCCAGAAGTCTGTTATGGTCAGCGGCGAGCGGAAACCAACAGAGGAAAACTTACGGCGGGGAGAACTCTCTGTATGATCTATTGTACTTTTCCAAGTACACTTCCTTGTGAACAATTGGGAAGCTTGGAAACACAATTCTGAAGTACATCGCCACAAGTGCCTTGCCATGTGGTCTCACAATGGCTTCAATTTTATCCAAATCGTCAAGCTCGTCCTCATAACCCTGAGTTCCCGGATCCGGAAGCAATAGAAATGCCTCACTAGAACTCACCCTCCTCAATGAACCTCCCATGAGCTGAACTTCGGACTTTCCCGAGTGTGAATTTTTGCCCAAGAGAGAAGGCTCCAACCCCCGCGTAGCTCCGACGAATTGGCTGTGGTGCTTGTTCTGCAGCCCAAGAGTCTTTTTCAACAGACTCGGACCCTCCAAATCATCATACTCTTCAACACCTGTTCCATTCGTGGTACGAATAACACGTATTTGAGTCCTTGGGGATTTCTTCGTCACAGAAGACGAATTGGACTGCCTGGGAGCTTATCAGTGATCTGCACGTGATTCTACTCCTTCTCCTTTCATCCATCAGTGCGGCATACCTGCGCTTTGAAACTTCGGGATCGTCTCCATCTTGAGGAGCTTTCCGTTTCCGAGACTGTGGGTTCTGGACGAATGTACATTCCTGATTGTGGAACTTGCAGAGCACGCAGATAGGGGAGTCGTCTTCGAGGACGCATCGACTCTTTCGCTTCCTCTATCACGCTGTTATCAGCTCCCCTTTCGGCGAATATCCCAACTTGGAAAGCGAGGTTGTACATACACATGCATCACACGGTCTATCCTTGCGTTTCGACGGTTGTGGGGAGGTCATATTGTCACATTGCAAAATGGGCTGTTAGAACCTTGTGTGAGACGCGTCTGTGTTGAGGATATCGATATCGCACTGTAAAAGCACTTTTGATGTCGCTGACTCAGCAGGATTTTATGAACGTGGGGACAAGGCAGGGATAATTGTGCACATCCTGCAGATGTCCCCCACTTTATTGGGGAAGGGTGCGCCACTTCCAGCCATCTGGGATTTTTGAAGTTTTGCTGGAGATTGGAGCAGCGAATCAGAGGACATGGATATCCGATAGGCGAGGTGTGCTGATGAAACTGACACATGGGAACTGAACCGAGCATGCCGGTACGTGGATGTTCGGTAGTTCAGCCGGACTTGAGAGTCTCACTCTCAGAGCTTCTACAGATGCATTTATATTTTCCAGAGGAACAAAGATGGTATCAAGAAACTGCTCCGATGGTTGCTGGGACAGAGATGGCACCTGCCAACAGAATGGCTGCACTGCCGAGACTCCCCTAGAACTAATAAAAATTCATCATCGAAACCAAATGCAGTGTTTAGCCATTATTGGAAGGGAATTTAAACAAGTCACTTGTAGTCTTAGTCCTCTGTATATGAAACTGTTTCATGTGGAAACTAAGGTGCATCTGAACAGAAAGTTAACTACCATTCATGTCATCGACGAGATGCCCGAGAACGAGAGACACGACGGTACAGCATTCTTGGTCTATAATTTTGTTTAAACTCTTTCAAAGAAAGTCGAAAGAAACGAGTCGACGAAGGAGCTGTCATTCATTAAAATAGTACCGTGGTATAGATCAGCTCTTGTGGCGGGCGGGATACTTCGCAGCGTTAATTTTCAGGCTTTCAGTCCCCAGGGGTCCAGGCTGATCAGCCCCAAGTGGATCTGCCGCCAGATATTTCTTATGCCTTTCCAGAGATGCGTCCCATCACGAATAAGGAAAACTCTTTGTGCTACTATACTATGGTACAGGCATCCTTAGAATACGGTTGTATAAATCTATTTTTCTTGATCCCATGTTTTTCCGTGGAGGTTATTCTTGGCGAATGTGAGATGTCGTCAACCAACAGGCTGGAATTCTTGCAAACGAGGGGCGGCACCACCTTCACCAGAGAACCAACGATACAATCGAGTATTGCAACGAGAAGCATGTTCCAGCGGCATGTTTATGCGACCCTACAGCGAGTGCACATCTGCAAAGCCACTAGCAAATGTCAAGCTCGAGTCCCCTCTGGCCTTTTGAAGGTATCCGGGCGCCGCCTGACTGGCTTGGCGCCCCTGAGCAGGATGACTTCAAAGCACGCCACAGCGATGCCTCTCCTCCTCGCAGTGAGAAATGATAATACCGGTAAAAAACCCATTTGTCTATTATCTGCACCAGTCGCTCATCTGAGATTAGTTGAGGAAATATCAGAAGACGATCTCTATAGATACAGAAGACACCGCTGGACGTCCGTTCACATTCCAATCCATAACAAGGCTTGATGCTGAACCCCAACAGAATAAATGAATCTTCCCGATTGGAGGAAAGGTACCTCAAATTCAATCTTCAAGCACTATTAGAGGTCGCGGTTGCAGCATGCTCTAGCAATGGTGCCCGTCGTTGTTTGTCTTTCCATCCACAAAATTATGAGGCTTCTGAACTGATTCTATTTCATGTTACAGGTACCAAGGTCTTGAAGTGTAAAGAGGGAATGAACAACAAAGCATATGTTCTCACAATGGATAATGGCTCTGAAGTGTTAGCAAAACTCCCAAATCCATGTGCTGGGCCCTCCTTCTACACAATAGCATCTGAAGTTGCCACCCGCACCTTTGTAAGTTCTAAGTCAGGCGGTAACAGAAGCCAGGCACTGACTTTGCTAGCTACGTGATGCTTTGAGTATTTCAATTCCTCGCATAATCACGTGGTCTGCTAATCGAAGCAATCCTGTTGGGGCAGAATATATCATCGAAGAGAAGGCTGTAGGGGAGCCTCTTGGAAGCCTCTGGAAATCTTTAGACACATTGCCCATGAGCGACCGAATGGCTATTGTGGACGAGATTCTCGATATCGAGAAGAGACTTTTGTCAATAAAGTTTGCTAAGTCTGGTTGCATCTATTTCAGAAACGATATTCCAAACAGCGAACCTCTTCAGACTTCCACACCATTATCATCTCAGATACTGAACCGATTCACAATGGGACCACTTGTATCGAATGAATTCTGGAGTGGGCAAAAGTCAGAGATAGATCTCAATCGCGGACCATGTAAGACCATACATTTAGTATTTTCTTTTTGTTTTGAGGCTAACAATGAGAAGATGGAAGTCCCGAGAAATTTATCGAAGCTACTGCACGCAATACAAGAAAATTCATAGAAGAATACGCTCTTCCTCGCATGAACTATCATCGTTCGCTTACAGAGCAGGAGATGCCCCACGAAATGCTTGATCTTTTAGAGCGTTATCTACAGTTGGCTCCAGCCATGGTGCCTCCTCAACCGTCCGAAGACCTCGATATCCACGCACCAACACTTTGGCACCCAGACCTCCATCCTAACAACATTTTTATCAATCCTGAATCAAAGAAAATATCACACATAATTGATTGGCAATCCACATCGAGTCTCCCACTGTTCTACCACTCTCACGTCTCAACCGTAATCAAGCACCATGGCCCTACACTTACTGTGCTAGACGACCTGAATTCCTGGACTGAGCCCCCACAGAATTACAACAGTATGGCCCCGGATGAGAAGACATACATCGACAACGCGATCGGCAGTGAATTTCTTCACAAATACTACTTATCTTCCACACGAGTGAAGAACCCCACCCGATGGGCCGTCCTACAAAGAGCATAAGAGCTGAGTCTACGCACTGAACCTGCGGCTTGGGTCCAAACCTCATGGAGTACTAATGATACCTTCTTCCTTCGCCGGGCATTGGTGCGTATTGCAAATCGATGGGAGGGCCTTTGCCCTGCTGCCGGTCCCTGTCCTTGGGTCTTCAGCGAGGACGAAGTCGCTGCTTACCAGCATGAGAAAGAGACCAGAGGCTATGTTAGCACTTTTTTGTCCTATTTCCAAGATAACTGGGGTGTGCCTGCAGATGGATGCGTAGAAGTTGAACGGTATGATGAAGTGCGAGCAGAAATGAAGCGCATGAGAGATCATTTTGTTAGCAGCGCGGATGACGAAGAGGAGAGAGCCCTTGCTGAGAAGATATGGCCGTATGAAGATGGAGCGGACGCCTGAGTCTGGATATATGTCGAGGCATGTAGACGGAATGATTTCTTCCGAGTTCTCAATGAGATCATGTAGATAATGTAGATATCGCCGGACCACGCTCGCACTGCAAGCGCATCTGCATCTGGGCCTGAGATTTAACTATCGGATTTTCGAGAAAAATTCGAGAAATCGACTTCAAACAAGAAGTTGCCATGAAGTCTCCACACGGGTCGACTATTAAATCCAGGTCAGCGCCCTTAACATTGATATATGTTCAGGAGCGACCCAAAAGATGGATCTTGCAAAAGCTCTCTCGCAGTTATGCGACGTTCGGGGAGGTAGCAGAAAACCTTGAGCATAATAGACAAAACGAGGTCGCGTTCGGCTTGGTTAGTATCAGGTCGCATTCGTGCGATTCTCGCCGCGAGATCTCTTTCGACATCAGGAGTCGTTGTACGCTCGTACCAAGCATCATCAACTTCCCCTGGGAACCAAAATTTCCCCTTCCACTGGCCAGGCATCGCTCCAAGCTGCTCGACCCAGCTAATTGCCGTTGAACGACCACCGTTGCCGTAGAAGACGCCGTTGCCGAGATAAAGAACGGCGAAGAGACACATATAACTCCACATGTCGCTCGCAAGACTTGGATCTGCCCCATGGAGTCTCTCGGGGGCACAGAAGTGGTAAGGAGACTGCTCTTTGATACGCACCGTGGTCCCGTCTTTAATTGTGAGGCCAAAATCCCCCAAGTAAATTTTGGAACCCACCAAATTCAAAGGGGTAGCAATCTGTTGCACCAACTCACCTCGCTTCCACAGCGAGTCGCCCAGGGACACCTTCTTTGGGCGGCCGAGCATTTGATATTTGGTTGCTGTGTCGTAACCAGCGAGGAGAGGATTCAGGTCCCACATCAGCGCGCCTTCGTTAAGGTCTTCAGGCTGAATTAGCATGTAATCTTGGGACAAGGAGAAAGCATTTCATTACCGCGGTGCACCAATCCAACATCGTGAAGGCTCGCAAGAGCTATAAGCAGCTGCTTCGCAGCCGATACACGAGTAGCCACTGGTAATTCTTTGACGCGGTAGCCCAGGCTCGGGCTGAGGAGGGGAAGCACTAAGACGCGATACTGATTGTCACCGTGACCGGGTAGCAAGAATGAGCCTTGATGTATAACAAGGTGAGAAGTGTCGCCAACGGTCTGGAGAATTTCGTTCTGTATCTGGTACTCATACTCCCCTTTCTGGCCTGGAATTAAGATCTTGAGGGCAACGTCCCTGTGACACTGAGAATCGTGAGCCATCCAGACGGTGGAGTAGCCACCCCAGCCAAGCTTGTGCTCGATGCGATATCTCCCAGCCAGCACTTCTCCAATGCAAACAGGATAGTAGATTCCTCGGTAGTATCGTTCGAGAGGCTCGGACTCGTCCTCGACGTCGCCCTCTTCGTCAGAGTCCACAAAATCGCCATTGTCGGTGCAACATCCTTCTTGGTTAAATGTATCTTTCATCGTTTGTTAAATTCGTCGATCCGGAGTAGAACAGCTGTAAATTTGAATAAAGAAGATACTGCTTTTGCCTGCGCTAGGTAGATTATGGATGGTAAGGAGTGTGCGGTCTTTGTTCTTGGTTGATTGTACTTGAGACATTAAATATGCAGGTGCAGGTGATAGCAGGCGGAGTAGGCTCTTGTCACCCGCCGTAGTCATCCGTACAGCAATATCAGTAACTAGTATCAATCGGTATTTTAAGCGACCCTCACGAAAAGTGTGGAATCTGCCTTTCCGACCCACCTCCAACTTCCTTAAGGCAACTTAAGACTACTTGAAAAATAGATATCTATGAAGGTTAATATTAATCTTGTAATTATATCTATTTTCTATAGTGTGCAGTGTGTTATATATTAAGAAATAATCGATCTGCTGAAATCAAAGATTTTTGAGATTCCTTGGCTCTAGCTTAGCTTAGGGTTGGCTACGGGAAGCTAAATGAATCACTTATATGGAACGTCTACTTTCGCGATTTTAGGGAATACTACTTAGCGCAGTACTATACTACCTTTTAATACTCTTGTAACTTTTATAGAATATAAATATAGTATTTAAAATATAGCGGATTTTTCTATTAAGTTAGAATTAGTATTAGAGGTATAGTTATAAAGCTAGAGATAAGTACTTTAAAGAGGAATAGGATACTAAGGTATAGAAGTTTAAGATTAAATCTATATAATATCTAGGAAAGAATAAGAACTTAATATATAAAGAATACTAAGAGTATATAAGATAGTATAAGACTAATAGAAGATATAACTATATTTTATTAGTATAATAATATAAGGAGTAAGGAGTTAGGATAATAAGAAGTTTCTTAGGCTAAATATAAAGTAAAATTATATAATTTAAGTAAAGATAGTAGGGACTAATAGTATAGCTTAGTAGCTATATTAATTAGCTGATATATTACTATAATAAATAAACCTAAGGTTAAAGAGCTGATATTTTAAGCTTACTTACTTAGCTTACCTTACTTATAAGTATAAGATAGACTTATTAATAAGTTTAAAATTCTAAGTAATATATATTCTTTTTTAGTGTTTTTAAGTAGATTTCTATTATATATAAGTAAGCTGAAATATAAAAGTAAATATAATATATAAAGTAGTTCGTAATAGTGTAATAGTCCGGTATTTACTCGCTATAAATACAGAAAGCTACAGTTAATCTCTAATAATTAAGAGGTAAGTGTATTATATAGATAGGAAGATAGTTACTAAGTATTAGAATACTATTTAAAGTTAAGTATAAAGCTTTTATCTAATAGTAGATATACTAGTCTTATATAGAACTTTCGTTCTCCTTAGATCCCTTAAGATACTAGATCCTTAGATCCTTAGATCTATTTCCTTATAAAGAGATCTAGGGATCCAGGGATCTATCACGTAACTTATTATCTACTATAATCTAAGTAACTATTATTACTAAGCGTAAGTATATAGTAGTACTACTCGCTATCCTATATTATTCCCTAGTTAGTACTACCCTATTAATAGTACCGCTCCTTTATTAGTACTAATACCCCTATAGTACTACTAATAGTACTATTAGTATCTAGGTGCTAACTGAACTATAGTACTAAGGGGTTTATAACACTATCCCCCTCTTAGCCTAGCGTAGTCCTCATGCTTAAGTATAACCTTAAGGAACGTTAATAGTTACTAATAACTATCTTCCTTATCTATTATATCTAGTGTTATAAAGAAATTAAGTATCACTTAGATAAAGAAAAAACAAAGTATCTAGCTCGTACTCTGTATTAAGCGTGCTATATAACTCGTAAAGCCTTATTCCTTCTGCTATAGCTTTTCCTGTACCTACTTCTTAGATTTATTTATTTCGAAATAATACTTTAAGTATATTCACTTAAAGCGTTATAATTATAATACCTTAGGGTATATTAAGAAGTTCACTTTTAAATAACTTATATACCGGTTTAAGATAGGAAAAACTGTAACTCCTACTCGCTCTCTAATACCTCTCTCTAAGTCTATCGAGGATAATCCTACTTCTTAGTTCCCTACCTTTAAACCTAACGCCTACTTAGCGTTCTTTCTTAAGAGCTTGGTCCTTAACCTTAGGTCCCCTTCTTTCTAAGTAAACCTAGATTTCTTTAATAGAATTCCTATAGAAACTTAAGGTAGTAGAAATTAGATTTAAGTTCCTAAGTGTTTTCTAATTATAAGTACCTTTTTCATTTAATTAAATATTTTATTTTACTATAGAAATATTAATAGTTAAGAATAGCTTCTACTTTATATTTAGTATTCAGATTAATTAGTTATATTTTAGTAATAAGAGCTAGTAGTGCTCTTAGTAGTACTAGTTTAAGGAGAGATATATAAAATACTAGGTAGATATTTATTATCTTTAGTAGAGCTAATTAATAATTAACTAGTCCCTTAACTTTAGTAATCCTAAATAGTCCTAGCTTCTTATAATCTAATTTATAACTTAGTCGCTTAGTTATAATATTCTTTCTAAGTAAGTAGACTTTATCCCCCTCCTTAAGCGTTAGTCCTATACTATACTTTTTATTATAGTAAATCGCAGATCTCTGCGTGATAAAAAGAATATTAGCTAATAATTCTTTATAGAGCTACTTAAGCTTATCTACTTATAGTATAGCTTCTTATATAGTTCCCTGACCGGTTATTAGTAGATTATATACCGTGAGATTATACCTATAATTTATATAGAATAGTAATACTCTAATAGTCTCTTAATCCGCGCTATTATATATAAACTAGGCAAGTAGGAGCAACTGTACCTAGTTATCCTATGTATAGTTCATATAACACCGAAGATAAGTCTCTATTATCTAGTTAATTCGTTCTATTTATATATTAGTCTACAAGTAAAACGCGGTTAATATCTTCTATTTTATCCTTAAGAATATAATAAGAGTTTTCTAGAACTTTAAAGTAAAGAGCTTATCTTTATCTAAGATAATCTTATTTAGTATTCCGTAGCTTATAAAGATTATCCTAAGAAATACCTGCGCTATCGTAGGCGCGTCCTATATCCTAAGTACTAGTACTATATATATATACTTTATAAACCTATCTATTATTACACAGATTAAGTCGTATATAATTCCTATAATTAGGTCTTTTAAGAGTAGTAGTTTAACTACGAAATCTAAAGCGATTAATTTCTATAGGCGAGGTAGTATTATATCATGTACTATAGGGAGGAGCTTTATATAGTATGAAAATCTTGATTTATTAAGGTATTTTAGAGCTCCCTTATAAGAGAAAGCTCTAGGAGTTCTAGTTATATAAGTAGCCTCTAGTTAGCTAAAGCGCCTTAGGGAGTACCTTAGGTGCGTTAGGTGTATAATATACCCCCTCGCTTAGCTTTATAATAGTAAGTAAAGCGATATAAATAGTATAGATAATACTACCTGAACTATAATAAGAGTTAATACTAACTAATAGCGTTAGGTCTTAAGCGCTTAGTAGCTCTAAATATATAAACTAAGTAAGTCCCCTAGAACGCTCTTTCCTTAAATAATAACTTTAATATAATATTAGTAAATATAACTAAAAGCTCCCGCGCTACCCGCGCCTTATATACCTCTAACCTTACTACTACTCGCGTAATAAAGAAGAAGACTATAAGTTATTAATTTAAAGATTCTAATATAGTTAGTGTTATAAGAAATCGTTAGAACTACGCTAATACTTATAAAATAGGCCCGTAGCTACTATAGCTCCCCTACTGCTACTACTCTACTACTATTACTATTACTATTACTACTACTAGTATTAGTACTAACTCCTACCCGCTGCCCTACTATAGCAGGAGCTATCTGTGCTATACCTTATAGCTATTATATTCGTAGTAGTTTATAAGGTACATTAGGCGACCTCTATCGTAATAAAGAGATAACTTCACGCTGTTTTTATTATTATAAAAATAATAAATCAGGTTATATTACTACCTTCGCTCGTGCCGCTGAACTTTTCACTAGCTACTTAGTAGCCTAGGCCCTCCTAAAGAGCATACGTGTAAGTATTTCCTTATATTATAGTATTAGAATAACGAAGTATTAAGGTATTAATATTAAAGTACTAAGCGAGGCTAACTCTATAATATATATAAGCTCTTATAATCTGCCGGGCTACTATTTAAAAGGCCTTAGAGGCCGAGGAGAATAAGGATAAGAATAAGGATAAGATCTATACTGCTATCTATAAGTTATAATAGTAGTCTTATAGATTTTAGACGTTATCTAACTATTAATATTAGCTACTACCTCTACTCCTGCCTCTACTCTTCGTAGAGAGACTACTATTCCCTCCCCTCGCCCTATTTTTAGCGCTATAGGAATAAGCTCTAGCTCTATAGGAGCTACTATTATTACCTTTATAGCGTGTTTAGCTTTATATACCTCTGCCTTAGTAGAGGTTAATATTATAGTTAGCGCTACCCGGCAGTTAATTAACCTTCTTCTTTCTTCTTAGTAAGTAGTATAGGCTTTATAACTTTTAAGTAGTAGCTTAGGAATATTACCTCTTTATTATTATAGTTTAAGCTAGTATATTAATATAGCTTTATAACCTAGAAGTTATAGCTTAAGATCAGGTCCCTTACTCTTCGTGTTATTTTAGCACAGCTTTATAACCCTAAAGTAGTAGCTTAGGATTAGGTCTTATAATTCTACTTCTTCTCTTCTCTCTAATATCGTTTAAGAACTATAAATATAAAATAAAGGAAACATAATAAAAGAAAGTATCTATATAGATTATATAGCTTAAGTAAGCTTCTTAATATTAGCTCGAGAGTCTTAAAGGTTTAAAAGAGTAATAAATACTTTAAACTTCTACCTTAGTAAGTTTTTAGTTAAGCTATTAGCTAATATATTATTTATCAGGAGATATATTACCTGAAAACTCCCCTTTTTATACTCCTATTATAGCTATATATTCTATATATTAATATACTGAAGCTTTATTAAGATTCGCTAGTTCTCTTTAACTATTAACTAAATTATCTGTTTATTATTATAGAATATATTCCACGGAGCTCTTATATTAAGCCTTAGCTCTTTAAAGAACCTTTAAAGCACTATTACTTCCTTA